CCTGTTTTTGCAACATTTTTCTTTACTGCTCCGCCCCTAATGTGTTGATTAATAGGATTAGGATGCAGATGACCGGCACTTGAGATAATTTAAAACAAACAAGATAGTTTTAATGAGAAAGAAAGAAAGAAAAATTTTTATTCAGTATCATCTACAATATGAGATTGTTTAATTTTCCAGAATGCCGACGTCCTAGTTTTTCCCGAAATGACGCTGACAAGAGGAGACAAAATCAAAGTGCCCATACACGGTCTGCTGAAGGAGCACCCCATACCAGCGCTCCGGCCAGATTTATACAATGAGGTAATAAAACTTTACAGACCTTACTTTGCCATCTTATGTATTCCTTCCTGCCGCATTAGTCACTCTTACCACATACACGATTACGACTGGAAAAGAAGTCAGATGATGTGTTTGGCCGATGGTAACTATACACCCTCTACCATCATCCTAGGCCATATGGATTCTGCAGCATCTGGGATGACAAAGCAGCCCTATTTAGGGAAGCACTGCTCTCCCTGCTCAGTCAGGGAGGGGGCTAGAACAGGCCACATGCCACAGTGTACACACGCGCACGTGTTCTGTAGACTTGTAGCGAGCAGGTAGGGCTCAAGCTTTTCTGGTGTAGTAGCACAGCACAGGACGAGTAACTTCTACAGGCAACTGATTTGTCCCAAATTCTGATGAATCCTGCTATAGTACACTCGCTACAATATTATTAAAAAGTCCTATCGCAACTTCCAGATCCTCGTATCGCTGTCTGCAGCAGCCAGGCAGCACGAGATATACGTTCTGGTGAACTTGCAAGAGGAGATGGACTGCCGCGACGCTCCCGGGGAGTACTGTCCTGAAGAGAAGACGTATGTGTTCAACACTAATGTGGTGTTTGACAGGACCGGAGCCATTATTGACAGGTATATCTTTAAACTCAACCATAAACCCTAAAATACTCAAACTTATTACAAGACCATATTTTTTGTATGATTAAAATCCAGGATGAATGGACAAACCTAATCATACTGCAATTTTAACAGATTGAACCCATCGATTCTAAATTCATAGATTTGAATTCGAAATAAAAACAAACTTCAAACAAAAATTGTAGGATGTCACTTGCCTCTACCTCTCTTTTTTCACATGTTACCCTATTCCTCTACCTGTCTTCCCTCCCTTTTACGTACCTATAGATTTCTGAAAGGTAATATACGTTCTTCCACAGCAGCGTTCTCCCATACTCTATAAGATAAGAGTCATCAGAAAAGCACTCTTTTGTCTTACAAATTAACACTTTTAGATAGACTCTTATAAGTAACACTTTTTAGATCGTCAGTGAGAAGGTCATCTACCAACTTACAAATCTAGTGAACAGAGGAAAAACATCTTTATTACAGATACAGGAAGATCAACTTATTCGGCGAGTACACCCGGCACCCCGCGCTGCGGCCGGAGCTGGGCCTGTTCTCCACAGACTTCGGCGTCACCTTCGGCCACTTCATCTGCTTCGACATCATGTTCCAAGTACCGGCCACGCAGGTGGTCCAGAAACACAACCTCACTGACGTGCTTTACAGCACCATGTGGTTCTCTGAAATGCCGTTTCTGACCGGTAAGCAGACTAACTAACTAACTTTAGGTAACTTTTTATCTAAGACTAGCTGTGCCCGCGACTTCGTTCGCGTGAAAACCCGTTTTTGCATCATTTTTCATTGTTGCTCTGCTCCTATTACTCGTTTCGTGATGGTATATAGCTCGATAAATGAGCTTTCTAACACTGAAATAATTTTTCAAATCGGACCAGTAGTTCCTGAGATTAGCGCGTTCAAGTAAACAAACAAACAAACTCTTCAGCTTTATAATATTAGTATAGATAAACTTTACAAAAACTGCAGATTTTGTGCTTCTTGAACACCTATGGTGGCGTGGCAGTCCATATTTCCACCAGCGTTTCTTAACTTTGTTTGCCCACGGACCCCTTAGGAAATCGAGCACAATTTTAAGAACCCCTTAAAAAAGCAGCAATAAATTTCGATTACGAGACTTGATGGCATTTATTAGATTTCTTACAGCAAAGTGGTATTTAGCTAAAATTGGGATACAAACTTACGAAAGAGCCGATGATTAGTTGCAATGTTTTTCAGAAAACGTAGAAAACCTCTGTCTACTCCTTGAAGTTAATCAATCAGTGTTAATGGAGGCCGCGTACCGGAAAACGCAGCGTGGGACGTCCACCTACAAGGTGGACCGACGACATCGTAAAGATAGCAGGGCGCTGGACGCAGGCCGCTATCAATCGATCAACATGGAAAGCATTGGGGGAGGCCTATGTTCAGCAGTGGACGTCCTATGGCTGAAATGATGAATCAGTGTTAAACTGTTGTAGAGTATTTTGAAATTGATATATTTATTTATTTTTACAGCTGTCCAAACGCAACAAGAGTATGCCTACACAATGAACATCAACCTCATCGGTGCCAATGCCAATAACGTAAAAGTGGCAACTGCAGGTAAGCTCCTAATAAGTATACCTAAGTATTATAGTTTTTCTAAACAGTCAAAGAAAATGTACCTACCACTCGTATTCGATGATGACGACTGATAATCCCGTTAACCCCTCGTGGTAAGCTAATATGCTTGTGTTACGAGTGGGTTCACCACATAGTCGAACGGCGGCGGGGTTCGAATCCGCGTTCCTCTGATCACGAGTCGGGCAGTCCGACCTCTTAGCCATTTGGCTATCGTGGCTTCTTTAGATCTCTGAATCTAAAAGATACCTCTTAATGTGATCTCTGTTGGAATTTTTTCAGGGTCGGGCATTTATTCAGGGAACGCCGGCGCCTTAGTGAGCGTCATGCCGGGTGTTCCATCTTCCCACCTACTTGTGGCCAGGGTGCCTAAAAAGCCGGGACAGGTACCTAAGCTATAAATTATTATTACTCATAAAAAAAACTCATAAAACTCCTTTAATTTGAAAAAGTACTTTTACACGTCCCAGTAGGTATTAATCCTACCACTGCTTCGGGACAATAAATGGGCCAGCGCTGAGAAGAAGCAGCGCAAGAAACTCAGTCACTATTTACGTCAGTACTTAATCGTTACGATTTCAGTGACAGTTAAACTTTTCCCCTACCAACTTTTACTGGTGGATAACTTTTTTTTTCTTTACAGGTGACGTACAAATATCATGGTCCAATCTTCGATGACCCGAAGAACAATCAACTGTTTCTGAATAAAGATTTAACGTTGCCAGCCGAAATCTCTCGAGAGTTGACACCTGGTTTTCAAGAATTCACGCTAGCAGACAAAGGGGTGAGCTGCCGGTTCAGGGTTAAGACTAGAGTCAATGCCCCTGAAGGTTCTCAAACGGTACGTATTGCTATAAAATAAGTAAATATCAAATCATACTATACATAGAAAACAACCGACCAGTCACAGAAATTTCTGCCTGGAGGGTATCGAATCCGGGACCTTTCGGCATAGTAACTAGTCCGTTCTGAACCACTACACCAAACGGCCGACTCTATCAGTTTTAATCGGTCTGAGAGTTTTGCTGAAGTTTTTTGCCTACTTACTTATGTATGTTTTCAATTAGGTAGCTGTGATTTAAATAAGCAATACCTACAAGCTAAGCTTCATCGTGGCTTCACCTTTTATGGTGGTTGCTTGGTGGTAGGTAGTCTGTAAAAACTTGTGTACCTATAAGAAGAACCAATTCGCAAATTTCGAATACCTACCCTGTAATAATTTTCGTTTATGGTAAAATTATGGTAACAAAGAGGTGGCAATCTTGTGAAATGGCTTGCTCAATTTCTTACAGATTCCGAAGTACCGAGCCTTTGTAAAAGACGGCGCTAACACTTACGCCAAGCGCCATATTGGTGTGGTCTACTGCGCGATCGTAGCCTGCAAGGATGACACCGCCACCAGCTGTCCTTACAAGTAAGTATTACTTTCCATCAGGTGAGATGCAGATCAAAAACTTCTTCGTTGTGCATAACAAAAACTAGCATAAATTCAGTAAACTTTGATACCTAAATAACGATGATGATAATAAATAAGACTCTTCTACTTATCACCTGATAGTAAAAATATTAGACAAGGAAAACGCATATACCTAACGTCTTATAAACAAATCACATCGCCTATTATTTACGTACGTTATATCGTACTGTTTCGCCAGGTTCAGCAAGGACGAGATGTTCACAGAGTTTGAAGAGCTAGAGATAAGCATGACGACCTATAGTTACCAACATAACTCCACTTTGGACTGCGACAATGTTGTTTACTACCCAACATCGTTGAGGAACAACAAATTTCCGCTGCAACCACTCAACTATACCTTTACCAAGTCAAAAAATGGCGCCGAACGACTTGACGTTTGCTCACAAAATGGCGTCAACACAAATGGCGGGAATTTATACAACGATGTTCTGGAAAACAGCAAACTGGAAGACCTCTCTTACAAATTGAACTCGGCACAAAATGAAATAGTTTCTTTTGGCATTTGGGGCAGGTTGTACAATAGAGACGTAAACCCAGTGGAAAACGTATCAGAGGAAGACGTAAATAATTACATTGAAATTGAAAATGTTATTTTTAATGCAGCAGACAAATACAGTACTGATTAAGATCTCCTTTCTTTACTTATGTAGGTAATAAATTACAGATGTATCCGAACAAATTACCATTACTTCGCTTATTGCTATTATGTTAAGGTCTAACAGTTAGACCATGCCGCTTCTTAAATAAGTTAATTACGTAACAGTTTTTATTGTACCCTTACTTAATGACTAATTAGGTATGTGCCATTTATTGTAATACTCATTAAAATCATTAAATTACTACAGCATTATTATTTAAGGAATAAAATAAATGGAATATCCAAATTAGGAACCTTTTTCATTTTATAAAGTTTCTACTCGTAACCTCCACTTATGCCTCCACTAAACTCCTTCCTTTAAATACTACAACTAGGTACTTACCTACCTTCCAAAATGTAGAGCATCATCTTCCTTTTTTCTATTGGTTCGGGTGTGTAAGAAATACTCGCAGCAACGAATATACATACATCTCGATGCTCAACATAGTCAGCATCAGTGGAAACGGATTAGAGCTCCTCTCCGCTTAGGTTGAAAAAGGCCATATTATCACGTGCTGCGACCCGCATTAGAAATAAAACTTCACATTGCATGAAAACTATAATTAATTATGTCCCTCGGGGCTGTCATCATAAGCCTGCCTTGTGTGCAGCATATGACTCCTCAGACCCTGGCTGTTGAGTTTCTCCCGCCGCAACGCCTGCGACCGCGCCCGCCGGCGGCCCACCGCAGACCGCAGCTGCCCGCCGCCTCTTCGACGGCCCACACCTTTGAAGAAATTATTATTTACCTGGTCACTCAGGGGATCCACCCAAAATCGATAAATGTAGCTGACACACTTGCCAAAATGCTGGATCACTATCCATTTTTATTACCCCTTCAAAAAATAATACCTATTACTTAATCCCTTCATTCAGAATCAAATAATCCTGCACACGAGAACTCTGCTGCTTGCATCCACAAATTGAAAAACGTAACGTGGAAAATCGTCCAGAATCCGGTCAAACTCCAGACCCAGCAGAAGGTAAAAAAGCCAGCAAGAGTGACTGAATTCTCAAGGAAGCATTCAAATCGATAATAATAATACATAAGTGACTAATTACGTAACGGCTATTGTTTTAATACTCCAGGCCAACACAATATTTACTATTGCATTTCCGTAATAATTGCAATAGTTTTCGACACACGTTTATTATGTTATGTGTGTTAGTAATTTATCAAGAAGCTCATGTATAACGTAATGATTTATCTATTACTCGTAGTACCGCAACCACCAATTTTTTTAAGTTTAAGTAAGTAGGTAAGTATTAGTAGGTAAACTTTTTTTGGTGCAATATAAAAATAAGACCAACCTCCTTGGAAAAATTTAAAATTATCTTCCCCAACGATCCGCCTCAGCCGGGTGTCATCCTCATCAGGCAGTTCCTTGGACTCGTGGATGACCCGCATCATCTCCTGGTACATATCCTGGTGGTGCCGGTGGCTGTGGACGTCGTCTAAGGTCCTCTTGCCGCCAGAATTCTGAATTTTTGTAATGTCCGCTTTGTTGGTCTAAAATACGAAGTCGTGCATCAGTTTTGGGGTGAAATTGCACTGGATGCAATCTTCAGAGCTTGATTTTTATTGATTTTTTTTAATTAATTCAGTTTATTTTAGACTATTTGTAGGCATCAAGCCATAGGGTGCCCATGGCTTGAAGCTCGCGATATAAACTAGGAGTTGCATAGGAGATCCTGCCATGGCTAAGTACTTAGGTATTGCAGTACTTAGTAGGAACGAAAACGCGAAATGTGGTAGAGTCAGCAGAACCTACTTACCTACTACGTAGTAAGGGAAAAAGGGATGTAAGTAGGAATTAAAAATGTGTTACTATGAAACTAAGTCTAAAATACCACTATAAAACACTGAACAACTAATTTTGCAAAGGGCTAACTAAATAAAGTTACTTATAGCAAATATGGTTTAAACTAATTAAGTACAAGTCTTGTAAGCAAGTGCACATACCACAAAAAGTTAGAAGACATTGAAATTTATGTTCAAGTTAAAATACGTGCAGTGGCTTAAACCGAAGTTACACCATATGGGAAATGAGAACGTCCTGTTGTAGGGCGACGATACCTCTAGCAGAGAGATTATTAACAACACCACTAATAAACGGTATGCCATTACAGCATCACTTCCGTCGATTGTTTCGTACGAGTTGAAGACGCTGCGAACTGGACGCGAATGCGAAGTTTCGGATGATCGGCCGATGACACGTTGAACAATGATGTTGTAGTAAGGAGCACATGCTATTGTTTCGGCTACAAGCAATCGTAAGCACATGAGCACGCTTAACGGTGTACTATGACTGGATTTGTTATAATAACAAGAGTGACACGCGCTAATCTAAGGGAAAACAATTATTTTAACGCGTATCAATTACTTTCAAAATAAGTACCTACATATTTATTTAGTCATTTTCGCAACTGTTTTGTGGGCCTGGGACACCAAAAAGTCTTATGAATGGATATTCCGAGCTGCTTTATAAAAGTTATAAAGCAGCTCGGAAGTGCTGTACCATCATGCTCTTCCAAAGGAAATATTTTTTAGGATTCTCTTTTTGAGCCAGAATTTCACCAGAATAAGGTTTTTAAAATTATGGTGCAACAACACTGCAGGCAGAAGCTAACTAAAGAGTCCCCAAAGGAACCATATGGATATTATCATGTGTAAATCTAAGCTAGGGCCCCGAGGGCCGAGGGCGTAATGGACCCTACATTGACACACGAAAATCTTTAATTTCAAAACATAACGCAATTTAGATTTGATCGTTAAAACGCTTACTTAAATATGGCAATATAATAAAAGGTGAAAGGTCTCGAGACGACACGATACTAACTCTGGAGCTTTTTTTTAAAATAAATGATCTCATATTATCGTCTAACGACACCCAATATCAGCATCATTCGTAAATACCTACGTAATGTAAGCAATAACAATATTTCATTTATTTATCACTCCACAATAATGACTCGGAGTAATTATACAAACATACATCAACAACCAGATCATACTGGTTTTCTCAGAGAGAACTTATTTACTTGACATGACAGCATGATAGGGCATTCGCATAATGTTGGCGTCTTCCAGGTCAACGTTTGTTAATAACACCTAAGATGACGTATGTACTTGTAAATAGCTCTATGTAAGTACCAATCTGGGTCTTCATGGTTGACTTTTTACTAGCGGTCAAGCTGTAGGTATATCCTAGGCTATAAAGGAGTCGCAGCGGTGGGAATAGGTGTAGTATGAATCGAGTCCGTCACTTTTTATTAATAATCTGCAATAGTCTGGGGTGTGACTATACGTAAGCCACCCAGTCCGATAAGGTTGAATCAGTTCATCTTAGTGTGATGTAATCTTCTAAAGGATGGACTCATCTTTCATAATATTCACTAACATAGATATAGAAAAGAAAGAAAGAAAAAAGAAAAGAAAAAAAAAANGAAACTCCATACACACACAACATCCGCAACACAATGCACTCGCAAGTCAACTCCGTACAGATATTAAATCACTTTAACTATTATTTATAATGTTTTTAACACAGATGTATGTTTGCCTGCGCTCAGCAGCGCCCTCCTTATAGCGTAAACTTTTACTGTGGTTGTAACGGCCATCATACCTACATGACCTACATCATACATGAATAATCCAACTCTCTAAGCATGACTGACTTAACGTTTAATAAGTACGAGTAACCTGCATGTGGTTAGGACATTTTAAAAGTGGACTGCTTTCATCACATTACCATCATTTGCGTGATTATTACATTGAATACGGGTAGCCTAACACTGAACATACAGTTAACATTATAATCGTCATTTAAAGCTTTCCATAACTCAGTGGTCGATATCTATCGCGAACCAACGCAAAAAATGATCGTTTAATTTTCAATAAACAACCTAACTTTCCTGATCCTTTGCAACCTATTTTTTCCGTTCTCCATTTTTACTTTCCTATACGTTTCCCTACCTTTACCTTACCTCGTCGTGCGTGGCTGACGCACAAGCGGTGCATGCCATCGCAGAAAAAAATGTGCTAAATATATTTCACAATAATAATGCGTACAATATTTCGAAGAAACATTTACACACACAAACAGAGGCGGTCGAACGATTTCGTTTAAAGCTATCGCTGTTTTCTTGACCCCAAATGGTTCGTCTTCAAACCGATTTAAACTGGTTCGGGGCCTGCTTTTGCCTTATCACTTGAAGCAAATTGTTTATCGAATATGATTAACACTTGTAAAATTAGTTATACCTACATAAAGTAAGTAAGGTAGTTTTAATAGTTTTGGAAGTTGCGTTCGGTACATTGTACCTACTTATTTGACTTATTTGTGATTTTATATTATTAGGGACTTTATTACCTATTTATTATCAAAAATCAATACCTACCAAAAGATCAAAAGAAAAGAAAGAACGATATTTAAAGGAATGAAAAACCAACAACAAAGTTTTTTAAAACACCCGCCAAAAGAAACGTCATCAAATGAACTTGCTCAAGGGCATTTCAAATATTCTACTTGTATTATATAAATAACTTACAAATCATAGTTTATCCTGAATTTTTACCAGTTATTATTATTATTATTTCCTTTTTTTTATTTTTACTATTACTTCGGAAATTTTCGGCCAAAAACAATCAATAAAAATGTGCGCGTGAAACGAAAATTTTCAAAATGACACACATGTCAATATGACAGTATTTTTGGCGCCAGAAAAAACACTTCCACTTTCATCAAAACAACAATGGTTTAGCGTTAAAATATCTTCAAGATAAGTGATGTCAAGGCTGGGGTCTTTGTAAATCGACTTCTTTATATAATAGCGGGGACTGGATAGAATCCAGTTAGTCAAACTGCGCTCTGCTCGCAGTGCAGAGGAGCCATTTGATGATCTTATTTATTTCTTGTCTAATAATTTAACAAAATGCCACCTGTTTCAATATCAGAAGACGTAAGTAATTTTATTTAATTTTCACCTTATAAATTACTTCTTGAATAACCATAAAAACAGTCATAAAGTCATAACCAACATTTTTTTTTCTTCAAAGTAATATTGTATTCTTACCTGTGTATTATCATTATCAGGGGCCCAAACAAAAGCTCCGTGTGGCTATCATAGGCCAAAGCACCTTTGCCGCAGAAGTGTTCAAACTACTGGTAAAAGATGGACATGAGATTGCCGGTGTATTCACAGTTCTGGACAAAGGCAACCGAGAAGACCCGTTAGGTAAGTTTTATTATTATTTCTTGGTAGAAGTAAGTTTTATTATTAAAAATTATTTTATTTACACTGGGATAATATTATTACGCCTTTGAAAGTTCTGTATGCTGTACATACTCTAATAAATTAACTAATTAGAATTAAAAATATTATTATTTTGAAACGAAATAATAAGATGATGTACATTTGTCAAGGTAATCCTAATTAAATAAAACTCAGAAGTCTTTATGTCAAATCTCACTAACCAGTAATAAATTTTAATATAATTAAATATTAATTAATAAACAGAACATCCAGTCATTATGCGACATAAAATGTGTAAAATTTAAATTCCTTAGTAAAGGAAAAAAAATAAAGCAGTTTGTACCTGTATGTGATATTACTTATGTTATGTATGTATACTTAAGTAACTATTAAATTATTTACAGCTACTATTGCTGCACAAAACGGTGTACCAGTTTACAAATACAAGTCATGGCGTATCAAAGGGAAAATCATACCAGAAGTTTACAAAGAATACAAATCCGTAAGTACCATTTACGTTCAATAAAAATTGCATTTAATTTACGTTTAATAAATATTCACAAAAAATAATGTGAAAAATGTTACACACCTTCAACTATTATCTAAAAAATTTGAGCAATGTTTTATATTCATCATTGCTCATTATCAAAGAAGCTAATGCTATGCTACGCTATGCTATCTTCATGACAAAGATTTTAACAATATTTGTAAAAATACTTACCTATACCTTGTTTAAAAAATGATGGGACTAAATACTAAAACTTTAGAGATCAAGTGCAGAAAGTTTTAAAAAAAAAATTAACAAATACTTGATTTATTTGATTCATTAAAAACCTCATTGATGCTTCACAACACTAATTAACTGTATAATTTTTAACAATAACAATTTTGAGATAAGCGTTAACCTGCGGTTGAACTTTAAGTAGCGAACATCTGACTATACATCCTAATGTTTATAAAGAACATCTAACACTTCCGTGGAGCGTGATTTCTATCAGACATTTTGAGGACAGCACCCGACTGCACTTGTGACCTCAGATATCTATTTTATTACCCTAGAGCACGTTATAATATCATTTAGTTAGTTATAATGGGAAGCTGTAATGATAAAATCAGTTCCCCACTTATTTTCTATATTAAGTACTTAAAAGCAGTCACACTTTGAATTTAATTTTAGCCTGCTAATATCCATATTGTCCCTAATGGTCAGGTAGGGTAGGATGGTACCTTTTATGTCAGAAAAAACGTACAGCATCTCTAAAAGGAGTTAAACTCATTAAAAAATACCATACATAACATACTAATGTTATGTAGCATACCTACTGGTACTTTTCCTTTCTTATGGTACCTTAACTAAGTACCATGTACCGGTAATTTAAATTAGATACTAGGTACCTAGGTACACTAAATTATTACTCCAGAATGCAACTTTCGCAACAAGTCCCTAGTGAAAAGTTGTCGCTGATCGAACTAGTTTGATCGAGTTTCGCGCCAAGAGTTGACTTGTGCTTGATAGGTAGTAGATAGAGCAACGTCCTTGATATGGACATATTGCGTGATTAATTAACTAGTACTAACTGTTTAGCATCGATTTGAATGAATCTAATTTAAATATAAATTAATATCTCGCTTGTTTACCGCTAGACCAAAGATTGTATTGCCCATCTGTTATTTAGTCGTAAAAATCGAAATCTCACAACGCACTTACAGTGCAAAATCGTACATAATCTTCCTAGTTTGGTTTGGACATGCGGGCTTGAATCAAAATTCAGATGGTCCGAAAATAAAATTCGATAGGTACCTACTTCAGAGTAATCATCACTCACTATCGCTCTTTTACACTTGAAAAAAATCGTTACAATTTTTTTATTACCATGTCGACTGCAAACGACCTGTAATCTAAAAGAATAGGCACTTCTCCACGCCTGATAACGTGCTAACAATATACCATCCGTGTTACTAATTGGCAAATTCCGGGCTATCCTCAATTTGCCACATTTTTATGTAAATATGTGTCTGAAAAATCCAAGTCTATTCGCAAACGTAACTGTCTTGGAATGAGTATTATTTTTAGCATCAGGCTGAAAAAAACAATGCGCAGTCTGAAACATATTTTGGACCGCTCTTTTGCAGCTAAATAACTAAAATTAGTCAGATGTGGAAGTTCAAATGATGCTATTTAGTTTTATAGTAAAGAGCTTATGTGCTTAGCGCCCGATTAAAAAATAAGTGCGCAATTTTTTGTTATTGCGTCTCCCAGACAAGATGAGAGATCACAATCGGCACTATTGAACAGCTGCCCGATAACCCATAGTTCACTATTATCCATGAAAGAAACGGATCTCTGTAAAAACAATACTTAATAAATTCTTTTGTATCATCTACGTACGCGGCTAGTTTTCAGAATAGATGCTTACTCAATTGAGACTCGAGTATGTTCTAATATTTAATTGAATTAGAACCTCGTATTAATTATGTATTTCGAACGCATCAAGTCAACCACCCCCAAATGGTCAATGGTTTTCATAGATTCAAAATGAAATCATTTTTGAACCTATTTAAATGCTACATGTACGATTATTTTTATATTCTAGCTCAAACTTCTCGAAAGAGGTCGCGAGAAAACTAGAGTCACATATAAAGCAATTGCTTGGTTTTCTTCAGGTAAATGCCGACATCAACGTCCTGCCATTCTGCACACAATTCATCCCCATGGAGGTCATCACATACCCCAAGTACGAGAGCATTTGCTACCACCCCAGCGTACTGCCGAGGCACAGAGGCGCCTCCTCCATCAACTGGTAAGTTAAATCCTACTAATAATAAATGCGAAAGTTTGTTAGTATGGATGAATTGATGTGTTATATTGTTTCACGAAAAAGCTACTGAAAATCTTTACAATATCATTATTTATACATCAGATATCCTATACCTAATTTAAAACGATCTGTGACAAACTGAAATCCACGCCGGCGAAGTCGCGGGTAAAAGCTAGTATGTAATAACTAGCTTTTGCCCGCGGCTTCACCCGCGTGAAATTTAGTTTGTCACGGATCGTCATAAATTATTGCCTATATGTTATTCTGGGTTATAAACAATAATACTGTAAAGTTTCATCAAAATCCGTTCGGTAGTTTTTGCGTGAAAGAGTAACAAACATGTTCACATCCAGACATCCATACAAACTTTGGCATTTATAATATTAGTAGGATTACCTATGTTGTTAAAAACTGGTGACGCAGGCTATAGAACAATGAGGATCAGTACTGTTGTAGAAAATTCAATAAAACTAGTATCTACGTTAATCTTTAAGACATAAGAAAGATATATCTTTTTGAATTATCCAAATCGGACCATTACTTACGAAGATATTAAGTAATAAACATAGGCCGTTTTTGCCGCTAAAAGTCAACGTACGCAAGGCCGCGTGACGTCATTATATCCGAATCGAGCGCAGCCGGCGTACTAATGGGATGGAAAATATTTTTTTCCNAGTTATACCTTATTGTTAGAAGTAAATAAATTAATACTTATACATTTTTATATTTTACTTGGAAGAAGATATGACTCTAACAACACTTATGTACACTTTATTTGAATAAATCGCCAAATATACCACCGCGGAGACCCCAATCGCGTCTCTGCGTGCCATTGAATCGTATGAGCGTATGGATTTCTTGCGTTATTTTTCACAATTTCCATTTTTAAAAATTACCTATCGATAGCTTACTTTATTCTGATGAATAAATGTCATTACAAGTTTTTCTTTAAAACTGATAATTTGGCTAGAAAAAAATATTTTCTATCCACGCAGTACGCCGGCAGCGTTCGGATCGGATATAATGACGTCATCGTCCCCGCGCCGGGCGGTCAGTGAACTTTTTTAGTAATTTGGCCATAACTTCGTCAATTTTTGTCGTAGAACAAAAATTTTTGCACTGTGTATTAAGGATTTCTTAGCCCTATTAATCTGCATTCACAGCTAAAAATCGAAATGATCCTCATTAAATTATGCACTCTGTCTACGTACGTCTATAATTATAGATTTATTTGATTTTCATAATTAATTTTGTAAGCACAGCTGTATTCCTAACAGCTGCAATTTGCACAGGTCCGATTCCGACGCACAGCGAATATGCTAGTCCCTGGAAACAACTGTTTATAATACCATACATATTAAAATATTTGCCGGAAAACTTCTACCGTTATTAAACTGTTGGAATGCGTAGTTTTTCCTTTAGATCTTGATTTATCCTTTTCGGCGTAAATTAAAATAATACACATAGTTACAATCATACAGGTAACTATCTATAGTAGAGATTTGTAAAAACCACATGTTTTTATTTTATTGAACTTACACAACCTTAATTTTTATCATTTAATTTTAAATAATGGCGTAAATGTAATGATATGATTATAAATTGCGTCTTATTCCCATGAAGAGATGACTATAGATTATTTAACTGCAATAGGTTTAGTTTTATCACACATTATTGTTTAAATTATATCTTCTATATAGTCGGCAGCCGTACTAGTATAAACTGTGTCACAGCTGCCTGCGCCTTCCTCCCGAGGATCTGTATCATAATTCTTTTAACAGGAAAAGAACAAAACAATCTAATTAAATTAAATTAAAATTAAAAAAGTAGGTGTAATGTATTGCATATTGCTTAAATTCAGAATACATTTATTAGCTCTTGCACTTTAAGTTGGTTACGAAAAAATGTTTTAACTTCGTATCTCTTAAATGCTTTATGTAAACATTAATATTATGATAACAAACGTAACATTTGCGTCTTATTTTAAACCTAAAAAAATACGTATATCCAACGGAGTGCTTCGCTTCTAGATCTTAAAAAAATATTTTTATCGTATAGTTAGTAATACATAAAGGCGAAGACTTAATTCCAACAAATCCCTCTCTTCATTCCTAGGATGGATGGATGGATAAAAAAAAAACAAATAAGGGTTCCGTTTTTTGCCATTTGGCTGCTCAAAGTTGCAACTATGCAATACCACAATTGTGTGGCAATACTCGTTATTATTATATAACTACTATGATTGCAACGCAAATATCTAGATGTGTGAAATCGTGTCACAGCAGTAACACAACGCTACAAAAAGGTTTGTGCCAATTAGAGGTGCGAACGTGTAATCTCCATTGAAAAAACTGCTTAAATTCAGTGGTATACCTATATGTGCCACTATAGGGTGTACCACTATAAGGTGGCAGGGTAGGGTGAAATGCCCCCCCTCGCGATGCTTCAGGGCGACGGTACGAGGGCCCTACCCTAACTAAACCCTAGATACGCCAAGGGCCCCATGTTATAGTTACGCCACTGCTTAAATTCGATTTTTTTTTTACTCAAGACTAAACTAAATACATATTTTTCCAGGACCCTCATCGAAGGCGATACGACATGCGGCTTGTCGATATTCTGGGCGGACGATGGGCTCGACACCGGCCCTATCCTCATGCAGAAGGTCTTCCCCGTCACTATCGACGATACCGTCGACTCTATCTACAACAAATACTTGTATCCTGAAGGTATGTTCCGTGTGTAATTAATTAATGTACTTCTTCTTTTCTCTTTCCCACTATTTGGAGTCGGCTCTCCTTGTTATATCCTGGGTTATCGAAATATTTGCCTGGACACGCTCTAAGCTCTTTTCCTTGGCCACCGAGGAATTAATTAAAATACACAAGCTCGATTTAGACGATCAATCAATATTTATGATTATGATGCTAGGTGAAATCACTGGGTTAATGGGACCTTACTGTCCGTACTTTTGGTAAAAGACCTTATTTTATATTTCTGCCTATTTCTAATTAAATTTGAAACATTTGTTTTTCAGGTATAAAGGCGCTAGCAGAATCCGTCAATATGGTCGCAAATGGCAACGCTCCCAAAATCACACAAACTGAGGAGGGCGCCACATACGACCCTGCTCTGTTCAAACCAGAAACACACCAGGTAAACCACCATTTTGATCCTCTCTTAGTCTGTCTTCTATGCTTTCTACTATAGTCGACAAATGATTTTACATGTGTTTAATACAATACATAAACTCACAAACCAGCTTACTTGGCTTAGATCTTTTCATTGAAGTAAGACATTCGCCAACACATTACTATGCATTTTAGTTGCAAAATATTATGTAATACAACCACCACATACTGCCACGGTTTTTTATGTGTTATCGTCTGCTCTGAACTTGGGAAGTAGATACCTACAGCTCACCTCCAAATAAGACTAAACAAATATGCCCCAGTTGTGTTCCAATATGAATGAAAATGAAATTTAACGCACATTTTTTTCCTAGATCGACTTCACAAAAGGGGGCGTGGCCCTCCACAACTTCATCCGAGGCTTAGACTCCTCCCCCGGCGCGACCGCCTTCATCCAACCACAGACTAAAGACGGCGTCACGGAGGGCAGTGACGCGACTACCGAAGTCAAGTTCTTCGGCTCTAGTCTATGGCAGGGTGACGTTGACACTGAGGGGGAAAGGCTGGTGATACCGGGACTGAAGGAACCAGCCATTATTCATGAAGCTGGACTGCTGATTACTGCTAACGATGGTGTTAGGGTATGTTCTTTAACTATACCTATTGGTTATTCGAACACTTGAAAAATATGGCAAAGACTATAGTAACACAAGCATCAGTGTTAGCACACACAGACAAAATTCGGGGCAACTCACCGCTAATCAACGCTAAATTTTGTCAGTGTGTGCGTGCGCGCCGCATACGTATTGGCACGCTCACATACAAACCGCGCTCGGGCGTTTCTATGAAGATGACCTACTCATTTGTATTTACTCTGGTATAACTTGTCCATATTTATAAACTTGTCGAAATTAATCACATCATTAATTATTATTGTAAATGAGTTTAATTTTATCTACAATATCTAATTTTTCCAGGTCAACGTCCAAAGACTAAAAGTAAACGGCAAGATGATAAACGCACAGAACTTCTACAAGGCAAACGAGAACAAAGTGACATTAGAACTCACCGCAGAAGAGAAACAATTCGTCGAAAGTTTCCGAGACGTATGGAAGGCCATCCTTAGAGTGGACATCGAAGACGGCACAGATTTCTTCGACTGCGGCGCCGGTTCTATGGACGTAGTCAGATTAGTAGAGGAAGTGAAAGACTTAGCCAGTATAGAACTTCAAAACGAAGACGTATACATGAATACGACCTTCGAAGAGTTCTATACGGTAGCAATTCTCAAATCGAGAGGCGGTTCGGGTGCCCAAGAAATAGTGTACGACGGTGTGGAGTTAGAAGTGAACAAAAGGAAGGTTAAATTCCCTACGCAGTTGTTTATAAATGGTGAATTTGTGAATTCAGATATCGGGAAGACGTTGTCGATAGTGAACCCGACGAATGAGAGTGAGATTTGCAAAGTGCAGTGCGCGTCGGCCAAGGATGTGGACCGCGCAGTCAAGGCGGCGAAGAAAGCTTTTGAAGAGGGAGAATGGGCTAAAATCAGCGCGAGGGAGCGGGGACAGTTATTATTCAAGTAAGACTTTTATTTATCCATCGATGTCGTCAAAACACACTTGAAACGCACCATAATATGGACCATATGCCCTCAACGTGGATTGTTTGTTATTAACTCTTGACATTTTTGCTATGTGTGGCAAGTCGCAACTAACGCGCACTTAGCTATTTCCATAAAAAGTAACAGAAATCCAAACGTTTATGCTCCATGTAACACACAACATTAAACTTTCAGATATACAAAGTTATACTCATCTTATTTTAGATGGAAAGACACAGGTCTTCTTAACGCATCATTTATGAATGAGTTAAATCCATGTTACATCTTATTTACCCATGTTTTCTAATGGCTGTGAGTTTAACGATGAATTATTATTTATGAGAATGGAAGGATAATAAAATAATGAGTATTTTCTAAACTTCTAGATTAGCCGACCTAATGGAGCAACACAAAGAAGAGCTAGCGACCATAGAGTCAATAGACTCGGGCGCTGTATACACTTTAGCTCTCAAGACCCACGTGGGCATGTCCATAGACACGTGGCGCTACTTCGCGGGCTGGTGCGACAAGATCCAGGGCGCCACGATACCCATCAACCACGCGCGGCCTAACAGGAACCTCACCATCACAAAGAAGGTATGTCATTATTATTATTTAGTTGGGATGTGCACCGTGATAAAATCATATCGACTATTTTAGACGACAAATGTATGGGCTTATCGTGCCGAATCGATAAAACTATCGCGACATCCTTAGCCTACAAGAGTCTAGACTCGGGCGCTGTATACACACTGGTGCGACAAGATCCAGGGCGCCACGATACCCATCAACCACGCGCGGCCTAACAGGAACCTCACCATCACGAAGAAGGTGCGTTATTAGGCGATAAATGTATGGGCTTATCGTGCAAAATCGATAAAAGTTTATCGCGGCATCCTTAGCCTACAAGAGTCTAGACTCGGGCGCTGTATACACGCTGGCTCTCAGGACCCACGTGGGCATGTCCATCGACACGTGGCGCTACTTCGCGGGCTGGTGCGACAAGATCCAGGGCGCCACGATACCCATCAACCACGCGCGGCCTAACAGGAACCTCACCATCACGAAGAAGGTACGTTATTAGACGATAAATGTATGTGCTTATCGTGCAAAATCGATAAAAGTTTATCGCGGCATCCTTAGCCTACAAGAGTCTAGACTCGGGCGCAGTATATACGCTGGTGTGACAAGATCCAGGGCGCCACGATACCCATCAACCACGCGCGGCCTAACAGGAACCTCACCATCACGAAGAAGGTGCGTTATTAGACGATAAATGTATTGGCTTATCGTGCAAAATCGATAAAAGTTTATCGCGGCATCCTTAGCCTACAAGAGTCTAGACTCGGGCGCTGTATACACGCTGGCTCTCAAGACCCACGTGGGCATGTCCATCGACACGTGGCGCTACTTCGCGGGCTGGTGCGACAAGATCCAGGGCGCCACGATACCCATCAACCACGCGCGGCCTAACAGGAACCTCACCATCACGAAGAAGGTGCGTTATTAGACGATAAATGTATGGGCTTATCGTGCAGAATCGATAAAAGTTTATCGCGGCATCCTTAGCCTACAAGAGTCTAGACTCGGGCGCAGTATATACGCTTGTGTGACAAGATCCAGGGCGCCACGATACCCATCAACCACGCGCGGCCTAACAGGAACCTCACCATCACGAAGAAGGTTCGATGCTTGTCATATTTAATTTTTTATTAACAAATTTATCACCTAGGGTAAAAATGCTAAAAGCTTATTGCGATAAGCCCAAACATTTTTTTTTTTCGTCTAAAATCATCGATAAGATTTTATCACGACGCGCATCCCTAGCCCGGCAGGTCACTTAGTATTTACTTTTGGAGCACCACCCTCTCATTTACCAGAGGCTAATGAAGGATTTGGTCTACTCTCTCCACCCTAGTCAAAAGGTTTGGTAAGGCACCATTATCCCATAGTAAAAGTTGTTCATTATCAGGAGTGAACACTTTTTGAAAATTTGGCAACTATCAAACAACTGTATTGGGGAAAATCGCTCTTATTACGACTGCACAAGATGCAGAATGAAGAAAGTCTATTTTTTCTCTCGCTCTCATCAAAATAATGGTGATTCTTTGCGATAGAACGAGACGATATGACCGAAAATGGGTGGCTAGAATTGTGGCCCTTAGTACGTAACTACGTACTATGACGTCACCCCAATAACAAAGATATAAATAGATGTATAGTATTCGTTTATTACTCGCAGGAACCGATCGGCGTGTGCGCGCTCATCACGCCGTGGAACTACCCGCTCATGATGCTGTCGTGGAAAATGGCCGCTTGCCTCGCGGCCGGGAACACCGTCGTCATGAAGCCGGCGGCTGTATGTTATCTTTTTCTATATCTATTTCTATTTAAAGAATCGGTTCCCAAAGTGGGGGGTGCGCCCCCCCTGGGAAGGCGCAAAACCTTTAAAGTGGGGCGCGGGCCATATGTGTACTTAAGTATAAAAAACCTGCGACCGCTGAGAGAATTCATTCCAGACTGCTCGACACGACCAATAAACAATCTTGACTGGAGGAGGGGAGGGCGCGGAATTTTTAGTACGGTCGTAAGGGGGCGCGTCTCAAATAAGTTTGGGAACCAATGATTTAAAGAGTAATATTGTAGTTTAGTCCCGTCATCATTATATTCTCACTGCAGCAACTTCTCTAACCAAAAGAAAATGGAGAATTTGCCCGAATTTGGCCTACATTCTCCACGCAGGCCATACGGGTTGAGAAAGCCTGATGTTCTCATCTTTATGGGCTGTCAAACCACAATAGATTTTTTTGGGACTACGTCGTCTGGTTGCGAGTCGCGACCTCATTAGTTCAAAGTTCAAACGTTTATTTGTCAAAAACACACTAATACAATACTGAATAGATATAAGGTGTATTTATACAGAAGGCAGTATATCAGAATACATTTTTGTTGCAGTTTCGCCCTTAAAACAACTAAATAAAGTTCCAACCTTGACGTGCGAACGTCTCTATTAGAAACCAAATTTTACTGCTTATTAAAAACTCACTCGGTCTTCAAGACTACAATGAAGTGTTAAGAAGTTCTTTAGAATTATTGTTTAATAAAGTTATCCGGATGATGTCATGGCTCACCATAGACACCTCTCTGGGTAGCCTATATCTGATAATAATGCCTACATTCGTCCCGCAGGTATGTCCACTAACAGCTCTGAAGTTCGCCGAGCTAGCAGCGCGAGCGGGAATTCCGCGAGGCGTCATCAACATCCTGCCCGGCAGCGGCGGCGTGGCCGGACAGGCGATGGCCGACCATCCGCTAGTGAGGAAGCTAGGATTTACTGGCAGCACGCCTATCGGTAAGTAATGTCCTTAGATTTATAATATTTTTCTTATCCACAACGAAGGGACTCTGACCTGCATCACACCTAATGGAAAGTAATGATCAGGCCTAAAATGGAAGCAAGTTGCACCCGGAATCCTCCACTACAAGGAAACCTGGCTACCAATAATGCCACCTTATTAGCTAACGCCCGTATTCACAAACGATGCTTGTTTAAGTGAAGCAGAAAATCAAACGCACAGCGTTGAATAGAGCTCTGTTATTGGTTCGTGTGTCACCCTGTGCGTCCACGCGCACTGTGAAACCTCATAGTAATGTTTGTGAATTCGGGCGTTACTCTAATTACCGGAACACAACAATGCTGTTAACATTGTTAACATAGATTACTTAATCTTACCCAAGTTTATCGCCATAACAATGTTAACGCAAGGCGAACTTCAGTGCCGTAAGCGCAAGTGCGCTAACGGCACTGAAGTTTGCCGAGCGATGGCCGACCACCCACTGGTCAGGAAGGTAGAATTTACTGGCAGCACGCCTATTGGTACGTACATGACTAGGCAAAGCCCTTAGATAACTTTAATTTAAAAAATTACCTGCGTTAAAACTTTCGCGGACGCATGTTAGCACCGAAAAATTGTATGAGCACCGTAGTGTGCAATATTATAAATTTCTTAGGAAGTGTCCTTCAGGAACCATTGTTCTTACATACAGAGTCGTATCGTTTCGAACCTATTAAGTATTTTTTGCACACTGTTGGTTCTTAGGCGAACAATGTATGGGCGAAACATAACGCTAACTGTCCCGTCAAGAAGTCAGTGCCAGGATGACTTGAGCCCAAGCATTGGCGTATCATTATTGGTCATTTATCAGGGGGAGCCTGGCCCCTGACATGTCGTATCATAGCTCATGAGTGACTAAAGTCTGGTCGCCGAGCACGTAGAATTTTGTCCAATGACCCCAAGCTACCTATCCTTATCATTAAAATGCTACGTGCTCGGCGACCAGACACTACATAACTGTCACCTTCGAATCGGTAGCCCAAAATCCTAGGGCACCACTAGACCATTCTGGGGTGAGCCCAAGTATTAACTGGTTGTTTATGAATTGATTGCTCAATGCAGGCCAGCAGATAATGTCGTCGTGCGCGGCGTCCAACATGAAGAAAGTGTCTCTGGAGCTGGGCGGCAAGTCGCCGCTCGTCATCTTCGAGGACTGCGACTTGGACAAGGCCGTTAGAAATGTAAGCAATAAACGCTAATCAAAATCCTGTAATATAATTATTTACTAACTAGCGCTTAGCGATATGCTTACGAGTAGTGTTGCCTATTGATAATAATATCGTCTTGTGCAATAAATACTATCGATAGTTTTATGTCCAATATTATCGTTATCATCGTATTGCTCAAAATACGCTACAGTATCGATACACATGGTGATTCTATCGATTGCACTATCGATATCCTGAATATTTTTGATCAACTATCGATAGTGAAACTCCAGCCCGGTTTTCACCAAAGCGGTACGGAGCGAAGAAGTTCCTGGTTTCCTGAATAATGAAATCTAATTGATTATTCAAATTACTTCTCCGCTCCGCTCTGCCTTGGTGGAAACTGGGCCTTGCGATGGTTCCGCAACGTTATTCCACAGCATTACAAGAGATATTTCTCAATGATGCAAGATCATAGCGTACACGCTAAAATGCCGTCTATAGTCTGCTCCGGGAGCACTTAGAATTTTGTCCAATGACCCCAAGCTACCCATCCTTATCGCTCGCGCGTAATTGTGTTGCTGACACGCTCGCACACTCACTGCGGGCGCCCGTCCCACTGTCGTGACAGCAATATAATTACGAACTAGCGATAAGGATGGGTAGCTTGGGGTCATTGGAAATTGTACGTGCTCCCGGACCAGACTATAGTGAACGAAAAATTTCTTTTCACAAACTTCTTGCAACTCCCCAGGGCATGGCATCAGTATTCTTCAACAAAGGCGAGAACTGCATCGCAGCCGGCCGCCTGTTCGTGGAGGAGACGATCCACGACGAGTTCGTGCGACGCGTCGTGGCCGAGACACGCAAGATCGTGATCGGAGACCCGCTGCATAGGGGCACCGCGCACGGACCGCAGAATCATGAGGCGCATCTCAACAAACTTGTAGAGGTATGCTATTAGATAAAAGACGTGTTAACACTTCCTTGTTGTATTCATCCAGGAGATACACTACAAAAACATAGCTACATGGCGCAGATAGATTGTGAATAACGTATGACTATGATGAGTAATGGCTCTTGCAAATAGATTTGCAGGGAGAACATGTCTTTCAAATCAATTCAAATTAACAAAAAACTCTTGAATCAGACTTATAGTTTTCTGAGGGAATTGATAAAGTGCATATTACCGAGCTTTCAGAAGTCCATTGAGGATACGATTGATTATAATCATGATAATGGGGAAATAGGTAGGGTTGCCAACTTTTCTTTCAAAATATAAAGTATATTAGAGGTCGGAGAAGGAAAACAGACAGTATTAAAAAAAAACAAACAGTATAGCTCTACAACGCGTACTTAAATGTGGTGTTGGGCATTTACTTTTAAAAATATCTATGGATACTAGTGATGCTAGCTGAAAACAGTATTTTGTATACTTTATTTTTGTTCAACAGTAAAAAGTATAATTTAGTGAAAAACAGTATAATACTGTTCAAAACAGTATAGTTGGCAACCCTCACCATAGAACGTCATATCAAACGGATTTAGTCCGTTTGCATCCAACGTCTTCTCGTATCCTCAACTATCGGTCCTGTCTTATCCGGAGGGCTGAGTGTGAGTTTACATAAAACGTTCTCACTAGTGAGCGCGTTTAAAAAATATTATGAAAATGTTTAGTACTTGAAAGTTTCCGCTAGGGGCGCTGTACAATCCGTCATACATTTAATGTCATTTTTACGCGCTAACTGGTGAGGACGTTTGATGTAAACTCACACAAACGCCCGTATTCACAAACGATGCTTGCTTAAGTGAAGGTGAAGGTAGTTGCTAATTGCTCATAAGATAGGCCCCCTTAATTTAATTTATTGTCCGTGGTGCATAATCTTTTTCTTAAAGGTTTTAAACCTTTGTTTGTCACCTGTCATCCGCTTTGCAATGGAGGGAAGTCGAACCTTAATTTCGAACTCCTCCTATGTTCTTCTGATTAATTTCGTTGCGGGTCCAATGACAGTTTAACTTTCCCCCGGGACAAACTTGACCTTCATTGGTTGGGTTTTTGTGGCGGTCAAGCTGTAGATCCTGGCTACACATGAGTTGCAGTGGTGGGAACGAGAGGTGGGAATAGTCCCGTTGCTTAAGTGAAGCAGAAAATCGAATGCACAGCGTTGAATAGAGCTATGTGATTGGTTCGTTTGTCACCCTTTGCGTCCACGCGTACTGTGAAACCTCATAGTAATGTTTGTGAATACGGGCGTAAGCTCTCGTTAGATTACGCATACCCATACTGCTACTTTCATCCTCTGCTGCTGCCTGAAAAGTGAAAGTGCGAATAGCCACTTTATTATGAAAGAACAGATATAATAATATTTTAGTCTGGTCTGCGAGCACGTAGAATTTTGTCCAATGACCCCAAACTCCCATCCTTATCGCTCTCGCGTAATTATGTTGCTGTCGCGCTCGCACACTCACTGCGGGCGCCCGTCGCACAGTCGCGACAGCAATATAATTACGCGCGAGCGATAAGGATGGGTAGCTTGGGGTCATTGGACAAAATTCTACGTGCTCACAGACCGGGCCTTACTATTCGTTTATTTCAGTTCTGCGAGCGCGGCGTGAAAGAGGGCGCGACTTTAGTGCTGGGCGGCAAGCGCGTGGAGCGTAAGGGCTACTTCTTCGCGCCCACCGTGTTCACAGACGTGGCCGACCACATGTACATCGCCAAAGAGGAGTCCTTCGGCCCTATCATGATCATCAGCAAGTTTAGCAGCAAGTGAGTACCAGTACATCATTATTTGCCGTACAATAACATTATCAGGGCTACTCGTAATGTGAAGTATTTTAAGAGAACAGACAGCGCGTCCCTAAGCATAAAAAAGATATCTATACATATACATTTAAAAAAACTCAAAGGTGACTGACTGGTAGTGATCTATCAACGCACAGCCCAAACCACTGGACGGATCGGGCTGAAATTTGGCATGCAGGTAGATGTTATGACGTAGGCATCCGCTACGGATTTTACGAACCCTAAGGGCGCTAGTTCTTTTATATACCTACTTTTATGGTGTGTGTCGCATCAGAGCGGCGTGGTGCAGTGTGCTCTGTAGTAAGTGACTGAAATGCACTCAGACCCATTTTTTTTTATAGTGGCACTGCTTACCTCTCCACTGTACCTTTCTTGCTCATGTTTTCTTGCGTTACTGTATCAGTGCGATATGTTATACTAGCTTTACGCCCGCGGCTTCGCCCGCGTGGAATTTTCTCTGTCACAGAAAAACTTTATCGCGCGCGTCCCTGTTTCAGAAACCGGGATAAAAACTATCCTGTCCTTTCCCGGGACTCAAACTATCTCTATGCCAAATTTCATCAAAATCGGTTCATTGGTTTAGGCGTCACAGCAAGACAGAAAGAGTTACTTTCGCATTTATAAGCGCTCCTGCACACGACGCCGCCGCCGCGCCGCCCCCGCGCCTTTGCACTGTTTATACGCGCCGCGTGAAGCCCGCTGCAGCGCCGCCAGCGAAATTATGCTTTGATGGCGCGGTGGCGGCGCGGCGGCGGGCTTTACGCGGCGCGTATGAACAGTGTTGGGGCGCGGCGTTGGCGCGGTGGCGGCGTCGTGTGCAGGAGCGCTAATATTAGTATAGATGTACGAGTACCTATTATTTGTGTTTGTGTAATGACCCATTGTAACAAATGTTTCTTTCTTTTGTTATCAATTACCCAGTCGCTAACTTTCGTGCTTGTTTGTTCCCAGAAACCTAGATGACGTGATCCGTCGGGCGAACGCGACAGAGTACGGGCTAGCGAGCGGCGTGTTCACAAAAGACGTGTCCCGCGCGTTACAATTCGCAGAACGAATCGACGCCGGCACCGTGTTCGTCAATACCTACAACAAGACAGACGTCGCCGCGCCTTTTGGAGGCTTCAAGCAGTCCGGATTTGGAAAGGATTTAGGTAAGACTACATTTATTTATTTATTTATTTTGTTTTATTCAGAAAACAAACAGCTTACAAATATATAAATTGCATAGATACAGTGTAGTTGGTCAAAGCCTATAGTTTTCACCTCTATATAACCAAGGGGTATAAAATTTAACAAATTTTAATTATACGTAGTTAGAAGCAAAGAGAAAAAAAAATGGATAGAAAGAAGTTCGAAGAAATTTGACTATATGTCAGGTCGACGAGTCTGACGCGTGAAATCACCTGCAATCAGTTTTCTTACAGCAGTAGGGAATGCCCGTTTCCACCATCAATCCCTAATTTTTAAGTGACCGCTATGAAAACAAAATTCTTATGCCCGTTTTCACCTTCAATCCCTTATTTGTAAGTGACCCCTATGGTAACTAATAACAGGAACTTTGTTAACATAGGGGACACTTAAAAATTTGGGATTAACTGTGAAAACGGGCAATAGTCACTTAAAAATTAGGGATTGGTGGTGGAAACGGGCATAAAGGCTATTTGGCCAGAGACGCGTTAATGAACTTGGGTAATGCTATTTGGCCAAAGGCGTGTTCTCGCGCGGACCAGGTTCCTCCACTTTATTCACCTGAGTGATATGAGGTGACCAAAATTCCACATTTTTCACACAGGTGATAATATCACGCGGGTGAACAAAGTGGAAAAATCCGCGGACCAGACCGCTTCAATAAGCGATGGTCAATACCAGAGAATGCTCACGCGTGACATATCCCACGCGGCACACTGTTTCCCTAGACATGTTTTGTGTGACGTCATTAAATACTAAACTGACCCGATAAAAGTTCTTGACTAGTTTATTCTATTGGTGCTACTTTACTAATAATAATTGTTTTGTTTCAGGTCAAGAAGCATTGAACGAATACCTCAAAACCAAATGTGTTACCATTGAATACTGATGTGATAAAATTATTTCTTTAGTTAATTAACTGTATAGATATTATCTTAGGCCGTATGTGTAAATGCCAAATGTTATATCACAATATTTTTATACAAATGTATACAAAATCTTTTAATTTGATATGACTGTATCGAATATTTTACCATTATTCTCAATACTTGTTTATACTCGTATTCGTTTGTAATTAATTTAATCTTGACTTGTTCAAAATATTTTATTTATGTAATAAATAAGTAGGTAAGTATGTATTATTGTTGTATTATAAAATTAAAATAAAAAGCGAATTAATTAAACTGATTTTTATTGTTACTGACATATTGTAATCAAGTAAAAATTATATTAAATATTAACAAACGTTTTTATAAGTCACTGAATCTCTATTTTATTTTTACTGCATAAATTTCTTATTTTTATTATCGCTTATCGACTGTTTCAAAGTTTACGATAAGATGCTATTTTTCAACCATCTTTTCTGGTTGTTCTTCGATGTGCGTATCCATCTTTCGAACACGTCTTCTCTGCAAAATAAAAGTAAAAGCATCAAAATAATTATCTATTTTAGATTTTTTATAACCCCTACGCCACACACATAGCGATAACCCGAAGATTCGCGCTATGGCGAAGCGAAGTATGTTGCTAAGTATTTGCGCGAGCTACTGTAAATGTTATGTACCCTTTATGCACAATAAATTTTATATTTCGGTGCTTTTTTACATAGTCGCAAGAATTCACTCCGTTATCCCCTGCCTGAATGATATGTGGATGTGGTTACTTTAGTGCAGAACTCCTGTTAAAACTTTAATAGCAAATACGACGTAAGGTTACCTTATTTTTTGATGAGGAATTCTTGGCAGTCTGGGATCTCCAGCGAGAGTCGGCACCGACACCCTCACTCCGAAAGGTCGCAGGGTCGACAGCATATCGGTCTCAAAGTTGCTAAGCAAAAATATTTTAACGATTAACGAGATAAAAAAGAGTTAAGTTCAATGCACTTACAAATTACTAGGTATACCTTGTATCTTTATAATAAGTTCACGAAAATCATTATTAATCGAAAAAAACTTATAAACGGATAATGTGTCTCTCTACCTGAATTATCAATTAAATTAAGAACATGACTACCACCACTACCTCGCCTCGCTCGATATCTCTTTCTACGTTGACTAAGAGTAGGCGCACACCGTTGATTTTTCGTCGGCCGATAGTTTAGTCGGGCTGTTGATCAGTATGGGCATGTATGGGAGTGCGCACACTACGCCGATTCTATTTGGCCGACTCTTCATACAATTTGAAATCGGGCACAACTATCGGCCAACTAAAAATCAACGGTGTGCGCCTACTCTAATACAAACTACCGTACCAAGAAAAGGGGAAGGTGCTACATCTAGCTAAATAGACAGCATTAAGAATAAATTCAGTAAACCTACAATTCATCCTTGATTGGAATCTTGGGCTGTACGAAGTTCTTAAAGGTCCTCATAATCATGAACTTGTACTGGTAGAAAAATAGCATATTATGTTAGTAATTTTAATATAGGTATGTTACTTATATTAACATGAATTTAATAGTCAGCAGCTTTTCATTTCTACTTCTACTAAAACATGCCTAGAATAGAAGTTGATATCATGCATTCATCAGCAATAGAGGAAGTACGCAATGCATGAATATTTTAGATGCTACCCTACAGTTATGCTCGCTCTCTAATCATAATAGAAAAGCTATGAAGATTATCAGAAACCTTTGGAAATATATTCATGATTATTTAGTTAGAACTAAAGAACTTACGAAGCATTTTCTTAGAATAAGGTTTGCTTTTGATGAATGCATTTTTATCCTCAATGTTGATAAATAATGCTGAAAAATATCACACGAGAATTTTAATAAATATTTTTGAAAAGCTGGATTTTCTGAGTCAAAAAATTCAGAAATGATTAGATGAATGAAGTTTACAAAATAAGTTTTGCCATAAATATTCAATACAGCGTGTAGGTGTAGAGTAATTTTCTTTGCTGTTTGCTTGCTGCTTTAAAAACTTAAAATGTCAATGTGACAGACAGACTATTTTTGACAGAAGAATTGATTTTTCCAAATCCTAGCACAACTTGTGTTTATTTGGTGTTTTTTAGATCTTCAGTCTAATAAGAACTTGTCTACGAAAATGAGCAAAGGAAAGATCCCATTACGCGACATATCTCCTGCCTTGCAAGCCCTAAGGAATTTCCTATTGGGCGTAAGTTCCCATTTTATACTTGACATTATGTAACTTTAAGTTCTCTTTATTTCTATTCATTTAATTATAACCTTTTAGAGGAAACACAACAATGCCCTGCGTTTTGCGCCGTTATTAGCGGCTAGGACGCAACCTCCCCCGGAAATTCCTGATGGAGTCTCGCACAAGTGAGTTCAATAACATAACCTATACGTCAATATCAGCTGGTCGAAATTTTACAAGTAGAAGTTACATACTATCCTTCCTCCAATCATAATTTTGATTATTCTTCAGTATTATGAAGTGAATGCCGAGTAAGTAAGATGGCTTGTAGTATTCAGAGCAGGTTTGTTAAGAATATAAAATTTTGTGTTCTTTTCAGACATGCTCACAACTACTATTACACTCGAGATGCTCGTCGTGAAGTTGCTCCCCCGTCTGATGTCACCACGTTGCTACTTGAAGCCAGTTCCGACAAAGGGTAATCTTTATATTCATGTTATAAATCAATTAGAAACAATTTAACTAACAAATTGTTAGAAACACAAATACAAACATGTTATTCAGAAATTAAAAGTTATTGTATCTTTACAGGGCTCCCAAACAAGCAGCTAATGTAAGGCCAACCCCAGGACCACTGTACGCGTGGGACAAACACTATGAATAACTAGCCAACAAATATGGGAAGATGCTAGAAAACTTGTTTTTAATTATTTAATATAGACCTATCACACTGTGACATAGTTTTACTATTGCAACTATTATTGAATTGATAGACAGACATAAAATATGTATTAGTTGAAAATAGTAGTTCGTAGGATCTTATGTTATGCATAAAATAAACAACCTGTAAGTAATTAGATATTTCTTTTTATTAAAAAACAGGCTTGAATTCAATACAATTAAACAAATAATAACAAGGACATACACTGGTCAGAACAAAACCTAAGTTTTAATAATTCATCAACTATTATATTCTAGACAATAATGTAACATGCCTTATTTATTATTTTTAACAATTTTGAAGCTTGCTAAGAATGTTTATAATATTATTATTGGCCCAGCCAACATGATTTATAGTGTAAAACAAATAATACAATTGTTAAGCAAAATTAAGGCAACATAAAGTAAAAAAAATGCCGAGAAATTAAACTATGTGCAAAACAAGATGATACTTCAAATAATATGATTAGGTCACTAACAGTCATAATTGAAATAAGTAGAATTAAATTATGGCTATATCTATTACAATCCACAGAAAACATTTGGACCTTACAATACCTATTTATTGGTGGTAAGTATAATTTATACTTTATACTAGTTTTTCAGTGCAAGTGAGAGATTAGCATTCATGTCTTGATTTCACCGAATCCATGGTCTTAATAGCTGGAGTTATAATAACGATTATACAGACAACATTAAAACATTATATTAATATGTTGTAACATTCTAGGATTACATCCATTAATTTTATTTAACACAACTACATAGAAGTTTGGTTGAATAATCATAACTCTTTGCTTTGCCATAGCCAGGTAAACTTAGAACTAAATACCCACAATTTATTAATTTAAGTAGTTATTTTATAAGCAGATTCTATTATTTTTAAGTTTATTAGTATTTATTCTACATGTAATTAATTGTATTATATTCATCATAATTTCAACATACAACAAGAAATTGTAACTCCTCTTCAGATCTCTTTGCATGCAAACTTGTACAACCTTAACAATCTTAGTGTGATATCAATATATTCGATAGCTATTTGCTGCCTGTGAGAACTTATCTCTAATATCTATTCTACGACCTCTTGGTCATCTTCATCAAAGTTTTATAGATGACCCACGCTGAACTGTCCCGCCAAACTCAATGACAGGGAGGCGCTACCATCGTTCAACTATATGGTTTCCAACATGGCAAAAATCGGAACCAGCGATCCGGTATTGACGGTGGCGCCCCACTGTCAATGTCATGCACAGGACAGTTCAGTATTTTGGAACTATAACCATCTGTACAGCCCTACGCACTACCTATCTACCACTACACGCAGTTCAGATTTCACATTCAAACATCTATTTTCAGTACTGGGCCGGTATTTCACCGCAATCACTGCACCACAATCTAATCACTGGAATCGGTGGTCTCCGGCGTTCTGATGTTTGACAGCGAGAAATTCCCGAAGCTGAAAGTCTTACGCGACCGCCGCGGCCGGTCCCTAAACCTTTGTCATTTCTCTCCGTCGACCTGCTTCCGGAACTGCATGGCGTCGCCGAACGCCTTTTTGACGGCTTTCCGTTCGGTCGGCTTTCTGGATTCGACCAGTTTTGCCTGGTCGACGGCTTTGTCGGCGCCCAGGAGTTCGAGTTTGTTCGGCGGCAGCCACTGCCAGGTTCGTTTGACATCGAAGAATAGAACGAGATAGAGGACCGGTTCGTGCGAGTGGTTCTTCTTGAGATTGAGAACGTCTTGTGGCGGGACGGGCAGCGGCACGCCGTTGTAGATGAAGCCTTTCGGGATTTTTGGGTCGATTATCAGCGCTGGGTACCACGGATAGCCTCTGTTGAAAACAATAGTAAATTAAACACAACAAAAACATTGTACCGGCTGAATGTATGCAACTGGTACAAAATGCAAAGTATAGCCTGACCAGGAACATAAAAACCCTGGCATAAAGGCGCGTCAATTGCATTTGATAGTGCAACACTGAGTACAGTCGTACCTGTGTTAAATTAATAGGCTAACTTTATATATCAGGATTCAGGATTACGGGCTAATTTGATATTTTCATAAATTAACAAAAAAATATTATTATAGGTAACCTGGTTTAAATAAATTAAATTAAAACATCAATCGAGCTAGTAGGATTTATTTTATTATTCATCAATAATCAAATTCAGAACTTGAATATTCAACTGCAATGTCTGCTCATGAACGCTTAAAACTCGGTACTTCTTTCCCAATCCCATAAAATTCAACACTTAGAAAGTGAAAAAAAATTAAAATAGGTAGTTGAAACAAACAACAGCTAATTTTCATAGTGGACTGTACTATACGATAAACATGTCAGTCAATTTGACACCCTTGTCGGAAAAATTATTCAATGAAAATATTGTCCGAACCCTTAGTATTTCTCTTCGACAAATACTTTAACACATTGTGAACCACTTTTCTTTCACGACTATAAAAAGATTTTAGCAATTTAATTCACAAAATCAATTGCGCGCATTTAAAATAAAGTTTGTTTACACTTTGACAGCAATAGACTGACATGCAAGGTGACATGTCAATGAAGTTTTCAGTTACTGTTGCCATTAAAAGAAATTAGTACCATTAGTTTTCCGCAACATGGCGAGGGTTTTTATGTTCCTGGTCAGGCTATATATAATATTTCTCATACATATTAACTTAAATACACAAGAAAGGAAATCAGTCCCAAAAATGCGACTTTTCGCCCTTCCTATAGTGTGCCCGCGAGTTGATTGCAGGCTTTTTAGAACATTTTACTTCAGGCGAACTGCATTCAATTCGAAAAAAGCCCGCCATATCTAACATAAACATATACAACTAGTGCGAAATTAGACCCTAACGCTTCAGTAATAGATAGCAAGTTGGTACAGCACACGACTCACCGGCACTTGGCCCACACCAGCTGCAGCGGCTCGAGCGGCGCGCCGGCGCTCTTGACGGGCGTCTTGGACGCCGACGACCGCGTGCCGCGCCCCTATAGAGGGTTATAAGTATTTTAAAATACTCTTAGGCCGTTTGTAGACATTACATATTATAGTATTTGTTTTTTCACCGGACGATGGACCGTCAAAAAACGGATATCCTTTGTTTGCTGTCAATTTTCTCACCGGACTTGTTCACACGTTCATTATAAACCATACACCACCGCTAAATCCGGCGAAAAAATCGGGCCGTTGTCCGGTAAAAAAAACGGATGTTCACAAGCGGCTTTATACTACCTACAGTAATACACTACAGGTCAGACAAAAACCTAAGTTTTACTAGTTAATGAAACATGCGCCGGCGCTCTTGACAGGCGTCTTGGGATCCAAAATACTGTTTTACCTATCTACACTAATCAGACAGAAACTTTTACTAATTCATCAAATATGCGCTGGCGCTTTTTACAGGAAACTTGGAGTTTGACCAGCGAGGTCCTACCTGAAACTTTTTAATCTTTTCTGAAGTTTGGCACCTTTTGAACTTCGTACGCGTGGATCCCGTTTTACCCCCTTAGGAGTTTTGAAAATCCCATCTTAGTGAGCACCTACGTTTTAAAAGGAACCCCCATGCAAAACTTGTAGTTTCTGAGATTTCGTGATGAGTGAGTCAGTCAATCAATCAATCGCTCCATTGCCACGTCTTAACGTTATAATTTTGTTTTGCGTGTGTGTTTGTGAGTTACCTTGACAGGAGTAGAGGGTTCCGGGTCGGAGGCGTCGGCGCGGCGCGTGCGGCGGCGGCCCGTGCGCTCCGGGCCGCTTGACCTGCAACGGACCATGGATTAGTCTAGTCAGCCTTTACATTCAAGACACTTTGTCATTGAGTTTTTATACAAATATCTTTGCTACTAAATAAATAGGATACCTACTATTGCGCTATTTGACACCAATTCGACTATACTTATGGGCCTTGTTAAAATTGTCATTCTTGCAACTCACGAAGGCGAGTGATCTTTACATGTGTGTGTATGTGTACATGCACATAACGTAGTGTAATGTCTATCAAAACTTTTGAAAAACGAACAGTAGCGAGCCACAACACATGTAAAACTCACCTTCGTGAATTGCAAACTATTTGGAAATGTCATTTTAAACCATGTTAATTAAACTTTTTGTAATAACACTATTTTTTGTATTTAATTAAAATAGGTGTTATTTTACAACCATACCACCCTAAACTGCTTCTACCCTTTTAAATGACGTAACATTCCAGTGCATAGGCTGTTATAACAGAATCTACTCACGCGTCGGAGGAGCTGAGGTCGCAGGAGTGCGTGGAGCCGTTGTCGTCGTCGTAGTGCGTGCACGACGAGCACGACTGCGACCACGCCGAGCTACTGCTCGACGACCTGGAGGAGACAAGATAAAAATACCCTTTATTTAAATACTTGAAAGAAATACGGTATAAACCTTCGAGGGATTACAGGCATATGAATAGTTTACCACTTACAAGTGTAATGGACTTGGTTGTGACCCTGAATATATCTGAAAACATTTTGGATATTTACGCCTAGTCCAATAGATCACACTTTTGGTCGAGACCCCAAGGTACATGGTAGGAATCCCGTTTTCCGTAACTAATTAAGTAGTTCATGAAAGTCTATTATTATCGTAAAAACTCCAAAATATTTACCAATTATAATATGAGTTTTGCTCAGTCTGAGACTAGCTGCATCATCATTATTTCAGCCACAGCCACGAGACATCGACTGCTGAACGAAAGCCACCCTCATCGTTATGAGACTAGCTGGCGCCATTAATTTCTAGCGTGTTACCTCCAGGTAAGCTCTCCTCATTCAGCTCTCCAGAGCTGAATGAGGGAGGCCGCTGCCTTCGCCGAATTCTCCGCATATACTGGCCCGAGAAAATCTCCAACGTCGAGCTATTGGAACGTCGCCACAAAATTCCGATCGACCAGCAGATCAAGCGCCGCAAGTGGAACTGAATGGACATGGCGCACAATTTTTGTTGAAGATGCCAAAAAATACTACAAAAAATTAGAATGAATACTGTATTTTTACTTTTTTGATATCTTTAAAAATGACTGAAATATTCAAGCTCAAAGTGCGCTCTTCCGCTAGGAGCGATTTTCCGCGCGGATTTTGAAAATGTGACGTAGTAACATGAAAAGCTGCATGTAAGATATTATCTGTGTACAATGGTTAGAATGGTTAGTAGGGGAGCCGAAGCGGGGATTTCGGGACTTACTAAAGAGTGGCAGACTAACATACAAGGAAATACTTTGTACCTGNAACTCGCAATTTAGCAGGTACATTAATTTGACTGTTTCACAACTCTAAATCTATTTAACTTACATTACTATCAAATAACTGGACTATTTACTCGTTATTGAGCACAGAGACACAAACTTGGTTATTTTTCCAGAAAATTTATATTTAAGTGCATAAATGTAAAAATGGCTTCATACTGCACAAAATTGGCAATAGGTGGCATAATAATGGTTACTTTTTTAGCGCCTAGTTTGAAATGTGATTGAACGATGACAACTAACAACAGTTGTCAGTTAGGTAAAATTTTATTTTAGTTGGAAAAAGACAAAAAGTGGTAAATGGGTTAACGTGCGGGGGCTGCAAAATCATGTTGTGACGTCACGCGCGAATATTGGAAATTTTTGAAAATTTTAAAATGTCCGTAAACTTCTCGAGGCTCTATCTTCGGTAATACTGGATGGATTGAGGTGAAATAAAAACTAGTGTAATGTGTGTGATCTAAACTTTAAATTAAGACATAATTTAACTTAATATTACAACTTATGCGTGTTGTCCATTGGCCACACTCTCCGAAGGGACGCCGATCACATCCCCAAGCAGGCTCTGGATTGGAACCCCCAAGGAAAACGCAAACGTGGTCGCCCCAAGCAAACTTGGCGGCGCACTGCAGCAGACGAGGCGAAGAAAATCGGCAAGACCTGGAGCGAGATCAAGCGCGAAGCTCAAGACCGAACGCGATGGAGGACTGTTGTGGACGCCTTCTGCCCCATCTAGAGGACATAGGACCTTAAGTCAAGTAAGTCACCTGGAGAGCGCCAGGTCGCTGTCGGAGCCGACCTCGCCAGGCGGCCCGCGGTACTGCAGGAAGGCCGCCGCCACCGGCGCCGCCGGCGGCTTGCCCGACCCGCTCTGCATCGATCTGCAAATGAGTATTCATAAATGGAAGACTATTTCCGAAAACACACCAATATTTATTTTTAAAGGTAAACAAAAAGAAGGTTTTTCAAACGGGCAAAATCTAGCTTATAGTAGTCCCAGATATGACACTGACAGGAGGGCGCCACTGTAAATATTGGGTTATTAGTTCCGACTTTTGCCACTTGAGGTTGCAGAATCGTTGGACGTTTCCATTGTAGGAGCTGACCCCATCTAATTTAGCATCAAAACGAAAAGAAGTTTTGGCCACTAGTAAGTCAAGAAGTTCGCATATATCATTTACTCACCCTTACTCGTCTCTTATAACATCAACGGTACCTAATAGTGATGGTGATGGTACTATTGTACTCTGAAGTAACCCCACACATATCTAAAGTCCGGTCGCCGAGCAGATACTATTTCGTCCAATGATCCCTAGCTACCCATCCTTATCGAGTAGCTTGGTATCATTGGACGAAATAGTATCTGCTCGGCGACCGGACTTTAAAACTCCACAATACCTGAACAGGTCAGGAGACGCGTTCCTCTGCTTCTTGTCGGCCTTGCGCGGGCGGCCGCGGCCCTTCTTCTTGGGCGACGCCGACGCCGCGCGGCCCAGGCTGCCCGACAGAGTGGGCAGAGTTGCTAAGGAAATATGTCTCAGGTTAATAAAGTACACACACATGTACATCGTTTTATCCACGAAGACGCGCCTCACCAATTTTGGGCCGAGGGAAGCGCGGGGTGCGGGGAGTTTGATCCGAGCGTCATTATTGTAGTGTGCGTGTGCACTCATGGATAATTTTGCGTGTACCGATAACACTCAAACATTAGCAGAAGAATGGTGGGACGCGATTACGTGTTTGTTACGATCTGCAATAGTATAATGTATATCGTTAACTAACCCACTTATATCCCTAAGGAGTTTATACCTAAAATCAATGTATAAGCACGGTTCGTTAGTGAAACCGAGACAGAAGACAGATACATGAGTCAAGTAATGTAACGCTTGCGGTCCCTTGCGTGGCGTAAACCGCCGCCTTTACACTACACACAATGAAGCAAGTGCACATTGCTAAATCAAATAAAAAGAGGGAATTTGGAATAAATACTAGTAAAATAAAATTACATCGACACCAAATTACATACATGTATAATTAGTTTCTATCTAATCGTCTACATATTTACCTTTCTTCGCCTCTAGCGGTGCGTGAAAAAACAAGACTCACTAAAGTTTTATTGCAATCGAGTGAATGATGGGAGAGACTTTTGGCCAGCAGTGAATGGAATTTGGTTGAAACGAACGAATGATTTAGCAAGTTGTAGCTGTATTTTAACGATTGTTTGACAAAGAACACGTGTGAAAAATAAGTTATAGTACGGCGAACTCACCATCAGATCCGAAACTCTTTGGTGGCGCTGAGCCCGTAGACGGAGGCAGAAGTAATGTTGGTTTCCGAAGTCCACCCAAAAGACCTAAGCCTGAACAAATAATAAAACTTAATTAGGTATATTATAGTGACACAGTTTTCATTCTTAACAGGTTTTTTAAACGCTTGCTGCCTGTTACAGCAGTTAATCCAGCAACTAAAACAATAGGGCTTAAAAGAGTAGAAGGGCAACGCTAAAATTGGCGAAAACGTGTAAGACAGGTTTCCAGTTTTCTAAACTCGCGACCCTCGGCTTATATTAACGATGCAACTAATATGCGGGCATCGTTCCGTACACCTGTAGGCCCTAAGAAGAAAAAAGATTAGAGAAATACCAGTAACTTACTGGGTGTTGAGTCAGATTGTTTTATGGGCGACTTCTCCGGCGTGACCAGCTTGTGAGTTCGCTCCACGCTCTTCCGGGGCGGAATGGGCGTCTCCGAACCCGAGGTCGGCGTTTCTGGAAAACATATTTCAAAATAACTCACCCGCAGATAGTTTGAATCACAGATATGGATGGTTTGAACGTTCTGAATTTTTTTTATGACATGATAGTGGGTTAGGAGTCCTACTAATCGATAGACAATAGACATGTGTATCGTTTAGCGTTTTAAAGATTTTAATTTTTTATTCAACAACTAAGGTCCCAACCCCAGTGTCAGCCGTTATGTTGTCATAGGCTGACTTATTTATTTTTATTTATTTTGTTCGCCTTTCGCCCCGCGGGCGACCCACCGTGCGAGCTGGCGATGACTCGCGCTGTAGCAACTAGCACCTAGACTCGCTGTGAATAAGAACCATTATGGTGCGCAGGGTCCGGAGTAGTGGCAACAACATCCTGACCATGATTGCGAGCAGGTTGGATTGTGTGTACGTGAGGCATTGCTGTGACACAGCCTATGGAGTGAAGCGGGGATGACTCATGTATGCATAACCTCACACTTGTGGATTTGGAATTGAAATGAGTATAATTTATTATAATACTTATTTCAATTCTAAATCTAAATCTAAATTCAATTTTACATCTGTTTCAACTCAACTAACATAGTTTTTAAGTGCAATTGTTATTAACAAACTGAGTCCTAGTAACTTGAATAAAGAATGATTTATTATTTATTATTATTATTATTATTATTACTCACCATTGTCCGTCAATTTTTGTGATGAGAAAGGTGTTATTGAGTACTCAGCGACCGGCGCTCATTTTACTCACGGAGGCTTACAGGTCGTGCAGCACGGCAGCGTTACCTGTGCTTGCCGGCGTGTTGCCCGCCGACCTGAAAGTCTCTCGTGCAGGACGACTTGCGGAGGAGGGAATCCAACTGGCCCCCAGGGAGCGCCGGGAATTGAAGCGCATCATTAGAGAGGATGCCGTGGCCTTTTGGCAGGAGCGGTGGGATACCAGCAGCGACGGACGTGAGCTGTACCAGTTCTTTCCCATCGTGGCGGTGAGGCTCTCACTCGGCTGGGAAGAACCTGGTTACGTGGTTTCCCAATTGTTAACTGGGCACGGGTGCTTCAGGCAGCGCCTACACAGGATGACGCTGTGCGAGTCTGCACTATGCCCATACGGCGAGGAAGTCGAAGAGAGCCGCGATCACGCACTTCGGGAATGTAACCTCTATGACGAAGCTCGACAGAAGATGCTGGATGCGATACGGAGAGCCGAGCGAGGACCTGTTTATCACCAGGACCTCACGAGTAGTCGCAGTAACTGGATCGCGCTGTGCGAGTTCGCGCACTCCTGGCACACAATCAGGCGAAGTTATGAGAAGAAGTGATGACATTTATCAACGATAGCAGCCCGACGCGAAGTACCGTATTCGTGGTGTCAAGCCCCAGAAGGGGGAGAATTGACTATGAGAAGGGACATGGATCAGACAAAATTTGTAGGGAGTCAAGCAAAGCGCCCGGGGAAAAGAGTCCAGAGCAAGTACCCGCGCGCTCTCCTGAGATTCGGTTCGTACGCCGTGAGGCAGGAAGAACCATGGGTGGTGGTGGGTTACTCACCATTGTTCAGCAGCGGTCGCGCGGCGTGCAGCGGGGGCCTGCCGCGGCCCCTGCGCCCGCGCCGGCCGCGCGCGCCCCGCCCGCGCCCGCGACAGCGACGTCTCGCGCTGTAGCAACTAGCACCTAGACCAGCTTGGAATAAGAACCATTATCGCTCACCATTGTCCAGCAGCGGTCGCGCGGCGTGCAGCGGCGGCCTACCGCGGCCCCTGCGCCCGCGCCGGCCGCGCGCGCCCCGCCTGCGCCCGCGCCAGCGGCCCCGCGGGCGACCCACCGTGCGAGCTGGCGACGACTCGTGCTATAGGAACTAGCACCTAGACCAGCTTGGAATAAGGACCATTATTGCTCACTATTGTCCAGCAGCGGGCGCGCGGCGTGTAGCGGGGGGCGGCCGCGGTCCCTGCGTCCGCGCCAACGACGGCTCGCGCTATAGGAACTAGCACCTAGACTCGCTGTGAATAAGAACCATTATCGATTACCATTGTCCAGCAGCGGACGCGCGGCGTGCAGCGGCGGCCTGCCGCGGCCCCTGCGCCCGCGTACGCTGGCGACGACTCGCGCTATAGGAACTAACACCTAGACTCGCTGTGAATAAGAACCATTATTGCTCACCGTTGTCCAGCAGCGGTCGCGCGGCGTGCAGCGGCGGCCTGCCGCGGCCCCTGCGCCCGCGCCGTCCGCGCACGCCCCGCCCGCGCCCGCGCCAGCGGCCCCGCGGACGCCCCACCGTGCGAGCCGGGGATGACTCGCGCTGTAGGTGTAATAAGCCAGTTGAGGGATACTAATTAACAGGAGATCAGGCATCATCAGACAATGAGAGCTATCGTTTTTATACTTAACAGTTGGCACCCCTGGCGATTGACAGGACCTTACTCTACAGTGGCGCCATCTTGATGAGTGCAAATACGATAGTCCTCCTATCACTTTCGCGCTCACCAGTTGGTGCCACTGTCTTCGCTACTAGCAAGTGACAGGACCTTACTCTACAGTGGCGCTAACTGGTGAGCGCTAAAACGATAGCCCTCATTTAGGTATTTTTAAGAAGCGTCGGTACGACGTTTTTCCACGAAGTTTTCATCGAAATATCCACGTTTGACATTAGTATAAATTTATAGTTTTGTTTTTCAAAGGCAAAATAATCAAACAAACGAAAAATAGACAACTAATCATACATATTTTACAATTAATCAAAAAAATATTTAGAAATAATTTAAAATGGTTGAAAGAAAAACAATACCGTATTGTTGTCATCATCAGAATCTCTGCAAGGACTGGGCCGTCTCCTTTCGCTGCGGGCCAGGGAAACGCTCCGTTCGCTTCGTGTGTCTAAAAAGGAATCAGATGGTTTAATCATGTCTGTTATTCTCAATCAAATGATACATAGTTTTGTTCATTTATTCAGTATCAAGCATTATAAGTAAAAATAAAATGTTATAAAAGTTGAACTGACTGTTCTGCTTAGCCTAGGCACAGACCACCGATTTTTCGTCGGCCGATAGTTTAGTCGGGCAGTTAATCAGTATGGGGATGTATGGAAGTGCGCTCATTACACAGATTTGATATCGGCCGATTCTTCATACAAATTAAAATCGAGCCCAACTATCGGCCAACTAAAAGTTGATGGCAGACCATCACCTAGGCTCAACCTAGGCTTAAAATTGACATAAAAATCATATAAAAAGCTACGCACCAGCGGTATGGTCGCTGTCACTGGCCAAGGCGCGACTCACGGGCCGGCCCCTCTTCTGTCTCGCGAGGCTGGGGCGGCGCCCGGGCCTGCCTCGCTCGGGGCTCCTGCGGCGGCTCCTTCCACGCTCGGGGCTGCGGCGCCGGCTTGCCCTCTCACGCTCAGCACTCCGCCTAGTAGTCCTCTCTCGCTCTACACTAAGGCGACGACTGGTTCTCTCCCTTTCTGGACTACCCCGACGACTCAACCTATCTCGCTCGGAACTGCCTCGCCGGCTCATTCGGTCGCGTTCGGGACTTCCCCGCCGAACGCTCCTGCCTCGTTCGGGACTGCGCGCCCGACTAGCTCTATCTCTCTCTAGACTGCCGCGACGACTGATCGGACTCCCGCGGCGACTGGTTGTGCTACCACGACGGCTCATCCTGTCTCTTTCTGGACTGCCCCGGCGGCTCGTCCTATCTCTTTCTGGACTGCCCCGACGACTAGTCCTATCTCTTTCTAAGCTGCCTCGACGGCTAGTGCGGTCTCTCTCTACACTGCCTCGTCGACTGGTTCGATCTAGCTCGGGACTGCCCCGGCGGCTAACTCGGCCTCGCTCCGGGCTGCGACGGCTGATTCTGTCCCGCTCGGAGCTCGCCCGGCGGCTGATCCTGTCTCTGTCTGCACTGAGGCGGCGGCTCGTTCTGTCTCGCTCGGGGCTGTCGTCGGCTAAACCCGGCCCGGAGCCAGCCAGTTCGGGTAAGCCGGCCGCTCGCACGTCGCGCCGCGCTTGGCGGAAGATCGGTAAGCATTGCTCTCGCATTTTCACACCGGCCCTAGATAGAAATAATAAACAAATTCTAAAAAAGCTCGCAGCTCGAAATATGCTTACATTTAAGTCTAGACTAGATATCCCAGAAGGGGGAGAGGCTACACAAGGAACAAAGAAAAATAATTTGTAAGGAGTCAAGAAGACTGCAATCTGCCCAAGACAGTAGCATTTTTACGCCGAATCTCTAGCATTTCGACCAATATAACCACAAGGTTAGTCCTCACGCTAATAATAATAATAATAATAAAAGCCTTTATTCACTGACCATTTTAACTTACATGCTATTTTTTAAGATAATAATATAAATATTCTTAAATCTAATTTAACTAGGTAGCACAATTAATTTTATTAGCAACCGCTTTGGTCAGGTTGTCTGTCGACATAGGCCTCCCCCAATTGTTTCCACGTCTCTCTTTCCTTGGCAGACCTTCTCCATCCTTTTGGTAAATCGTCCTCCCATCTTTTGACGCTAATATTGACTTCTGAACGTGTCGTCTCACCAACGCTAGTGCAGCAACGACGTGAACTGCGATACTTATCCGAAAAAAAAAAACATTGGCGCCGTGCGAAGGCGACGGCACCGGTACGTAGCGCTGGCAAGAAGACGACGACGTTCGAAAGACCCTGTAGTGTGGGGGGTCCCTAAATTCGCAACAAACAATTTGAATAGGTGCGTATAATACAGAAAAATTACAAAAAGGAAAGTATAAATATACGAGATACGAGTATCTGGTGGGTCGTATTAGGCGGTGTACTAACTTGTAGAAGACGGTGTCCTTATTGTTGTAGGCGAGGCAGTTGTCGATCATGAGGCGGAAGTCTGCCTCCACGTCGTCGACGGAGGCGTAGGCGCCGCGCTCCAGCTTCTTGCCCATCGTGCTGAGGTCCATCGGGTGCTTCACGATGCTGCTGTAGTCCGGCACCTGAGGTAAATATGTAAATATTTAAGCTATTAAAATTTAGTACCTCAATGGAACTGTTTGTTGTCCCAAATAAAGAGAAAATAAATAAATATAATCGTAGCCTTCAAGTACCAGCGAATCGGGACACAATAATAAATAAATAAATATATAAATAAATATCCTTGGATATTTACACTGCGCTTCTAGTCCCAAACTAAGCAAAGCTTGTACTATGGGTACTAGACAACGGATATAAACATACTTAAATACTTTTTTTTTTGTAAATACATACTTATTATACATAGAAAACACCCAGTCCAATACAAACAAATATGTTCATGCACACAAATGTTTGTACTGTGCGGGAATCGAACCCGCTACCTTCGGAATAGTAGTCCGTTTCGAACGAATAGAAATCATTTTTATTGTTACCACGTCCGCTTAGGGTTAAGGTATGCTTTTTAAACACAACGCCTTTACGCTTACCAGTTGGCGCCACTGACTAGCCCGATCACCAGTTGGCGCCGCTAACAAATCCGCTCACCAGTTGGCGCCGCTAACGAATCCGCTCACCAGTTGGCGCCGTAAACAATTCCGCTCACAAATTGGTGCCAGTAATTATTCCGCTCACCAGTTGGCGGCAGTAACGAGTAGTTAGACCACAACGCCCACTGACCTCGTTCAAGTCCACGGGCTCGGTGAAGATGTCGCTGGCGTCGCGCTGCCGCAGCAGCCGCAGCAGCTTGTGCAGCACGGCGCGCTCGGGCCGCAGCGAGTGCAGCACGCAGCGCTCCCACACGCGTGTGTACTCCGCCTTAAGGCGCTCCCGCTTGCGAACCAGCTCGCATAGTAATCTGGCCAACATCAATATAATGTTTAAATAGATATAATTTATTTTTACGATCATCTTTGTGATAGAATGACGCGAAAAAACATGACATACATTCTAAGAAATAGGGGAACATAGTAGCTCTTCTGGAGTCAAAACTATAAAAAGTAGCGAGCTTTTACTTACCTAGCACGTTCCAAATCCTGGCGTATTCTCTGCCAGTATTTCAGCTGGTTACAAAGTTCCCTCACATTCACAGTGCCATCTTGGATTCCTCGAGTACCTACAGAAAAAAACAGAACTATATCTTCCCATGATCTTTTTAAGTATACGAGCAGCTCAAGGCCTGCCAGTGGCACGTCTTGTCTACATTTGCTGGCTCATCAGTGGCGCCAACTGGCATACCATGATTATACTAGCCAGCGTTGCCAATTGGCATATGGTAGCGGTTACTCGTTAGTGGGGCCTGACGGTGGCGCCTGATGGTGACTGACATATTGGTAATTGTTTTCATTAGTGCCAACTGGTATACCATGGTGGTTACTCATCAGTGGCGCCAACTGGCATACTGTGATAGTTCCTCGTCATTAGTGCCAAATGGCATACCACGATTTTACTAGTCAATGGCGCCAACTGGCTTACCATGATGGCTAGTGAGGCTCTGCAGACGGCGCAGCAGCGGCACGCCGTTCCGGTTGTGTCGCTTGAGCGTCCAGTAGGCGAGCAGGCGCTTCATGAGCTGCGCGCGCGGGGCTATCTACTAGTCACTGGCGCTAACTAGCATATGGTAATGGTTACTATACTAGTCAGTGGCACCAACTGGCTTACCGTGGTGGCTAGTGAGGCTAGTGGTTCCGGTTGTGTCGCTTGAGCGTCCAGTAGATGAGCAGGCGCTTCATGAGCTGCGCGCGCGCGGCTCTTTTAAAAGGCAGTAGCGCCAACTGGCAGACCATGATTTCCTCTTTACCGTGGTGGCTGGTGAGGCTCTGCAGACGACGCAGCAGCGGCACGCCGTTCCGGTTATGTCGCTTGAGCGTCCAGTAGGCGAGCAGCCGCTTCATTAGCTGCGCGCGCGCGGCTCTTTTAAAAGGCAGTGGCGCCAACTGGCAGACCATGATTTTAATAGTCAGTGGCGCCAACTGGCATACCATAATTTTACTTGTCAGTGACCCCAATTCACTCACCGTGGTGGCTGGTGAGACTCTGCAGACGGCGCAGCACCAGCACTCTATTCCAGTTTTGTCGCTTGACCGTCCAGTAGGCGAGCAGGCGCTTCATGAGATGCGCGCGCGCGGCTCTTTTAAAAGGCAGTAGCGCCAACTGGCAGACCATGATTTTAATAGTCAGTGGCGCCAACTGGCATACCATAATTTTACTTGTCAGTGGCCCCAATTCACTCACCGTGGTGGCTAGTGAGGCTCTGTAGACGACGCAGCAGTGGCACGCCGTTTCGGTTGTGTCGCTTGATCGTCCAGTAGGCGAGCAGGCGCTTCATGAGCTGCGCGCGCGCGACGGGTTTACAAATCAATGGCGCCAATTAGTGACATACCATGATTTCAAATGTATTCTGCAACACAGCTGGGGGAATATAGCAAGGCAACCACATACCGTGGTGGCTAGTGAGGCTCTGCAGACGGCGCAGCAGCGGCACTCCGTTCCGGTTGTGTCGCTTGAGCGTCCAGTAGGCGAGCAGGCGCTTCATGAGCTGCGCGCGCGCGGCGATCTACTAGTCACTGGCGCCAACTAGCATATGGTAATGGTTACTATACTAGTCAGTGGCGCCAACTAGTATATGGTAATGGTTACTATACTAGTCAGTGGCGCCAACTGGCTTACCATGATGACTGGTGAGGCTCTGCAGACGACGCAGCAGCGGCACGCCGTTCCGGTTGTGTCGCTTGAGCGTCCAGTAGGCGAGCAGCCGCTTCATGAGTTGCGCGCGCGCGTCTATGTACTAGTCACTGGCGCCAACTGGCATACCATAATTTTACTTGTCAGTGGCCCCAATTCACTCACCGTGGTGGCTAGTGAGGCTCTGTAGACGACGCAACAGCGGCACGCCGTTCCGGTTGTGTCGCTTGAGCGTCCAGTAGGCGAGCAGCCGCTTCATGAGTTGCGCGCGCGTGGCAATATTACTAGTCAGTGGCGACAACTGGCATACCATAATTTTACTTGTCAGTGGCCCCAATTCACTCACCGTGGTGGCTAGTGAGGCTCTGCAGACGGCGCAGCAGCGGCACTCCGTTCCGGTTGTGTCGCTTGAGCGTCCAGTAGGCGAGCAGGCGCTTCATGAGCTGCGCGCGCGCGGCGGGCGGCCCGCGCGCCAGTGCTGCCACCTCCGACACACGCTCGGCGGGTAAAGTCGGTACTAAAACCACTGGAGCCCAAGTACGCTTCATCGCTAGCACTCGACGCGCCTGGAGAACATCAATAGACATTACGTGAACGACAAATTCAGGAATCTTGCATCTTATGTCGTTGTTAGGCCTCAGCCTCGAACTTAGCGGGCAGCGGGGCGGGAGCGGCGGCGGCGCTGGAGCGGGGCGGGCAACGCAGACCCGTTCTCGAAACAAGCGGGCAGCTCGCGCGGCGCTTTAGCGGCGAAGTGTTGTGTTCGGGGTTGTGTTGTCGAGATATTTGTTTTTATTCGAAAAACGAAATGTCTGAACAACGGCAACAATCTTATTTCGATTAAAATTTATTCCTAACGCTCGATTTATTGTGGGCAAAAGAAGGAGTGCACTGCACGCTCGTTGCCCGCTCCCTCGCCGCTGCCCGCTCGTTGCCCGCTGCCGCCCCGCTGCCGCGCCGCTGTTTTCGAGAACCGGTCTATTTGATTTTACGCATAAGATCCTGCCACTCCCGCGCCGCCGCCGCCGCCGCCCCGCTGCCCGCTAAGTTCGAGGCTGAGGCCTAAGGCACAATTTAGCAATAAAAGTAGCTGTGTTGGCTCTAATACCACAGGAGCCTATGGCGACTTTTAGAATCGCGCTGACCGCTCGCTGATCGTCGGCACTGACAGATCCATATGTACGTAATTGAAGGGAACGTTCCTGAGTGACGCTGATCGCTTGGCGCCGACGCTTCATACATTTCTGATGGTCAGCTCAGCTGGTGACTCTCAGCCTATGTGCGCTTCATTGATAGCACGCGCCGACTGTGAACCCTTGAAAAGGAGGCTGACAATAGGGACTGAGTTTCTTACGCTGCTTCGTCTCAGCACTGGCCCATTTATTGTCCTGAAGCAGTGGTAGGGTTAGTTGAACTCTGGGACGTGTAAAGGTGCTTTTTAAAAGCCCATTTATTTTGCAAAAATGAGTTTTAATTTTTAACACGTAAACGTCATACGTAGTCTAACTGAAAAGCTTTCTGTTTCGCTAGCAGCACACATTATTTAATATTTGAACTTGAATGTGTAATGTCTTGTGGTTTCCTGAATGCGAATATTATGTGAGTCAGTGTGAGTACCGTATTCGCTTCAACTCTCGCTGCGCGACCTGTAAATAAAGCATTGAGGTCTAGGAATATCTTACCTGGATTATTTTCTCTCTTCCTTTTTGTCTGATAGCAGTCAAATCTGTTGATTTTGAATCTCCTTCAGACTCCTGAGCTCTTCTTTCCTGTAAAACGCCACTAATCATACATCTGTCTCCTTTTCAACTTTGACTGTACAACCTAGCTTTAGAAACTTTAAAGGCCAATGTATAACCCACTTAATTATAAGCTGCATGTGTCAAACAAGGCTGTATGTTTCTTTAATAAAGGTAAATAAATAAATAATATAGATGACACATTTTGAATAAACGTTTAGTAGATTTCTATTAAAAAGCCCTGTAAATATGACCCTTATGTCTACAACTGTAAGGCATAAATACCTGTAGCACGTGCGCGGGCGTGTGCGCGTCGCAGTAGGCCATCTTGGCCACCTGCACGGGCTGCGAAGGGTCGCGGCCCGCGCCCGCCGCCTCCATCTTCATGTATAACCTGCAACGTGTTTATTTAGATTATTTTATTTATTAGTCAGTTTGCTTCTACCCACTTTTGAGCTATAGTGGTTTTGTGGGCGGATGAGTTACTTGGCCCCGCCCCCTTCGAAAGACCTAGTGGCACATTAAAAGCATAGGACCGTAGGTAATGAATTGCTGGTTGTTATGATGCGCTGTGCTCTATCCTCTGCAGTAATGAATTACTGCCACAATAGATCAAACCTGGTCGAGATGGCGCTAATGAAGGCCCAAAACCATCCTCTGCAGTCGACTTTACGAAAGTATCGGTCGGCTATAAGTCCTGCAGTTGGACCTCAGGTGGCGCTAATGAGGGTATCAACCAAAGAAGGCACAGCGATGAGTGTGAGATTCTGTTTCTGCACGTTGTGCATTAGTTCTGGAAAGAAGTCCGCTTCTCCTAGCTTAGCCGGTTTCATTGCTATCAGGCTCCAATTAGGGGAGTGACTAGAACGAATATTTATGGTGTCAGCCTGAGGTGCTAGCAGCCAGCTCGTGCAGTCAATCTCGCGCTCTCATTGTGAACTATTTTTTTATTTCTGTTCAAAGCATGTTTATTGCCTTGTACTAAGAAGTTAACAGCCAGCAGGATCCCTCGTGCTCTCGATAAACGATATATTTATTTATTACGCCGTGTAAAGCTATGTATACCCGGCTTGCTGCGCGCAGGTGACGTGGAAGGCGGAGTAGCAGTTGCTGCGGTGGCACTGGATGCAGGCGCCGGCGCCACGCTGCTTGCACACCATGCACTGGAGTTTCCAACGGGCCGCTGGGATCATCTCGATCGAATCTGTATAGCGAAACATTTTGTTTGAGGCTAAGGCCCTGCCACACTGACGGATTACAAGCGAATGCAAAGCGGAGCGGCGACATGACGAGCACGAGGCGGAAACGTTGCGCATACGCGTCGTCTCCGCCGCATCGCCGCTCCGCGTTGAAAACGCTTGTAATCCGCCAGTGTGGCAGCTCACTAGAAGTGATGGGTCAGAAAGGAAGCTTTACTCTCTAGGTATTTATAGAGCCTTTTTTAGAGCCGAAGCTCGTTTTCTCTATGTATTTAAAGCTCTTCTTAGATGCTAGTGAGAGGGACACTAATATCTTTCCAGCATCTTCGTCTCGCCAGCGCCCGCGCAGCATCTAGTAAGGCTGTGGGCTCCTATAAACGCCGTAGGCCGCGTCACAATGCTTACTAAAGAAATATACTGTGGTGATCTCTTTCAGACGTTGACGTCGGCGTATTAACGACACTGATAGCCGCGTATAGCGTTTACTAGAAAACCGTAGTTTAAGAACAGCATCAAAGCATAAATATGAAAGTAAATATTTTCCTTCTACGAATAATCACTTTGTGATAAATCAATCTTCAAAAATCAAGTGTGCTGTAACAGCTGAGACTTTTATGTAATGAGCCATTTCTTTCATTACACTTCACTAATAAAACCAAATATTACTAGCAATAATAAATACATTCTACTAACTTACCTATTGGCTCCAAGAATACTGTATTGGCGAAGCGGACCTCTGGTATCCAGAGGGCACACACAACATGAGCCCATGTTCCTTGATCAGTTTGCTTGAATGCACCTGTTAACAAACTTAACTTTTTAGTACTCTTTGGTTTGGCCAAGAAATATTACAAAGTATTTCTGTAAGATGTGTAGTGTACCTCCAGTGTTTGGGCAAAGCACACAGTTGACAAGGCGTGAAGGCGACTGCAGGCAGCGTCGACATAGCCACTGGCCTTCTGGGATGTATGGAACCTGGAACAATTTTCATTTCATTACAATGAGAACACAAAAAAAAAACATATTCTTACATCAATTTGATAGATGTTTATAAAATAAATTTACCAATTAGTAACTAGTTGCTTTAGAAAATTGTGAGGCAGTTATAGAAACTTATTTGATTCAGTGAACTTAATTAATTTTATTATATGAGTTTGAAAGTTATTTGAGAGTTCCAAGTTATTGATCAAGTATAAATATTAAAAGAACTTACTCCATAACAATCCTGGTGCACAGCCAAGTTGCACATGTCACAGAACAGAATGACGTTGGTGTTCTGACATTCTCCGTCCATGCAGATGCAGCAAACTGCGTCCTCATCCACCGCTGCTGCTGTCTGTTGCCCACTTTGAGTTGCCTATTTAAATTATGTTATTATTATTAAAACATGTTATTAGGGTCTCACCCAAAACTAATCCTGATAAAAAACAGAACTGAAAAATGTATGCTATTTTGATTTTTTTTTTACCACACAAAACAAGAAGAGAAAGGAACAGACAAAAAGTTGCTTAAATAACTTAATTCACTTATTACTATACTCAACTTTTTGTTCTACTGAACAAGGTCATTCATGGACTAGATTATTAGTCTGTCTGGCAAAAGCATTAACATTTTACAAACGTACCTGAAAGTACGATTCCTTTTCCAATCTATCCATCAGCAACTCCAACGTGTCCACAGACACCGGAGGCAGGTTCTGCTTCACCCGCATCTTGTTGATGATCGCCAGCCATGCTGTATCTTCCTCGTCCACATCATACTCCACCTCTCCATCCAGTTCCTCTGCTGACTTCTCGATAAAACGGATGTAGGCATTGGGCCGAGGTGGAGCATCAACCACTCTTTCATTGTAGTCTGGTATAAGCTGGTATACAATGAAAGAAGCTGTTAATCTCATTGTTTCTTTTACAATATAAATCATAATAAACTGGAATATTGTTAACTAGTACTAAACAGTAATTGACACAAAAATACAGTAACATAAACAATTACAAACCTTGAAACTAGCTTCTGGTAATTTGACATGAGGCTCAACTGGGGGCTCCACATAAGGCAGTGGTTTATCAAGCTCAGCATTCTTCTTCTCCCACTCTTCCAAAGACATGATAGGCAGTGGTTGGTCAATGGGAATTCTACTAATTTTGCCATCTACCTCAAACTGCACCACTTTCTGAGCTTCAGCGAAAGTCAAGGCTTCTTTGGGCGGGCTCTGGAGTGCAATATCTCCAGTGGCGACTGGAGTCTTAAACGCGCCTCTCTTCTTGCGATTGTGAGCAACAGTCGGGGTCGCCGGTGTAGGATTGTCATGGTCGTAGTGCACCAAATGATACTGCAGCCCACAGAGACTCTTGTAAACCTTGTCACATTTCTCCAGTGGACACTGGTACGGCGGCGGACGGTTTTGACGCAATTTCTTACAAAACTCTAAAACGTCGAAGTCCAAACCCATGTTTACAACTTGCAATCATGAGCCTATGATTGGGCCACACGTAGTACAGAATCACACACTCCAAATCGTCGTATACGCGGCTAAACGATTTAAAAATTAATTGCAACCAAACAATTATGAATTGTTCAAGAAAACTAATTCAATTTTATAAAAAAAACATCCCAAAAACGAGCAGCCAAGTTGAGCCAAGCTTCGTCAATTTTTTGACAGCTGTTGGCGCGTTCCGAATCGATACTCACACACACGCTATCGTAGCGCAGCTGCAGCAGAGCCTGGCTGTATAGTAAAATATCTTTTGCTAGTGAAAAAAATAGTTAAAAGAAAGTTCGGTCATCTATCAGCTGACATCACTGACATGTGTCATTTCTTGTCTTGTTGTGGGTTTATTTGTTTGGGATATTTTTGTTAAATTTATGTAAAAAATAGGCTTATTAATTCATCGTAAATATGTCTGACGATAGTGCTAAAAAGCCTAAACCTGGCGAAGCAGCATTAAAAAATATGAAGCTGTTAAAAAAAGAGAGCAGCGTATTTAAAGTTCCCAAAGTGCCTAAAAAGAAACCCAGTACAAAGAAAGCTAAAGTCTTGGAAGAGGAAGTGTATGTAGAGGTAAATATTTGATAAAATATGTTTCACTAATGAAGTTAAATAACGCACAAAAAATTTTGAACTCTAAAATACCTACTCAATACATTGTTTTTTATACTGCTGATTTCATATCTACCATGCAATCTATACTAACTCACAATTAACATTTACTATTTGTGAAAGAAAGTATTTATTCACACATTTCATAAAAAAGGCATAATAGCAGATAACTGAGGAGGTTCCTGTGGTAGTGGTAGAACGGTAAGGGAGCTGTGATTTGGATTCATCAAATCCTGCGAGATTTCAGATAACTATTCAGTTCCAGAAAATACTGCAAGAACCTTCAGTTATGTGCTATGCCTGTTAGTACTGATCTACTTTTGATGCCTTTGCTGGAACATCTTTAAACAATAAAAAACCACCTTTATATAAAAACAATATGTTTTCTTTCAGGGTATAGCAAAGATTATTCAAAGAGATTTTTTTCCTGACTTAGAAAAATTAAAAGCACAAAATGAGTTTCTAGAAGCTACAGAAAACAAAGACTACTCCAGACTCCGAGAGATCACACAAAAATACAGCGGCAGCAGACCTCCCACTGAGCCTTGTAAGCATTAACCTTATTAACTTTTTTATACTGTATTTTACAAGGGAAGAGTTTTATGCATAGGTAGGAGGTAAAGTAAAGCATGACAAAAAAGTTTCTCGATCACATAAAACCTTGTTTCAGATAATTCCCCTGCCACTTTCGACACTCCGGGCCCGGACCGGCCCTACTCCTTGTCAGCCCCCACAGTAAGAGAGCACAGATCTGACCTGGATGACGTTGGCGCCATTGACAAACCTAAAGATATCACAGATGACCACACTTTGGGTAAGAAAGAGTTGTTAATAAATTACATTGTATGAAAGTACTAGGATATTTCTGTGCAAGATATTGACTTGCTGATTATCTGGCATGATTTCTCTAAACATCAAAACTGTTTTTGTAACAATCAGAGTGGACTTCTCTTGATTAGAGAACCTCCATGCCGAAAGGTGATTATATGTATGGCTTATTTGCTCATGATCTTAACTTTCACATCCTAGTGTACTTTTTTAAATGGCATGCAGGCAGACATACGCGCACCTTGCTATTCGGTGCCTAGCTAGACCATTCCTGTCGCTGGCCAGCTCTAATAATTAATATTACATATTGTTTTGTACCTTTGTGTTTTTATAGCTCCTCTAAATTTTCACCCTAAATAACCTAATCAAAATGCTATTTTCATCCTTTCAGATTCATACTTATCAACACACACAAGCGAAGACAACGCCAGCTACGACAAAGTGATAGCACTGGAAGACAAGAAGCGGGCTTCCAAACTGGCGGTACAACTTAACGCGGAGGTGTCGTCGGCTGAGCTCGCTGACAAGGCGCTCGCCTTGCCCTCCATAGAGGAGCAGGCGGACCAGACTGAGAGGCCACATGAGGTAATAAAAGATTTATTTATCCTTGTGAGAAATCTAATATTGTATTTTTTTTTATTACGAAATCCAACAGCAATACAAATACAAATAATGAAACTTAAAATTACATTTATAGGTAATCGCAAATGGTAATAATCGCCTAAATCCGGGAAATTAAGCACAATTACTGAATTTGATCCGTGATCGGGATCCTAGATGTCACGGATGGCTGGTAACCCTAGTCTTAGATCTTAGGTGACTTTTATAGAACCTAGCTCAAAATAAATTTCAGTTTCAAGCAAATATTGTGATTTTTGTTTTAGTTAATAACAATATTTAGACCAATTTTTGACTGAGAATACATCAAGTTTTGTTGTCTTGTACGGTCCGTTTCACTGTTTGAAAATGCCTTTACCTAAATGTTATTTTTGGTTACATAAAAATACCTTTATCTTCACATATTCGTATTTTCCCCCTCCCAGCTAGACACATGGCGATACAAAGCTAAGAACTACATAATGTACGTGCCAGATGGAGCACCGTCGCAGCCACCGCCACGCAAGCCGGACTTATTACGTCACAACACGCGCCTTCGCGCCGAGCCCTTCGACCACGTCAAGAACAAAGAGGCCATCACCGCCATCGCTAGGACGCAGGTCAGTGACATATAAAGAATAAAGAACCTTATGTGCGTGACGGACGGTGCATAGTCGCAGCGGCCGCCGCGCAAGCCCGACCTACTACGTCACAACGCTTGCACGCCGAGCCCTTCGACCACGTCAAGAACAAAGAGGCCGTCACCGCCATCGCTAGGACGCAGGTCAGTAACATATAAACAATAAAGAACCTTATGTACGTGACGGCCGGTGCATAGTCGCAGCCGCTTCGCCCAAGCCGGACTTATTACCTCACAACACGCGCCTGCGCGCGGAACCCTTCGACCACGTCAAGAATAAAGAGGCCATCACCGCCATCGCTAGGACGCAGGTCAGTAACATATAAACAATAAAGAACCTTATGTACGTGACGGCCGGTGCATAGTCGCAGCCGCTTCGCCCAAGCCGGACTTATTACGTCACAACACGCGCCTGCGCGCGGAACCCTTCGACCACGTCAAGAATAAAGAGGCCATCACCGCCATCGTTAGGACGCAGGTTGGTAACATGATAAATGATAAAGAACCTTATGTAAGTTACGGAAGGTGCATAGTCGCAACCGCCGCCGCGCAATCTGAACTTATTACGTCACAACACGCGCTTGCGCGCCGAGCCCTTCGACCACGTCAAGAACAAAGAGGCCATCACCGCCATCGCTAGGACGCAGGTTGGTAACATGATAAACAATAATGAACCTTATGTACGTGACGGACGGTGCATAGTCGCAGCCGCCGCCGCGCAAGCCCGACTTATTACGTCACAACACGCGCCTTCGCGCCGAGCCCTTCGACCACGTCAAGAACAAAGAGGCCATCACTGCCATCTCTAGGATGCAGGTCAGTGACACGTAATAAACAGTAAACTACCTTATGTGCGTGACGGACGGTGCACAATCGCAGCCACCGCCGCGCAAGCGTGACTTATTACGTCACAACACGCGCCTGCGCGCGGAACCCTTCGACCACGTCAAGAACAAAGAAGCCATCACCGCATTGCTCGCAGGTCAGTAACATATAAACAAAAAAGAACCTTATGTACGTGACGGACGGTGCATAGTCACAGCCGCCGCGCAAGCCCGACTTATTACGTCACAATACGCGATTGCGCGCGGAACCCTTCGACCACGCCAAGAACAAGGAGGCCATCACCGCAATCGCCAGAACGCAGGTTGGTAACATGATAAACAATAATGAATCTAATGCACGTGCTGAACGGTGCATAGTCGCAGCCGCCGCCATGCAAGCCCGACCTATCGCCAGTCACGTCACACCACGTCAAGAACTATCGCCAGGACGCAGGTCAGCATCACAAAGATAAACTAAGATAACGTATTGTCGACAGCACATCAGGATTTATGCATGTTATTCTTAGCACCTTGCAACTAGATAAGACGTTAGTGTACATTATTTTTGTTTAGCTTAATATGCCGTCATCTATTCGTGCCTGACGACGAGCAAACTGAATTTTAGCTTAAAATAAACCAGTTTTTTCCACCAGGTAAATAATATAACCGCCGGTCTAGTGGTAAGACCACCTGCTTCAGACGCAGAGGTCCCGGGTTCGATTCCCAGTGGGGGCAGATTTTTCTGTTCGGTTTGGTTGGTGGTAGGGCTTGTTCATAGTCCGCCTGGCTAGCTACCACCATCTTACCTAAGCCTGTCGCCATAACAACAATGATAACAGCATTGTTGTGTTCCGGTAGTGTAATGTGTATTTTATATTAATTCCTGGCAGAGACACAATGAAACAGTTAGATGTGCACACTGTAGGTTTATTCGTCAGAATGAAGATTATCCTAAGCTTATATACTAGTGGTTTACCTAATATGGGGAAAGGATGCATACACACTACAGTAGTTAGACGTAAGATAGCCAGTTCCTCCGTGGTTGAGGATTCCGAGTGAAGCTCGCTTCCACCTTCGGCCTGATCATCACTTACCATCAGGTGAGATACAGGCCAAGAGCTTCCTTGTTGTGGAAAAAATAAATGAAAAAAAAAACATCCGTTTCCAATCCGCAGGACGCGACAGCCACAGGCAAGATAGGCGTGGACGGAGTAAGCATATCAAGCGAGAAGGCAGGCTACGAGTACCTGGCCACGCCGTCGCCGCGGCCGGGCGACGGGCCCGACCAGTCGCCGCTCATGACCTGGGGACACATCGAGGGCACGCCCTTCCGCCTCGACGGCGGGGACACGCCCTTACCAGCGTGAGTCACTGATCCAATAACAACAGGAGTACATACCTGTAGGCCTAAGATGCGCGCCGCGATAAGCAGTTAATAAATTTTGATGTCGATAAAGTATATCACGGCGCTCATCTTAGCCCGGGTCATTGAAATCAAGTTTTCAACAAAAGCCAGCAGTAACAAATGTTTTACGCATTTAGCATTTCGTTTGCAATTTTGATTGTTTTGTATTGAAGTTGTCAAGAAGTCAAGTTGCTCAATCAAATGATTATCATCGTTTCTCAAAACCCACATCAAAAGGTTTTTTCGGTTCGCATTTTGTCTCATAAAGTCAAGTGTAATTTAATAAAACCAAAATTAATAACCTATCACGATTTAGCTCCGTGCATCCGTGCAAGTTAACGCCGGGGGCGTGCCGCGCGTAGAAACACGTCACCTTAAGGCGGTCCGTATCCTTATCGTCGACGCGTATCATGATCGCATAATAGGCTAGTTGCCTAAAAAAATTTTTTTAGTCCGTAATGTTTAATATCAAAAAATATTGGACACATATATTTTTATTTGTCAATCTAACAAATAATTACATAGTTATGGTGCGTTGAAGTTGCGCACGACGTCACAACGTGCGGCATTTTTAAGCAAGCGTTGACGTCACGGGCCTCTTCTTATGAACTTTGGGGCGCTTTATCTCTTTAAATTTTCATTAGTTTGAAAAAGTGAAAAATACGTGTAGATTATTTTTTGATAAGTTAACTGACGGACTAATTAAAACTCTTGCTTTTTGACCCAGGCAACATCCCCATTATGTGGACGGATCGGTGATCGGATCGGGCAAATGATACATGTCTGGACCCGCCTTAACATTATTAACAAACCAAAGATGTATCAATCTTTATGTTGCAGCGTGGGCGCGGGCGCGGCCTACCGCATGCTGGAGGGCGGCGCGCGCGAGCGCATCGCGCTGCAGCTGTGCGAGCGCGCCGCGCGCCGCCGCCGACCCACCACGCCGCGCGCCGCCGCCGACTCCTTCACGCCACTGTGAGTTTATATTTACTTAGTAATATACAGGGTGACTTTCTAATCAGTAAAAAAAAAATAGTTTTAAAGGCTTATTTTCGCTCACCATTATGTCTATTAAGCTTTGCAGTTAACTGTGTGTACGTATTTTTCTATCAACGAAGCGAATTATCCACGTGAGCCAATTTTGAAACCGCGCGCAGCGGGTAAATATAATTAAATATGAAAAAAAAAACATGTTTATTTCTTTACGTAAATCGACTAGGTTACTGATTCTGAGTCGCTCCTGAAAATTTGGACACTGATACAAAAATATCCTGTATTGTTTAGTGCATGATTGAGTCAGTGCTTGAGGTATGGAAGCGTTGAGCGGCATGGGGAGGATTTTAGTGACATCAAACGTCAACAAGATTTCAGATGTGTGCTTCTTGTATGCTCTGTCAATAGTCATATGTCATGCCTCCCGTGCCGCTCCTATACCTCAGGCACTGACTTAATTATGCGTTAGATCTGTATAAGGCGAACTTATTTCTCATCAACATTATATCTTTAGTCAAGTTCTCTATTGATAGACAAGAAAGAAGCAAGAAACATCAAAGTGCACGTTCACTTCTGCTTACTTCATCCAACTTATGCCTAGTCTTGAGGGCTTAGTGTGAGTTTACATCAAACGTCCTAGTGAGCGCGTAAAAAAATTACATTTAAATGAATCCGTACTAAAACTCATATATTTTTTTAACGCGCTTACTAGCGAGGACGTTTGATGTAAACTGAACTCACTCAGCCCTCTAGACATCGGTCCACTAAAAACATTCTAGTGTACGGAGACGTGGTTTCTACTAGAAAACTCGTAATATACTGATTAAAATACTTCATCAGTTTCAGAACAAACACAGAGCGCCTCGCCAGCATGTCTCCAGCGGCGCGGAAGCTGGCCACCAAGCACCTGCTCTCCCCGCGCCTCAAGCTCACCCCCCACGACGTCGGCATCCACGCGCGCACCCCTACTCCGCGCCGTCCGCTCGTGGCCACGCCCACGCACCACAACGCCACGCCCACTCGCGGCAGTGCCACGCCCAACATGCCCAGCACACACGGCTCCACAGAAAACAACATCACAGATAACCTCCTGCAGATCAACGTGGCTAAACGGACGAGGTTAAAAGCGCAGGACTTCTTCCAATAGCAGATAATAAACGTATTTAAAACAGTTGCTGTTTTCTTTACAACACGTGTCTGAGTGGCCGTTCCCAAATCGAGCCTATGACTGGCAGTCATAAACTGCCGTCATTTTGTCTATGATAACTCCCACACAAAACTTCAATCTAACACGGTTTTCAAGAAAACTAGCTTTGAAACTACATAAACCAAAATGCAGCAACTTTATGGCAGTAACATCGAAAAATTTTAATTCAGTTGATGTGATGTAAATACAGGGTGTAAAATAAAACATGTACTAAAAATTCAAATACTATATTTAGTCCAATCCCAATTTCATTAGCAAATATCAACAAATACATTCGTACTTACGTATAGTCATGAATGATTAGCGATTAATAACTTATTCAATTTACAATAATAAAAACGAAATATAAAAAACTATAAATTTAATTCGATTGGTTTACATTTAAGGGCTGATTTTTCAATCGTTGGTTAAGTTTTAACTGAAGAATAGAACTGTCATTTTGACTTATTTCCCATACTAAAACTGTCAATATGCCAAACTTATTCTTCAGTTAAAAGTTATCCAGCTATTGAAAAATCAGGCCTGCCCCCCTAGACAAAACGCACTTTTTGATCGAATCGAAAATCGAATCCGTCAAAACTCCATACAAAAAAGGGGCTTTTCGACTACTTTTCGACTGGTTTGCGATTATAATTTGCACTTTGTCTAGACCCACTGAATATGATAAAACAAATTTTTAAATGTCATGTATAAAAATCTCATGAATTAATAATAAATTAAAACTCTTAGATAAAAATAATATAAATACACTCAACATCAAATAAACCGCACCTTCCGCGACGCGAACTTTAAAGATTTTCTTCTGACACAATCATGGTACCCCAACAATATTGGTGTTATTTGAAAGCCCAATAAATATCCTTAGAAAAATACATTTAATTTCTAAATAAATGATTAACATATATGTACCATAAATGTGACTTGAAAATAGACCTCACTTTGGGCTCACCTCTGGGATCAATTAGACCAATTTTTATGGTTATAAAACCAAATAAAGATCTCACGTGTCCTCTTTAACAGATGGATAGCGATTAATCCCAACTTAACAGTTTTATAGTCATAAAAAATGGCTATAGCGTAATTACCTATTTTTTGAAAAAGTGACTCTGGATCCTTGTAAAGACACATTTTTGGGGTAAAAAGCTTTCCTTTAATGAAATGAAGTTTAGAACTAGGCTTTCAAATGGTACCAATGTTGGTGGGAAGTGGGGATGCAGACGTTTGATTAGTGCTTGTCGCGGGAGGTGCGATTTATTTGATGCCGAGTGTATTATACCGTAATTTACGTTAGCTGTTAGTTTAAATTATTTTTCTGAAAACCTATACATAGTATGGGTAATTCGGCAAGTACAGAACAGCGCATGTAAAATACAATACATAGTCAGGTCACTTTATTTAAATAAATAAAAAATCTATTTAAATCGAACCAACCTGGTTCGATCTAAACTTGTATTTGAATCGAGTTTATAGCTCGAGTAAGAATATTATCCATCATGAAGAGTTTTGCATTTTTTAAAACCCTTATTAAAATTATTGTTTCTCAAAAGTTCACTGGCCTAACAATACTAAATAAATTATTGTTCTTTTTGACCAATAATTTCTACGATTCTTTTTACTATTATTACTATAATACACTAAAGCGTTAAAATATTTTATTGCTTTATTTCATTATTAATCATTACCGTTTGCTTGCAGTGGCATTTTTTTAAAACTTAATGAAAATAGTACAATACTGCAGAAATATAATATTATAGTATTTCTTGCCTAATGACGTTGAAGTTAATCTTAATTACAAAAAACTTAACACCACTAATTGGTCCATAGAATATACAACATAAATAATGTCTTAACATTGTACTTACTACTATAGTTTGATTTTAATTTGAACAGCGGAAGGCCCCTTGATCTAATAATTACTAAAACTAAATTCCTTAGCTCTATTCATGACCATGTCATCTATTTATCTAAATATTGTGCATTGCTTGTCATTCAATAAAATTACGTGATTAATGATAAAAACATCAAAAATCGATGTATTAAAGCAATAAGATTCAACATCTTGCAAGCGAAAAACTACCTTATGCCTAAGCAAACAAGATTCGATAGGCTCCAATTCCTTTGGCACGCCTTCCTAAGCTCGAAATTGTTTTACAGTATAATCTGAACTTGTGATACTCTTATTAGCAAGAATACCTGGTAGAGTTACTACGAAATGAACACTAGTACACTGGAATTATGTCTCATTTTCGAATGAAATAATCACTAAAGGTAAATAATGCCATAATTTATGGCAAGGTTCTTTACGTAATGTATTACATTTTTTTACGCAATAAATGCTACTTGTAAAGTGACCATTATAATGGTCAGATATTACTGAAGCCACATTGTCAAATAAACAACATGCAAGTTATAAAAAAAATTACCACCAAATAATGGACCATAGAATCTTATACCAGGGCTCGTCAACTTTTTTCTTGTTGTAATATTCCGCGTTCGGTATCAAGCTAGTGTCATCAGTCGGGTCCTCCTCGAATATGTTTATCAGAGATGCTTTGATTCCGAATCTGAAGAACGCAAGATAAGGAAAATATTTCATGAGGAATAGACTGTACAAGAAATTCCAGTTGAAGTAAAGTCTGCCTAGATACGTCGTGTATAACACCGCCGCTATGAAGTTGAAGGCTAGTTTGTATTTGCCTCTGAAGCTGAGCCGTTTGAAATGTGGGGCGCTGTCCAGGGAATCGTAGTCCTGGACGTATAAGAGTCTGGGTGGAAGGTCAGGCAGCCCGTCGACGCCTGGTTTTGACATCAACAGCTTAGAATCCACACCTGAAACAAAACAAGTCTTGTAAAATACGTTGTATTCTTTGGTCTATGTCGTCGACGTATTTCGAGTTTGAACGTTTCCAAAGTAGTCGTGGCAATTGCCATTCGCTCACTTAAATCATGGATGTCATGTCCATAGGTATACCTAACTTCTGGGGGGCATGCAATTTTCACTATGAAACGAACATGATAACATCATCAGTTTTAAAAAACTAGTGTTCAGAGTAATAACCTATTGCAATTCCACTGTATACTATAATTAGTAAAATTATGTTTTCAATAGACGCGCTGTTTAGTAATTATTAATTATTATTAATTACTATACAGTGCGTTTATTCAAAACAAAACTGAGTTTGTTCTGGCGTTTCTTCTCAGCACTTGCCATATGTTTGTCTCGAAGCGCTGGTAGGGCCCAAAAGATAAGGAGACATGTAAAGTGCCCCATAAGGGCTACCTTTTCTTTTTTTATTATTTTCTATTGACGTTCATAAGTGCCACTTGTGGTCTAAACTGAATAAATATTTTTTGATTTTGATTTTGATTGAATAAAACTCAGAAGTTATTGTCAATTTTCAACCGACTTCAAAAAAGGAGGAGGTTCTCAATTCGACCCGTATGTTTTTTTTTTCTATGTTTGTTACGCGATAACTCCGCCAATTATGAACCGATTTGAACAAATCTTTTTTCGGCGTATAGGTAATACCTCAAGGGTGGTCCCATTTAAAGGACAATGTTCGTTCTCCATACATTGTTCGCCTAAAGAACCAACAATTTTGACATATTACTACCCGAAAGCGAAATAATACGATTCTGTGTGTAAGAACAATGATTCCTGATGGACACTTGCCATAAAATTAATGATTAAGAATATTAAATCACAGCGATTTTATAATATGTCGTTTANAATAATAGAAAAAACAACCCCCAAGGGTGGAAAATTGGGGATGAACTTTTTTATACGCAATATCTCCGCCGATTATAAATCAATTTGAACGATTATTTCTTTGTTGAATAGGTATTATCAAAAGGGAGGTTTCATGCGAATTTGAAGAAAATATTTCACCCCTAAGGGTGGAAAATTGGGGATGAACTTTTTTATACGCAATATTTTTAATTTTTAGTTTTTTTTGTGTTCACGCATTTGAAGTCGGTTTTATTTTTTTAAAAAGGTAATTATAATATATGAACTCGTTTAAATTCTGATGTTACTCACCGGTATCAGGCTGCTTTCCTTTCAAATGTTTCTTTAATTTATCCTGTAGCTTTACACGTTCGTCCTCAGTATAAATGTATCCGGGCACATCAGCCAAGTACCGACAGAAGTACAAGGTAGCCTCTTCGTCCACCGTAGGGTTGACCGACCACATGCCGTCAAGCATGACTCGCGCCGCGTGCTCGAAGTATTCTGGAACGTTCTCTAAGCACGGCGTGTAGACGCGGTCTAGTAACAGCTGGCACACCTCGCGGGTTTCATCAAATGTCTTGCGGCAAATGTTGTATCTGTAAGTGAGAGGCACAGTTTAGAAAAATGAAACTGTTGCAGAATCTTTTATTTTAGTTTTTTACTTTAAAGCACTGAGGACAATACAAGAAGGAAGGATAGGTTGCTCATATGTAAAGCAGATGAGGACATTTTATTTAGATTTTATGCTTAGTGAAAACTCATCTATGTAGGGTTGTTAAGGCAGGCGACTATGGCATCATAAATAAAAATACTGTTTTTTGAGTTACCTGCAGTTCCCTCCAAGTGATTGATCCATGTTTATCGTGCAATGAGCTTTTACACTCGTCAGTTGGCGCCACTATAGAGCAGGATCTTTTGCTAGTGGTGCCAACTGTAACTGTTGAGCACAACAATAATATTCCTCACTAAATGTCACTCACCTATCCTCCAGCCCGATCATATACCCGATGACGTGCCAGAAGTAGTTGTAGGCCTCCCAGTCGCCCTCCCTTAGCTGTCGGATGCCGAGCTTGTCCGGCTTGAGCACGGAGAAGCCGATGAACCCGAACTGCGTGAGCGCCACGTCTCGCTGCGACACCACGCCCAAACCTTTGAGCTTCGCCGCCATGCCCGCGCGCACGTGCCGAGAACGCACCGCGTATAGGGACTTCCATGACCTACAGAATTACAGAAACATTGCTTAGACAAGGTAAAATTTGAACAGTTTTTTTCTAAAATCGATTTTTGGGACGAGGTTGTTTCAAAAGGACGTTCACCGCTGGACAAAGGCCTCCCCCACCGATTTCCACAGCGACAGGCTCTATGCTTCCCGCATAGGAGCGGTAACTACATACTAAACGCCTTGATTTTGATTTGATTCCATTGATTTGGGAAATACAACCCCAATAAGGAACCCCCATGCAAAATTTGAGACTCATAGCACTTGTAGTTTCTGAGATTTCGTGTGAGTCAGTCAGTGACCTTTCGAGATAAATTGAATTTGAAATTTTTGATTTATGGATCAATTATAAATAATGAGTATGTATTTGCTATCTTAAATGACCGAGATAAATAGGCGCCATCGCGTGCGCTTTATTTATACAGTTACATAATAGTGAGTCGGTTAATTTATTGATAAATAAATAATTTTCATGGATATATTAACTTATCATAACAATTACGTAATTTACCTACCTTCGTTCCTAGAGTAACAGCATTGAGGAAACCATCATACATTGTCAATATATCAATATGAATGGAATATTTTTTTGCTGTGTAATCCCAGTAAAAGTGACGACAATCGTGGGCTTAAGCTAGTAGTCAATACTTCCAGTCTACTCACCTAGATCCTGGCTTCAGGTCGTTCTCGAACCACGTGATGGTATGCAGCAGCGTGGACAGATACCGCTTATAGGCGGTGTAGGTAGAGTTGGAGCGGCGCGTGCTGACCAGGATCCTCAGGATGGAAGGCACCGCGAACACCGCCACCAGTCCCAACAGCATTGACGTGGAGAACGAGTAGCTGTGGTCCCAGTAGAAGCGGCGGCCTCTGGTGACAGTTGTTGAATCTTTTATAGTTTGGCCCAGAACACACCGGTTTGAAATAGTCGCGTCATGTGTCTCTCAACGGAATCTATGGAAGAAACTTAGATGCAACTCAAAAGTAACTAGAAGTTGCAGTTTCGTTGCGATTGCGTTTCACCGTGTGTTCTGGGCCTTAGTTGTCAACTAGGAAAAAAGTTACATGTCAAAGTGCTGATTAATCACTAAACACATCTCCTCTAGTCTCGTCTCCCTTCCGCTTTGGTGGAAACTGGGACTTAAGAGAGTTTTCAGGCAAAGCGGAGACGAGGTGTTATTTGCGAGCGAGATTCTGTCGAGTCGAGGGTTCTGGGTTCGATTTGACACCATTAAATAGGGTGGCAGGGCTAGCAAAGTGCCAAGGGCCCCCGACACGACGGGGCCCCGGCCCCCCTCCCGCTATTTCAGGGCGCTGGTCCCGGGGCCCCCCTGAAAAAATAAATAGAATTTTCCACGGGCCTCGGATGGTATAGTTACGCCAGTGGATGACACGTACCTATCTAACTACTTAGTGTTAAATAACTGTGTATTTGTTCTCAGTTTGCAGTTTGGTAAGGAAATAGCGAACTTTGATTGCGCAGGGTTATAATCTCAGTTGTTATCACTTTTATACTAGGGACCCAAAACGTAGAACTTCAGCTGGTTTATTAATTGTTACAATTTCTTTTCGTTGAGTTATTTTGTGAAATATATTGTAAATAACCTCGTATGTGTCATCTGAAACATCTAAATTAAAAAGTTTAAAGGACTTTCATCGGGCACGTGCACTGGTGCATACCTACTTAGATAAAATCAACCCCCCTCAATCATAATCTAAACCTGCCTTAACATTACATATTTTTCTATGCCTAATATCACAGTTATGTGATAATTACTTGCGTCATGTTGAGATTACTTATTACTGCGTCGCGATATGCCGGTACCATAGTGTGGCATACCTAACAAGCCTCTATCATGAGATATTTTAGAGGTCTACCGTTTCAAAATCCCTTATTTAAAATGTAAGCCGCGGCAAAGCCTCTCTGCATACTTTGCATAACGACATTAAAAACAAAGCACAAATTCCCTGGTGTATAAGCTTTGCTAATCGCAAACGTGAAGTTTTCTTAGAAGCTTGGGAAAAGTGTTGTAACGCATAATTTTCATTAAGTTTAACCCATCGTAGCGTGAAGTACCTAACTGGTATTCATACCTAATGGTCTTACGGGTTGATCTTATCATGTTGACATTAGAGTTACTAGGTACTTTTGTTATCTTTAAAGCAAATATTTATTTTCATGCAAGTCATACATATTTTCTCTAAGACATTAAATAATTATGTTTCAACCTTAAAACTGAGCTTACCTATTGAATTTTTCTGCGTCAAAGTCATCTGGCAACTTCATTTCTAATTCTTCAGGTTTCACATTGTCCGAAGGTTTTTCCAACGCTTCTTCTGTCAATAACTGATTCACGAACTCTTCCGCTAGAACAAAATGAACAATTTAATTGGTAAATAAAAATATCACCGCGGACTGCGGACGTTCGACACGATGTTGTAATTTTTTTTATATGAAAATCCTAGGCCTAAATCATCAATTTCTTTCTTTTCAGTTACACTGAAACACCTGTAGATTTTTTTACATCCAAAGGTAACACAATGGGCTAGAACAATCGCCATCAGTCTATCGTTATCGCGAAGTTTGAAAACAATTTGCGAAACAAGAGCAGGTTTTCCAAAATTCTTTAGACGCCGAAGCGGTGACACGGGGCTAGGATGTATCGTGGAAGGATTGTTCTTTCATTCGTTACATTTATCTTTCATTTAGTATCATGTGATTGGGTAAGAAAAAAATATTTTTATCATTTACGAGACTATCAACTTAGTGCATCAGTGCATCTTTGGCTTATTTTGCCGCAAGAACCGGTTTGAGTTATTGCTTTTGCTATTAACCTAGATATTTGCGACAGCTAAATAAATAATTATTACTACTAAATCAAAACAATTAATTTAGGCCATTTCTGACCATAAAGTTAATAAGTATACCTAGTACTGTCTAATTGATTTACTGTTTTTAATTTAATTAGGCCGCCGAATGGATGGCTCCGGTGCAAGACCAACTGTAAGTCTTATAATGAAATAATAACAACCTAAATAATAATAAATAAATAAATAAATATCTTTGGACAATCTCACACAGCGCCATCTAGCCCCAAAGTAAGCAATTAATATGCTTGTGTTATGGGTTTTGTAATGATTGTTTTGTAAATAAATCTAACTTAAAATACCAATTACAGTAAAGAAAATCCATCTCGAAGGATCAACGACTATGGAGGAGTCTTATTCGACGATGAAACTTTACACATGGTACAGGTAGAAGAATCGACCGAGCATTTGCAGAGTCAAATGATGAAAAAATATGTCACTTCGAATCCAACAAACACAGAGTTAACTACGTCCAGTCTGAAAATCAAACTGGAGAACACACTGATGAATGCCAGAAAGTTGGCAGACACGCTGAAAGCGCAAATCAAAGAAGTCTCTGAGCGGGAGGAAATGCTGAAGGATGCTATAGTTAACGGCAGGTAAGTCCAGCTACTTAATCAAGCGCTTCTTCGTGCATTCATCATTTAGCATATTTAGCGAAGAGCAAAAAATGCACTGGAAAAACTTCCACCAAAGCACAGACGAGACAAGATGTACGACTTTTTACGCTTTCTGAGAGGTGGCTTCTCCGAGCTGAAGCGAAACGTGTCACTAAACAACAAACGGTGGTTGTTGTTCATTCTTCGCAATCAACAGACATTATCTTGGATCTTTGTTGTTTTTTCTGTAACGGCAGATCTGGGGTGTCAAGCGTCGTGGTGTCCACATTGGACCGGGCGCCACGCGCGTACGTCATCCAGGACGGAGTGTGGACCTTCTGCCGGGGCTCGGTGCGCCCGCAGCGGTCTGCCATGGCCTTCGAGGACTTCTCTTCTGTCCCCAAGTGCTTCGGACAAGAGGTAAACCGGCAGTTTAGCACATCAAGCCAAGCATGGTGGTGTCTACATTGGACCGGGCGTCACACGCGAACTTCATCAAGGATGGCGTGTGGACCGTTCTTGGGCGCAAGAACCCAGCCGCGCTCTACCATGGCCTCCGAGGACTTCTCTGCTGTTCCCAAGAGGTTTGTTTTGCTTTGGCTATTGAAGAATAGTCTGCTTTCTTTGTGTGTAATGTGTCGAGCAACAGATCAAAGTTAGCAAAACTTCAATAAACTTTGAATAACGATTACAATAAGAAGTGTAGATCATTTTACACCTCTAGGGTCTTTGGTATAGAGTCCATACATTTTCAACTGTTGTTTTAAGTTTGTTTTAAATATACGTCATGCTATCACATTCCTATAAACCGGTTGTACAGGTGTCCAACAACTTTGAATGGAATAAGATATTTTGTTTTCAAATCACATCGTTGTTACGTAGGTCCTGGCCCCTGCCAATCAAAAACATTATTGACTCTTGTAACAAAAACTAAAATACTGAAATATGTAACGGAATTAAGCTTATTGCCACTTGGCTATAAATAACCAGCCGGGGCCCCTACTGGCAGCCATGTGCCCTCCTCGTTATTACTGTAAGTAGGCGACATATCGGAAGTTTCCTTTGTAGAGAGTAAATAATCAAAATGATTTCATCAAAATCCTATTTACTTCACCACTATGAATTATCATGTCATGCGGCACAAGCACGCAAAAAACTCGGATAGAATTAGCAACAAAAACATTCAAAAAGTAAGGTCATATATCCAGTTTTTATGTAGGCAAGGCAAGTAGGTAATTATGAAAAAACATTTTGTTGCAATCTTGCTGGAATGTAAGATAATGGGTTCGACGTGCAAACAAAAAACAGACCCATATTATGTAGTTGAACAATGTTAAGTCGCAAAATACATGGTAATAATAATTATGCAACATTATTACTGGTGTGTCTATTAAAATGACACGTCATGCTCCTAAATTATTATAAGTTTTTGAGGAAAACACTATTGTCGAGGATTTAGGACAAGTTTCATATCTATAACCAACGTACGAAACGTGATCGAAGAGGAGTTTCCATCTTTAATGTAATCATATCATGTAGGTTCTTCATTTATGAAAATTGAAAATCAAATAGGTAGTAGGTTTAAATAAAAGCTTTTCATGTTTGACGTGGAAATGCAAACACTCATCTTTAGCTTAGGTCTTCTGTATTGATTTACTCTTCCCCTTATTCATTTCATCATGTTTGGAAAACCTGCACAGACACAGAATAAATACTAGTACAGACTGGAAGTACAATCTGTATTTTGGCTATTTGTTATTATGACTCACGAATGATGCCCTAGGATACGATAGAGCTTGTTTGTTTGAACCCGCTAATCTCAAGAAATGGTTCGACTAGTTTTTTTTATAGTATGTAGAATTGTAGATTTCTATTTCTAATATTTTCTGGGGTAGGTACCTACTAGCTAGACCATTCTGGGGTGGGCACGATAATAAACACGAAACTAGAGACTGCCCAATGACTAACAAGTTCTAAACTGCTATTTGCAATCCAACAATTACAGATGTCAGCGCAACAAGACCCTTGCGTCTTCAACTCCATCATTAAGTACGAGACAATGCCGACTGTGCGCCGGCTCGAGTACTCCGAAGACGACTTCCTTTGTCTGAAGAAGACCTTCAACAACACCCTCGAGAGGTACCTGAGCGTGCCGAGGCAAATCATCAACAAAACCTGCCAAAATGGTAAGTAACACTAGCTAAGCGTGATGTTATTCATACAAGATGCTAATGCTGTGAGTAAAAAACAAAACTAAAACATTTCTCCACCTTCCCATGGCGATTCCAACCTGCGCAATTACTTGGCAGGTTTCACTCGATCGCGCCACATTTTGGAGGACTGTTAAATGTAAACCAGGGAAGTTACCAATACCAACTCTACTACAGAATGAACGACACGATACAATTTCATTGTGACTTTCATGCTAGCCCAGACATGAATCGATATCGATAGAGCGATCAATATGAGGCGTACGTTAAGGTGCGATAAACGGCATATGCCAACAAGACCTTCAGACCTTCTTCAAGACTCCTGTGATCTCTTCTTGCTTATGCTTTCTTACAGGAACGGTCAGAAGTCTAGAAGAAAACACTGAGAAGTGCGGCCTAAGAGTGATGTCCGAGTACACATATTACCCGTCGAGAAATTCGCCTTTACGACTGCCTTTGGAGTACTGCGCCGAACCCGACGGCTCATGCAAGCTGATCATGGCCTGGCACGTCTCTAACTCTACCATAGAAAACTTCGAATTCCTCAAAAATGAACAAGGATTTAAAAAATATTTTATTAAGTCTGGAAGTTACGTAGAACACGTAATGTAGACCAATTGTTTTTAGTGTGTTATTCACAGATATAGATATACATAGATAACGCAAGTAGCACGATCTGTATTAAAACCAAGCGTGCCGACTTTTTAATACCTACTGTGACGTCACAGACAACATTTAGTGACGGGAAATCGTAATCGATTCAAAGATGCCGATGCCGCCGCTGCCCCAACGCACCGCTACGATCACAGAAATGGCATCGATTATCTGACAGACGAATGAGATACACAGACGAATGAGATATACAGACGAATGATATTAAACGGAATGTTTAAATAGATAATATTTTCATTGAATTTTAAATAAAAATGTATAATTCTAAAAGGCTAATTTTAGACACGATCCCGTATTAATAAAAACTTAAAATATGTTATTATTTACTTTAAATAGTGAATAAAATACATTTTAAGTTTTTATTAAAATATCAATATCTCGACAACGGTGCCTCGTAGATATTTTGTATTGCTCTTATAACATATCCAGCAATATTATGTGATTATTTGGTCACAAAATTCTGTTATTTGTGGCAATGTTTTATAAAAATCATCAAAATCACGTACACTACTTGTATTCATTTCTCTACAATCTACATCATCATCAGCAGATCATTATTTCTTATATGTATGTACACACATTATTATTTAAAAAAATACTTTTTGGTTTTTGTGAATTTTACTCAATATTTCTATTTTTTTGTATGAAAAGGCAAAAGTTTGTTCTAGAAATGAATTCGCCATCCTTTAATTATCCGAAAATGATACCACACTTGCCCTAATACCCATAGTTTTGAAGATATGGGCCTTAAAGTGAAGCGCGGCGGAAGGAAACTTGCCCCCCCTCCCCCTGCTACCACAGGGGGGGCTCCCGATGTCTACCGACGGAAATCCACTCAGGAGCACCCAAAGAACCACTGTTGCAAAAATGAGCCTTCTATACCAAAGTGGAGGGGTTCTTGCACTAAATTCCCTACTATGGGTCACTGCAGCCGGTTTACCGATATCGATAAAAACTGCATAAAATGTAAATGTGCACTATGGCAGGGAGGTACACGCCATTACTGCCTTCCCTAAGAAAATAATTATCTTTAACTTACTTTTCGTCATATATCTTTATGGATTTCTTTATTTTATTACATCGTAGGTACCTACCTACTTATCATTTCATGCAGTCACATCCTGCCAAAGTTGTTAATTTGTTGTGACGCGCGACTAGTTTTCGGTTTTTACGAAGTACTTTCTAGGTAGGCTGATGTATTGTTTGCTTTCGCTTTAAAAGCGTAAGTTGAATATGCAAGGAAAAATGCAAATGTTCAGAATAGTCAACTTGATTTCTTCATAATTTGCCAGGCCAAGCCAGATCTGATCTTGAATGTAGAGTCCGAAAATATGGAAAATCTTTCCAATTGAAAAAAAATTTAGATGCGACTCTTAACGCTAAAAATTAAATAACTACACATGATATCGTAAAACTGATTACTGATTCTAAAAGTGCTTCACAAGCTCTATCCAATGGTATCAATAATAGGTTACAGAATAAACTGGATCTATCCAAAAATTCAATGTTTCTTTCTTCCATACATTTAGTACTACCACAGTCATGACACTCATCTCTTCACAATATTATAGCAAGTAAAGACTAAAACCAATATTTTCCATGAATAATTTGAAATAAGAATACAATTTACGAGTTTATTTTAAGAGTTTATTATTAAATAAAATAAAATAAAAATAATTACACTTCTAATATTGTGTGGCTGGCATACATTTAGTATGGAAGCTGGAAACATTGAATTTTCAGATAGATCCAGTTTATTCTGTAACCTATTATTGGTACCATTTGAAAGAGCTCATGAAGCACTTTCAGGATCAGTTACCAGTTTTTCAATATCTTGTATAGTTTAGAAATAATCTAGTGAGATCACTTAACGTTTCCACCCTGTATACCAGCCATACATCTATGCTATAAGTTATTTGGCCTTTTATGTTGGAAATAGAAAGTTTAAGTATAATGGCAAACATAATATGTTTAATATAAGGGCAACCTATACTAATAGAAAATAATAATAGAGCAACTACAAAATAGATTAAAAAGACGCTGTAGTCAAGTCTATCAACAATGAAATCTACAGGCATTCAGGCAAACAGAAAGTATCAGTAAATAGATTGTGAAAAGAAATACAATGGGTAGAAAAAAGAGCAGTAAACTCATCTTGTTATATAGATCAAAATACTTTTTATTAGAGATGTAAAGAAAATCATCGACTGCCCAATAAATAAATTATTTCCTATTCATAAAACTAAACTTTAAACTCAAGATATGAATTTCTTACCAGATAGTGCCATTGTTTGTGCTGCAGATGATTACTGTAGGTCACAATATGGAATTAGGACGTTTCTCCAAACTTTCACGTATGAGTTTATTGACCTACATTAACAATCTTCCACACATGACTGCTAAAAGTAAACTAAAATAGTAAAATCGCTTGCTCTTCAAATTCGAAACTCTACTTCGCAACAAAACGTCAAAGTTGACATATCAAACGTCAAATCTTTTTTTTTTACTAGAAGAAGTTTTACGGCTTTGGAGCGAATGTGAAATCTTCGATAATACTACCATTGCCCTCTAAACTATGGACCGGCCAAAACAATACAGTGTGAGTCACGTTAAAGTGTACATATGAAAATAGATAAAACTAGACCTATTTTTCTCGACAAAAAAGAGGTCAATTTTTTTTTTAGATTTTTTTTAAATTTTTTTATCGTTTTTTTAAACGTAATAACTTTTAAACTAAGAGGTATATCCTGATAAAATAAAAACAGTAATAATACTAAATAATAAGCGCGCTTCAGCGGGACAGTCCATCCCAAAAAAAAAAAAAAACAGGCAATACTGCAAAGATACATAAAATACCCAGAAAATGCAAACAAATAATAAAAAATGACTCTTTTTGAAAAAAATCTGCTTAAAAATTCGTATATTTTTGGTTATTTGATAAATTTCTCAAAAAAATGCCCCTATAATAGGTGGTTTTTATTACTTTGTATTATTCTCTATCGTATTATCTTTGTAAAACCAAAAATCGCATGTCTCTATCCCTATCACAACATTTGCTATGATCGTTTGAACAAAGGCCTGCCACAAAATTATTCTCCGCTAAAGGTAGAGACAATTTTAATTTTAACTAAAATGCTTATTTTACCTCGAAATCTTTTGTTTTTATTTGAAATCTAACTTGTCTTTATCAAAATTACAAATCTAGAGCCATTTTCAGTTTCGTTGTCAACGAAGCGTTGAATGGCGCGCCCGGATAGGCTTAGTTCAAACAATCATTGCAAACGTTGTGAAAGGGATAGAGACATGCGATTTTTGGTTTTAAGAAGGTAATACGATAGAGAATAATACAAAGTAATAAAAACCACCGGTTATAGGGGCATTTTTTGGAGAAATTTATCAAATAACCACAAAAACACGAATTTTTTAGCAGATTTTTTTCAAAAAGTATCATTTTTTATTATTTTTTGGCCTTTTTTGTGTATTTTATGTATTTTTTTAGTATCGCCTGTTATTTAGCATTATTACTGTTTTTATTTTATCAGGATATACCTCTTAGTTTAAAAGTTATTACGTTTTCTTTACAATAAGTAATTGGAAGAAAAAAAATTCGATAAAAAATTAAAAAAAAACTCAAAAAATTTTCGACCTCTTTTTTGTCGATAAAAATAGGTCTAGTTTCATCTATTTTCATATGTACACTTTAACGTGACTCACACTGTATATTTTTTCTACTTTTTTTTAATCTTCATCTCATTACATCTTGGTCACAGATATGGATTAGAGTAGATACAGCAAGTTGATCGTCAAAGCGTGCCATTCCGATATGTCCAAATGGACATACATGGTCGAGTGATGTTCATGTAATCCGATTACAACAATCGGTTACGATGATTTTACGAGAACAGTAGTACGAACACGGTAGAAAGAAGATATTATTTACGGATTGAGAATTGTAATTAACAGCACAAGTAGCAAATAATTAATTAGAATAAAGTAGCAGTAGAAGAAGTATAAAGTAGCATTGTTTTTAATACATATCCTGCGATGTACTCTTAAGAGTTAAAACCATGGTCCCTGTATGTGGTGCACTCATACCGATCCCAAGGAAACGTACTTACTCATAACAATAAGACACACACTGATCCATGTATTTATGCACTTGACAAATTTATGCCTTGAAACGCTAGTAGGGTAAAAAATATAACGAGATTTGACGATTTGTAAGAATTACTTTTTTTAAAAAAGGTAAATAAAGATGTTTTTGGTTTTGTATTTAACAAATTATCAGTTTTATCGGAATTAATTAATTTTCGAATCGAGTCACACGATATCTTTCGATGACTTTGCAAATGCAGTACGATGATACGATTACTTTTACGTTGCGGCAATCACTAAAATTCGCTAAAATGACACTAATGACGTTTAAAAAGTGGCACGCTCGGCTTCATACAATTTTTGACACATGCTGCATCTATCCATATCTGTGATCTTGGTCTATCTAGTTGTTAAATTATTATGAGGTAAAATGTCACCCTTGAATTCGGGGCGTTTGGCTGAAAATAGCATTTCCTATGTATTACTTTTCTCTATGGTAGCACTAGTAAGAAAAATTACGTCCTTTTAGCAGTAAGTGTTATCACTGCTGAAAAAATCTATTATGAAACGTTCGTTTTGAAGTTATCAAACGTGTTCCTCATTGAAAACATGCTAAAATTTTCGGCGGTTGCCTTGGCGATTGCCATTTTGCCAGTGGCGGCGTAGCATGGGTTGACCCCCGGGGCGATCACCCCCCCCCCCCCCCCGTCATAAGTCCTATGGCACCCCCTACCCAGGATTTTGGGGTTACCTATCGATTCGAAGATTNCATGAGATAGACCGCAGACTTGTCATGGCAGATCCGCTAATCAGTACTAATATGCGCGACTTGTGTCACCCCCTTGAGGCTTGGCACCCGGGGCGGACCGCCCCCACCGCCCCCCCCTTACGCCGCTAGTGCATTTTGCTAACAAATTTTATTTTCGGCCAAACGCGCCTATTTATTGTCAGTTTGACAGACATCTGACATTGACAGTAATTTGTTTTGGGGTACGACGACGGGATAGTTTTTTCTTCTTTCTGGAGAATTTCCTGAATTTCTTCGTGAAAATTACGAATTTCTTTAAGGACACATTTTGAAATAGTTTTAACATAATAATAATTCATAAAATGATACATTTACACTGAGATTCAAAAGCCAATCAAAATGAAATGTCATGTACCTGGCGCGAACGTTAAAGGTTTTGATTTTCCCTTTTATTTATTACTGTTTCCATGCGTGTTTTTAACTAACGATTACTATTGACTTAGTTTTAGGAAGGACTGTGCATGCCTTAGCCAGATTTGGAGATGAGTTGTACCTCGAGTCACTTCCAGATTGTATACTTTTGAGAACACTAAATGCAGCAGAATCAGCTTACGCGATGGTGAAGTTCAATAAAAGTTTCTTTTCCTACTTCAATTATAATTACTACTCCACTGAAGATAACGAAGGGTTGAAGTGTAAAATCTCAATGAAATCTGCTTTGAATACATTCAAGTCTCCAACACATATGGACAAACAAGTTGAGAATTTGGAAATAAAACTTGACCCAGAGTCATGTAAACTTATATTTCAGTTGAAATGTAAGCATGGCATAGTCAAGACACATTATATATCAATACTAGACTGCAAAGCAATGCAAGCTGTTTACACAAAGGACTTGGTACCAAATAGGTAAGTATAGTAACTACCTACTTGCTGATACCAGGCCTGGCTCACTCCGCGCGGTACATCCGATAATTACCTACAGCGAAGCGCCCCGCCGGCGGGTATTATATCAGTCGAGTGTCACGCGCGCGCTCCTCAGGACGCAGGCGTGCGTTGTAGTATGATTATAATTCTATGATCGAAGTATTATTTAAAAATGGACATAAAGAGAAAGAAATATTGTGCGGCGTTCGGGTGTTAAATTCGCAAAGTAGTATACCGGATTTATCTTTTTTTTTCGCTTCCCAAAGATGCTGAAAGGTATGTTGGCCATGTAGGTAATCAATAATTCTTAGGATAGTATAGGAACCTAACCTACTATGACTACTGCTCAGAATGCGTTCGTTCGTTTCAGCCAAATGACGTCCACTGCTGGACAAAGGCCCTCCCAAGGTTTTCCATAATGAATGCATACTTACCTACATACGTACCTCATTACAAATAAGTAGATTAATTATTTTTTCACTAGACAGCAACCCTAACAGCGTAAGAAGAGTTCAGAGGCACGCGATAGAAAGAGACAAAACTTGTAGGTGAATAAAATTGTAGGTACGTAGTGCTGTGCGAGCTGAATTCCACTGTATCGCGTCGTAGCAAGACTCGCATTTATTTAAATCGTCTTGCAGAGTAATCCTTCTGTACCTGTACTATTACTTATTCTGTGCTGATACTTAACCATTTTATATTTGTCATTAATTGGTAATTAATTTTTCAGAATAACATCACCCCAGAGAATATTGTCAGAAGCACTGGGCAACTTCCAGAGTTCCGATGACCAGGTTACTCTTGAGGCTACTGCACAATCACTAGTGCTACGGAACTATCTGGATACAAACATAGACTTGCTGAAGATCATCAGAACCCAAATAAGTCTCAAACCAGCAGAGTTTGATAGTTACACCATAGGGGAAGAGACTACTATTACTTTTACACTAAAAGAGTTCAAGGCATTACTGGCTTTTGCTGAAGCATTAAATTTACCTCTACAACTTCATTTCGAAACTACTGGACGGCCAGCTGTCTTCATTGTACATAATGGAACAACATTTGAAGCACATTTTGTGTTAGCTACGTCAAAGGCAGATAATGCTACTCAAGCAACATCAACACAGAACACAACGAAAACAGAACGGACTAAACGTAAAGATGCTAGTGCTCAGGATTCAGCTAGGAAAAAGGCTCATCTTGACACAGATATTTCTAAATGCTTAGAAGAGGACTCACATTTATTTAATTTTATTGATATACCCGACGAAAATGTTTTGACTGCCAATAAAGGAGCCAGCAATAGCAGCATAAATGGTGGTAATGCAAATCATATAGAAAATAGTCGCCTAAATGATATTATGGACTGTGACAATATACCAGGGTCTCCAACATCGAAAACAATGATAAAATCAGTGTTCAAAAGGTGTTTTGAAAGTACATTTGATCCAAGAGCCATACAAGGTGTAGTTTTGGCTGAAAACTCAGATAGTGAATGAATCATTTTATGTAATGGTTACATACCTATTTAATTTATTGAATGTTATGAAGTTTCAAGTGCCTAATAAAGTTGTAAGAAAAAATATTATTTAATCATGTGTATGTATAATTACTAATATTTCAACAATGGTTGCTACATAAATGAAAAAATATCGAATTTTTTAAATTTATTTAAATTAAAATCATAGCTTAATATAAATGCTATATTATGTTATAGACTAATTTCCGAAAACAAAAGGAATTTCAAGAGGAATGCAAATGAAATAGCATTATCACTGCATTATAATTTTATAGCAAAAAATATACATACACAGTAAAAATATACACACGTCACAAATTATTATTGTTCGATGATATAAATGTGATCTGGGGTTCGATATTCATGTCATTAAATTTGCAAACGGTAACAATTATTATACCTCTATGTCATTTGACCGATTCTATGATCGATCATGACAATACTAACAAAGACAATAAGGCATGTCTCATTAACATTATTGTATTTATAACAAAATTGCACTATTGAAGGAGAGAAAAGATTAAAATGTTTCAACAAAATGCAAACAATCCAAGATTTGAATCATATACAATAATTACTTTTAGTAGCTCTCACATAAACTCATCGAACTTTAGCAAGAATCATAATGGACAAGGTATAATCGATACAATGTTAAGTTACAAAATTTTATTTTAATTCAGTAAAAATTATAATTATTTAGGTATTAAATTTACTACTAAAATTAGCACTAGAATAAAAATTGTGTCAGAGAAGCGACCAATGTGTACATATCCATCGCGTTGTTTCGGTAACTAACATTTCACACATGCAGACATTTTTTTTTTAAGATCTTTTACAATTTTTCATTTATTGTGTTTCATAAATTGCATGTTGTAAACAATATACAAATTGAGAAATGTAATAAATAATAATTGCTGATATCATATGCAACTTCAGATTTGGTTTCTACTATACAGAGATCAAACTTTACCGTAATAAGAAGAAAAATTAACAAATGCAGATTTGTTTCTCATTAAAAAAATTACCATACACATTTCATTATTATAACAATAGCTAGCTAACACGTCTTAAAAAAGATGAAAAAGACCTTGAATTCTATTTTTAATTTATTATTTATAAAATACGGCAGCGATACCATTTAATTACAATAAGTATTTATTTTTAAATCAATTTCAATATTGTCTCTGGCCCAGATGGAGGGGCTTGCACTAGGATCACGCTGGGGCCTGCTCTCAACGTCCTAACTGAATCACCAAACACTCACTATCCAACTAAATTAATGAAAAAGGGCACTGTTATTTAAGAACAATCCTCTTGGCTCTTTCTCACACACTGTGCTACTTTTCTTTTAAACTCCGAATATGATTCTCTCCATTCTTTCTGCAAAAAGAAACAGAATGAGCACACTCGTACAAGTGATATGCGTATATCGGTGTCTGAGACCGGCGGGCTGCGGACCTAGTACCCAATGGTCTCAACGTGGTGTGTATGATTGTGGTGTCATGAGGCCCTTTTCCAACAATAAATCTGATCTAAGTCCCCCTCAATCTCCTAAAAGCAATCTTCTTGACTTTTCCTAACACATCTGGCAACTTTCTTTTTGAAATCCGAATATCGTTCCCTCCATTCTTTCTGTGGATACAAACAACAATAAAGTCAGATAAGTACAAAAACTATACATCGAAAAGGAGAAAACACATGCAACAAATAATAAAACATATAAATAAAATTATATTGGGTAGATTCCATTCCACAATGAAGCATATAATACTACATAATTAAATTAAAAAAAAGGAAATCAAAGACAGACACTAACTTGGAGAAAATACATAGGCATCTCAAAAAGCAGGACCTTGATAATTCAAACCAAAGCTGATTAAAATGCTAGTTTATGGTGTTATTGCATCCTTCATTATTTAAATATAAAAATGTGTTATATTCTTAAACTTTTCTTAATATTATAAAAATACTGTTTTATTTCATTAACATTTGCTGCTTAATAATGGAAACAAATAAATATATTGTTAGATCAAAACCTATTAAATGACCCTAAATTGAAGAGTTAATAAATCTGAAATTATTATTTAGAAAAGAACAAATTTCAGAATATCATCATAACAAAACTTACACTTGTATGTGCACATAAGCTTAAAATATCTTTCTTCATTAACTTTTGTATCATATAAAAACAGCTTTTTGAAAAACTGTTTTTTAAGATTATGTTAGAATTATCATGGCCCAACAGAGTTCATTATGCTATCAAAGTGGTAGTATAAAGCTTGTGCAGTGTGAAAAATTGTGTTACTACATAGGACATGCAAATAAAAATATAAGTATACTAACCGCAGCATCAACATTGGCAGGACTTTCATCATTAGGATCAGCCAGCATGGAGATTACACTTATGAGAATGGTCTCCACGGTGTGCACTGGTAACCACCGCTCTGATGCCTTCTCGTAGCCCCATTTGTCATCTCCAGGTTCGTGCAATATTGATATGCACACATCACCATTCTTTTCAACTGAAAAATGGGGAATGGCACTATTAAATATTAGGTTTATACAACATTATTGACCAAGTTGAATATACTATTGGACTAAAAACATGCTTATATAGTACTCTTGAAAAAACTAGCTCTTTAAAGTCTTTTTATCTAATTTTTGCTTGTCTTAATATCTACTGATAGTGAAGATAGTTTTGATTTCTTAGGGAATATATTTGACTTGGTAAAATGAATGTTCACATAATTACTCACTATTTGGGTGCCATATCTCAGTAACAAATTTCATCCGCGGTGGCCTCAGAGGATACTCCTTTGGAAAATGTAAGTGTGCCTTGAAGAACCCACCCTCACTGTAAAACAAATGATTAAATCAATTATTGGTCTAGTTTTTTGTAGTCGTTAATCTTTATCATCAGTGTCATTAGGATAAATTTGTTAAGAGTGAAAAATAGCATGCATATTTAAAAAACTACTATAAATACTGGAATTTGATGAATTATACAATACTTGTTACTCACTATAATGTATCCGGAGGACCAATGATGAGCACTTCCCATCTATAAATATCATTGTCGTCTATCAACCCAGCAGAAAAGCCTTCCACTGGATTTTTGTTCAGTTCTGAAAAACGCCATTGTAACACATAAGTTTCAAGCACATTTTAATAACCTCCCTTTCCATTGATTTCTGCGTAAGATGCTAAATACAAGAAACGTGAATCATTGCCAAGTATGAACCGTAAATACACTTTGAAAATAGTATTCTACTCTCTGGCTTTGGCAACGAGTAGCTGTCATCGTGAGCACTATTGATTTTACTCCTTCCAGCCCGAGTGCAATAAAATTACATCAATTAAAAATTGGGCTAAACGAACGAAGAAAGATTTTACCTTACATTATCATCCAAATCACAAAGATGCCCAAAATTCGACCCACTAAGGTCAATGATTCCACGACAAGTCATTTGACGCTCGGTGCGAGTGACTCGACAAATTATTTTTGAACGCACTAAACACATACCTGCTAGCTGCTTTTTTAATAAAAGCGAAGACTGTGGCTCTGACATTAATTACAAATGTGAAATTTACCCTGACGACACGAAACAAATGATTTTTACACAAAAGATGGCTGGCTGAGTTTTGGGCAGGTTGTGAAACATATGAGTTGCAGCTTGTTTCCGGTACGGTGTTGCCAGTTAACAAAAAAAATGTTATGGCTGTTCTTTATAGCTCATAGCTCACTTGGTTATTCGATTTAAAATAAATATCCCCATCACTACTTCTACTTTTTTAAATATTTACCGATAAAGCAAGGACATCGAAACCGACGCGATACAGCTATCAAGGAACTAATTTAATATTTCTCATTTGCAAAGAAAGACGTTTAAATATAATTAAACATATTAATATACATAAAAAATAGGAGCGAATCTAAAAAAATTGAATTGTAAGGCCTTTAGCAACTTTTTATTTTACTTTATGTTGGTGTCTCCTTTTCTAGCCTCGATGACTTAGCTTTGTATCTATTAAGTGCAAAATGCAACCAACAGATGGCGCTGTACTGTGTCTAGCTCGCACAAGTATTATTTGTCCATACATTATGTCGGGGACTACAGTCTATTTTTGAACATTAATACACGTCTTGTCTAAGTCTTAGTACAATACTATTGTCGTTTTATTTAACCATATAGTAAAGTTCAGAATACAGAAAGTTCAGTGTATAATGAATAAATATAATATGTGATATAAGAAATGGGGATGGACGGGTAAAAAATAAAATATTAATGTAAGTGACTATTATTTATTTAAAGTCTGGGTCTTAGAAGGTAATCAACTTATACTATGTAACATTAATCTGCATCACATTCCTCAGAATCAGTTTTAACTTTTTTCGTTTTAGGTTCACTGTGTCCATTTACTTTTTCTATTTTGCGCTTATTTTTCTTTTTCTTTTTTTTACCCTGCTGTTTTTGAACACCATTATGATTGTGTTGATCTTGGTTCAACTTGACCTTAACTGCTGTGCCTTTACAGGAACTCACTATGTCAAACAGTGAATCAAAGTTAATTTCGCTGTTAATATTTGTACTTTCGTGAAACGATTTAATTATGTTTATCAATTTCTTTAAAGCAATAAAGAAATTATTTTTTATGTCAAATAACGTTTTTCCTTTTAATTTAATGGTTAAAGTATTTTCAAAATTCTTCTCTAACTCAGACAATTTGCTTAGGACTTGTTCCGATGTCGGTTTGTTTCGTTTCAGTGACCTATAAAATCCTGCCATCAATTCTATGCCTTCATTACGACGGAATTGCCTAACTTCGCTGTTGAAAATATTTTCTGTTATGATTGGCACAATCTCAAAATTTCCCTCCCAATCCATTTGCAATATATTGTGGAAAAATATGATAGGAAGTAAACAACTCCGATTCTGGAAATAATTCTGCATAGCTTCCTTTAAGATCTCTACTAAAGGCGACGGTGCTTTTTTCTTTTTAGGAGATTTAGGATTCTTAACACCAATTTTTTGTGAACAATTAATAATAAATGTAGCAAAAAATGTGATAACATCACCAACAGCTTGAAACATAAAATGCGACCTGTCGCCTTTATCTATCGTCGCCTTTAAATACTCACATAAGATATCCATGGTGATCCCTTCAGAAGATGAGAATTTCCGGACCTTAGTCAGAGTTTTGATAGTTTTCCGAACCCTGTTTTCCAGTTCACTGAACTGATTATCCTGTATACAAAATTCCAAGCACCTGGTCAGGGGCGCAATCATAGACAAACAAATGTCCATAGATGGATCTTTTTCTAAGTAAATATTCAAAAGATCAAGAACCCTAATTCTGAAGTCAGACAGGGCCTTTTTATCTTTTCGTTCTTTCTTGTTTTTCTTTCCTTTGCCTTGGCCAAACTGTTTGAATGCTTCAGCTAGAGCTTCGTCAAGTTGTTTGCCTTCCTCCTCGTCAATCATGTCAGCGTCAACGCTTTCAGCGTCGCTTTCATTGGCGGCACCGCCCAGTGCTTTCTGCACTGCCATTCTGAGTTGATCAGGTATAGTCATTTCGTCATCCTCCTCTTCTTCTGAATCGCTCTCGCCACTTTCTTCATTACTTTTCTTTTTAGCTTCATCATCGTCATCATCACTTTCTTCATCATCGTCACCTTCCTTATCTGAATCGCCCTCCTCGTCCTCATCATCGGAGTCCACACCATTGGCCAGTGGGTTTGACTCACTTTCCGGATCTAGAACCGATACAATTTGACCGATTGTCGTCGGAGTTAGGAATTCCCAAAGCAGTCTGAATACACATTGTACAATAGACCGTAAAACACTTGATTCCACAGATAAAATGGATAAGAGAACTTCTACCAATACTTCTAACCATTCTGGTTCATCAGGCACTTCATTTTCTTTTAATTTCTGAGGTTTCTTTTTTTTGTCTTTAGTATAATGTTCATAGCAACTTTTCAATTCTTTTATTGAACTCCTGGCAGCTTTCATGTGAGTAGGTTCAGAGAACAAAAACAAGCCAAGTTGATATAACAAAATGAGGAAAACTTTATCTACTTTAGATTTTTGATCTTTTTTTTCTATATTCTGGCAGATATTAATAACCATTTCCCAACACTCCATACTTTCTTTTGGGAATTGTTTTTCTAACTTTGCACGGATCTGTTCTTTTTGTAAACTTGAGATTATAAAACTACACAGTGAAGACAGTACGTATAGCAGATCATCGACATTTGTAAAACGCGATCCAAAACATCGGTAGAAAGATATCTTGATTGCACCTGAAATGAAAGAAAAATATTATAAATTATTATTAAATGAAATCAAATATACAATGTGTGATATAGTTACAAAAGCAAAAGATATTTTACCTGAAAGTTCAGAACTGATAGCAGCATTTTCATCTCCACCAATTTTGAAAAAGCCGAAACACATTAATAACTTCATGTAAGTTAGTTTGAATTCTACATCATCTTTTACAGAGTCCTGGGTAACCAAATAGGACAATAACTCAGCTGCCTTCTGCCTTTCGTTATTGTACCAGTTTCTTTCAACACCCTCCTTTACAGTTTTTTTTGTAGTGTTTAATAGGACACCTTTGAATGATTTTGCTAGTTTTTTAGTTCCATCTTTTTCTAAATCTGAAATTATGGCTTTGACAAGGCTTGTGCCAGTAGCTTCTGTAAAGTTCATCTCTCCTGGGTTAAATAAAAGTTTCTTTAGGGTTTCTACTCTTATTTGATCTGTAATCTTTTCAGATTTCATACACTTTGCTAAAGTTTGAAGCACTTCCTTTTCTTTTTTTATCATGATCTTGTGATCATCTTCATCATCTCTCTTGAACCTTATTTTGCTGGCTGTTTGAAGTCCTTTGAACCAATCCATGAATAATTTGAAAAAGTTGTTGCTGATGAGGTCTGGTATGACTTCTACATTATCTGTCAGATTGTGAAGTATATCATTAAGAATGTTTAAAGCAACCAATTCTCTGTTCCGATTGTGTTTTGTGAGTTGACCGTCAATGCCTGAAGCCCAGAACAGTTTCAAATGGGGCGAATTAGATATTTGTACACCAATTTCATGATAAATTGGATGGGTAACAGTGTTGTAATCAATTTTGGCCTGAAAGCACAAAAATACAATAGTAAAAATGACATTACATAACAGTTACACAATAAACAGAGAGAATAAAGATAAGACTGACACTGAATCTTACCATAAGTTTTTCACAAATATCAGGAATAGTGTCCTCACATAGCAGTTCTGGCACTCCTAAAAGTTTTCTCAACTTCACTTTATTTGGGAACTTCTTGCTGACGACTAAGAGGAAGTACAGGGAATCCAATGTATGATCTTTTATATCTTTTTTTAAGTCAACTTTAAGACTTGACCATACAACTGATGAGAACTGTTCTTCAGACAGCTGGAAAAAATACATGCATTTAATCAATAACTTAATTAGTGATGTTTTCAGATGAATAAAGGAAATAAGTTTAAGGAAACATTTAATCATGGCTAAAATAAAAGATAACTTACATTTTTCACAAAGTCTAGTAGCATCAGGTAGGCAATTGTGCCAAGGTATGACTTCTTTTGGCTGGCCGTCAGGAGCAGGGTAATTACCTCCTTCTGCTCATCTTCTGAGGTGCTCATCATGAGACCAGACCGAAATATAGCTCCACAGACTAAGATCTGACCAAGCGCTACATCTCCAACTTCCTGCAATATAATAACAGATATCATTAAAAATAAATTATGCACTTCAGTATAAAAACACCAACATTCAAATCTTTCAATATTTAACAAACTATATGGCTGGTTATCATGTCCATAGTATAAAGTACTTACACTTTTTGATGCATTCCCAGCATGCAACTCCTTCTTAACTAGTTGCAACAGTTCAGAAACAGTTACATTATCAATTTTAGATAAAAGTGTGACTAGTGTTGCAAAGTATCCTGTTCGCATAGCTGGCACGTTAGCTCCTAAGCTCCGCACCAAACGTTTCAACACATAACGAAAGTCTTTGTCATCCTAGAAAAACGAAATGAAAAATGTTACTTTGGGGTTAAAATTAATTCAAATAAAATGTTTTACTCCTCTCTCACAATGAACGAATCATTTAGAGCAAACGAATAAAGATATGATAGGTAGAAGCCCAGTCTTGGAAAAAAATAACTTTATATAATATAATGATTGGGCTATAATGTAGCACTGTGCACATAACTTAGTGCTTCCTAATCGTTTCGACTTTCTCTAAAAAACAGACAAACAAAATAATGATAAATACAATTTAGAGGTTATAAATTACAAGCATAATCTAAGATCCTTTAAAGCATTATTAACCAAAAGTAATGCATTAATCTACGAAATTAGCTACACACCTCATTGCTATATAGCTGTGTTATTATTCTAGCACCACCAGTAAGTTTTAGTTCAACTCTTTCCGCTCTTAGTAAATCAAAAGCATCCAAGACCGACGAAGTCACTTTTAAGTTCTTGTGATGGTTCTCCTCAGCAGGAGCAGGATCCTCTTCTACCATTTTTATCTCCATAATGTTTACACAATTCTACTTATGGCAATTTCACATTACTTTCTTAAGAATTCAAAAATTCCCATGTGTGAGTCCACCAAATCACCACGTTTATTTGACAGCTTGACAGCTTGATTTGATGACAGTTATAGTGTATGGCACTTTTTTTTTTAATTTTCTTGCAAAACTATTTATTTTTTTACTTATGGCAACACTTTCTTAAATACCTTGGAGATAGTGATGTCTCGGATAGCCCATATTTTGAGCTCAAAGTAAATTTAATTAAATAGTACAAGTTTTACAAAACAATAAAACTTGTATTATTGAGCAGAGACGATGCACAGCATCTGGTGAGAGAGATGCGTCTACTTCCGGTGTAGTTTTTTACCATTTTATTCCATAAATGACGTCATTTCCGCAATTATTTAATAGGAATTGATTTGACTTACTTCCGTTTGCCGCCAACCTAGTATAAGAACGTTGAGAAATAAATTATTTCAGTAAAAATCTGAGCAGAGTTTCTGCTTACGATGTTGCTAGTTTGGAAGTTAAAGACGCTATGAAGAACTCCGAGCAAGCTCGCCCCCAGGTGACTAAAATGGCGGCAAACGGAAGTAAGTCAAATCAATTCCTATTAAATAATTGCGGAAATGACGTCATTTATGGAATAAAATGGTAAAAAACTACACCGGAAGTAGACGCATCTCTCTCACCAGATGCTGTGCATCGTCACATGCCGAATAATAAATCTTTTCATAAAGGTCTATCGTTCTTTAGGTCATTTAAACCTTTTGGTAATACCAAGTGGGTAATGTTTAGCAATTTGAAGCTATTAGCCGTCTTCCAACTATTTAATCAAAAAGACGACAATGTTAAACACAATCGAATATCGATAAAATTTGATATAGACTACAGAAATCCCGCGTCAGTAGCATCACTAGTCTCCAAACATGGCAGGACGTAGTGGTTTTGACGATGGTAATCCCAGGTATTTATTGTAAAATATTATTTTAAATGTTAATTCTATGGTTTTAAATAACATATAAAGTGATAACCATAAGAGTACTATGTGGTTCTTTAACATTGGTATGCCATCAATCACTCATTTATGTTGTTTTGCGGATGCCTTAACATTTATTAAAAGTGCGATTTTTACTAAGGTTTCAGTATTATTATTGGTTTAAAATATAAATAGGCAGTGTTTAGTGACGAAAGTGTTCATTAATAAACCCAGGTAAGTTAAGATTGTTAGTTTTTAGGTTATAAAATTTCATGGTTGTGGTTATGCGTACAGGGATTTCGGTGGCGGCAGGAGGACACTCGGTGGCCGCCAGCTCCCTTCCGAGCCCCCATACAAGGCTTATGTCGGAAACTTGCCCTCGGGTATTATCCAGGGTGACATCAACAGAATTTTCCCTGTAAGTGAAAGTTAATTTTTTCTACTTATTCCCTTGAATCATGAAGCTTTATTTAGATTCAAATGAAAGAGGAACATTGTTTACTGATGATAGATTGGCCATAATTCTCACATAAATGCTGAATGACTAAAAGAGTACATAACTTTTCTAAACATAATTAATGATGTTGTATGTTCTTATTTCTGATAGACTACAAATATCATTAGCAAATTATTTTCGTGATAACAACACCATTATAAGCTTCTATTTTTGTTCTGAATTTAATATTAATTTATGTAACACACTGGCAATAATTTTATTTGCCTCAAATAATGAGTTTTGAATGGTATTTTTCAGGACCTAGCAATAAAAAATGTGAGGTTGGTTATGGATAGAGAAACAGACAAATTTAAAGGCTTCTGCTATGTGGAGTTTGAATACCTCGAGGACTTGGTCAAAGCGATTGAGATGAATGGAGCTCTAAATGTAGATGGTAATTTTATCAAAATTGATGTCGCTGAAGAAAAAAGAAACGACCGGTGAGTATCTATTACCTTTTGAAATTATTCTACTAAGCTGTGTGTTGATTATATTTTTAAAATGGTTAATATTATCATTATCAAGTATGTTACATGTTTGCAACATTTTGAAGAGAACACATGCATAGCAATGGCCAGTACTAAATTAGTACTGATTTAGGTGTGAAATTAATGTAAATCAGTACTAAATTAGTACTGATTTACATTAATTTGAAAAACAACTGAATTTTAACCATTTTACATTTTAAGCTACATGATTCTGTTGCTACATTTAGTATATTTTATCTTGCATGTAATCAATAACCAAAACTGATAAGTTAGATAATTTAATAATTTATAAGATGGATGAACTATGTTATAATTTATTCAGTTGGGAATTCCCCTAACCCTTATCAATATCCTCAAGAAAGCCAAGCAAATTTACAAAGCTTCAAATTAAGTTTAAGTAGAACTGGATTAAGATTTAAGAGCTGATTTTTCAGTCATCGGTTAACTTTTATCGGAAAACACATTGGAATATACCGCTAGTGATATTAACTGAGCTTCTTCCACCATTTCTTCTTAGCACCAGCACATGTTGTCCCCAAGTGGCTATATTTGGGACGTGCTTAGCTCCATGGAAAGGGCTCAGTGTGAGTTTACATCAAACACATTTGCTAGCAAATGTGTAAAAAAATGACATTATGTATGACTGTACAGCGTCCCTAGCGGATACTTTCAAGAACTAAAATCTTCATAAATTTTTTTAAGCAAGCGGCGACGTTCTATCCAAACTAGCACCTAAATAAACTTCGTTTACAACAGATTTTGGGAACCTTCCATTTCAGTATAAAAATACCTGTAGTAGGAGGTTACCGGAGTTGAATTAAAGCTTTGACATTAACTACCATTGTACTTGTCGGCCGTTTGGTGTAGTGGTTCGAAATGGACAACTATTCCGGAGGTAGCGGGTTCGATTCCCGCACAGTACAAACATTTGTGTGCATAAACATATTTGTTTGTATTGGACTGGGTGTTTTCTATGTATAATAAGTATGTATTTACAAAAAAAAAAGTATTTAAGTATGTTTATATCCGTTGTCTAGTACCATAGTACAAGCTTTGCTTAGTTTGGGACTAGAAGCGCAGTGTAAAATGTCCAAGGATATTATAAATAAATAAATAATAAATAAATCTTTGGACAATTTCACATAGCGCCAGCTAGCCCCAAAGTAAGCAACTCAATGCTTGTGTTATGGGTGCTAGCTTAATGGATATACTACTTATATACTTATTTTTTTTTATTAAATACATACATATTATACATATTTACACCCAGACCCGTCACAGAAATTAAAATTCATCATTTCAATTTCTGCCCGGCCGGGAATCGAACCCGGGACCTCTCGGCATGGTAGTCCGTTCTGAACCACTACACCAAATGGCCGACTAAATTATTATTATTATATTGCAGAGGGGGCGGTTTCGCCGGCGGGCGGCGGGACGGCGGGCGTGACGGCGGCCGTGACGGCGGGCGCGGCGGCGGCGGCGGCGGGTTCCGGCGTGACGGCGGCGGCCGCGGTATGTACGACCACTTCGAAGTCGCCGACCGCCGCGCGCCACGACAGGCAGGAGGGTTCACACATGGTAACACCGCGCCACTAACAAGCTTCACGCTTAGTTCACATTATTAGATGTCACACATTACTGGAGCGAATATTGAGCTATGATAAGACATGACAAGATTATGATACATAACTGTTGTTGAACCAAATTAATAGGCATGTTTAAATAAAATGGTACATTGTCCTATGACTACAATTTAACTTTAAAGTTTAAACAGTCATTTGTAATTATGTAAATTTTATTAAGCATTGGCTGTATGTATCTGTCTGGCCAGATAATGAAATGTTTTAACTTTTATCTGGCCATAAAATGCTTTAGTCATTCACTAAAGCTATTATTTTTTAGAAGTTATTTGGCATAACTGTATATTAGATTCTCCCAGCTATGATGATTCTGGCCAAATGTGATCTTGAATGTAAGCTCAAAAATAACTTCTTCAATTAAGGGCTGAAAAAATTATTAGATTTTATATTAAAGAAAAGAAAATTAACCATAAAATATCAGAATATTTTACTTAAAAACATTTAATAATGTAAACTAAGTGAAAACTGATCAATTTCTTTTATTTATGGTAGCACTCAACAGAGTTCTATATTTTACAATATTCACTCAAATATTTTAATTTTATTTATGAAACTTGATCAGTTTTATCCATTATTTCATATTCATAAGCTTAATCATTTCCTGAAGGCCTCTTAAGAGAATGTTTCATTCAAAATTGAACCAAAGTGAGATAACAGATAAGTTTAGAATTTCATTGTGGATTTTAAGTTGACTCTGACATGCGATAATTTTTGTCGCTTTTGCATGTCGTCAGTATCGGAAACAAACATGGTTACTTTTGTCGATAATCCCTATAATCATATAAACAATCTGTACGGCTAGCATGAAAAACTTTCGAGTTCGAATCGTTTGCGTATGCGAATCACCATCAAAAGATTTAGTACGAAAACTACAACAGCGCCCTTGTGAACGTGTCGTTAAGTGTACTTTGTATGAGAGATGGTTGCACAAAACTTATTTTGAGAATCAAAATTGTCACGTTATCGTTTAATTCAAAGGTTGAGTATCGAATTTTGTCGAATACGCAAACGATTCGAAGACGAAAGTTGTTCATGCTAGAGGTCCTGTACAAATCAATTCAATACATAATTTTGAATGGAACAGAAATCTTTTTCATAGAAGGCCTATGCTAATTTTGTGCTGTGTGCTTGGTGTAAAAAAAATATAACTTCTGGAATTTGTGTTGGTGTGATCATCAATTAATCCATCATCAAAATCATACTAATTGACTCATTTGGGTAGGAAAGGAATAACCTAATTGGTATTTTGGTTTTGACTAAAAATATTTTTTTTTATTTTTGACATATTTTTTTTTAAATCAAAAGAAATAATATATTGCTTGAACACTTGGTGAAACAATGTTTTATAATCCTTTTAAATTCGTACTAATTTAAACTAATTATAATGCCGAAACTAATTTACTTGTAACCAGATTAAGCTTTTCACGAGAGTTAAAAACTGCAAGGGGTGTGGTGTTTGATTTCTGTATATTAGTTAGTATTATGTAGTAATTAGCCAGTTACTATATGATATGGACTGAACAGTAAATTATTAAAATCATTTTGTATTTTTTTTCATGAAGTGTGTAAAATATCAATGACTACTTTTTTGTGTTATTTGTTGCTTCTTCATATTTCCAGTCCACTAACACATTCATCTATTTTCATTAATTACCCAATTGTTCAGCCACATAGTTTCAACACCATGACTGACTTGATGATCACCACATTCAAAATTGGATATTTTATGAAAAGCGAAAAGGTATTGATTTATTTTTCTTTATGTTGATCGTGTATACCCAGTTTATTATATTATTGTTAAGGAATATTATATAGCCATATAAAATCGATTCGCGTTGTGTATAAAAACGATATAAGTACATACCTATACTTGTAATAAAAATGACTGACAACTATGAAAAGACTCATATTTACTTGAAAGATTTCACTTGGAATATTTGTAGTAAATCGATTCGGTCATTATTGAAGGTCACGTATTTCAACTGGAATGATCCTATTTTATCGCGTCCAAAAATTGCTCAAGGATGATGTAACTGTGAGTTTATTTGTGTCATAGTAAAAAAAAGCATTCAACTAATATGCGCATTTATTTACTCGTATTGTTGAGAGCACACGACATATTATTATTCATTTACTAAAATAAGACTCGATTTCCTTTTATGCGGGGCATTCGAATATACGTTACGAGAGGCATTGCGATGCCGACGTTAGCGGCGCCTTTTTAGTGTGAATTAAAAACTTGTCATACAAAGTATTATTTTTTTTTTGTTTTGATGATATTCGAAAATTGTTACACGGAGTTGAATTTTAACAGTATATTTATGCAGATATAACAGTTACAAAATTGGGTATTTGACACCATTTCCCAATAATTCTAAAGCACAACTTTTTGAAAAAGACACTTCTTTCTGGTCTTAAAAACTTAATTAATTTTTAATTACCTGTAAATTACGATTTTTGGTTGCATTATAATTGAAAAAAGTATTTTCATTGAGTTGATAAAATTGTGACGTCACATGCTAGTATCGCCGTACAAAATCTGTGGGAGAGTGTCGTTTTGACAGTTTTAAAAAGTATAGATGACCCACGCTGAACTGTCCCACCAAACTCAATGACAGGGGGGCGCTACCGTCGTTCAACTATATGGTTTCCAGCATGGCAAAAATCAGAACCAGCGATCCGGTATTGACGGTGGCGCCCCGCTGTCAATGTCATTGATAGGACAGTTCAGTATTTTGGAACTATACGTCAATTGATTGGTGGTGTTAAATACCCTATTATTGATCGCGTAGAACGCGAGCGAGGGGCCGGCGGCGGTGGCGGCGGCGGCGCGGGCGGCGAGCGGTGGGCCGAGGGTGGGCGCGGCTCGCGCGGCGGGTCTGAGGAGCCCCGCGGCGGCGGCGAGTGGGGCCGCATGGGCCGCTCCGGAGGCGGCGGCGGCGGGGGCGGGGGCGCCGCTCCGCCCGCGCAGCGCCCGCCGCGCCGCAACTTTGATGACATGCCCCCGGCACGTCCAGGTAGCCGATGGTTTATGTTTCATATTTGAAGACCACACGGGAAAAACAAAGAATGTCAAAAAACTACAATTAAGAGAAAAACAGTTTTAAAGCTAGTTTGAAAATCTATATTTCATTCATTTGAGACTCTTTTATGTGAGACTAGCGGCCGCCCGCAACTTCGTACGCGTGGATCTCGTTTTACCCCCTTCATCTATCTTACGCGGTTTAGATTTTTTCATACAAATGTTTTTTCCCGCTAACTCCCGTTCCCGTGGGAATTTTGCAATATCCTGTTGTAACTAAGCTTTACGTTTACTAAGGTACCTGCATGCCAAATTTCAAGCGTCTAACTTAAGCGGTTTAGATTTTTCATACAAAAGGATTTTCCCGCTAATTCCCGTTCCCGTGGGAATTCCTAAGTATACTATAACCTGCCCAGGAGTATGAAGAATAATTGTACCAAGTTTCGTTAAAATCCGTCAAGTAGTTTTTGTTTCTATAAGGAACAGACAGACAGACAGACAGACAGACGGACAGACAGACAGACAGACAAAAATTTTACTGATTGCATTTTTGGCATCAGTATCGATCACTAATCACCCCCTGATAGTTATTTTGAAAATATATTTCATGTACAGAATTGACCTCTCTACAGATTTATTATAAGTATAGATATTGAAACAACTTATTACTGTGTTAACATATGCTTTGCCTGTACTTCTAAAACTCGATTTGTTTAAATAAGTTTTAAGTTATGGTCCATAATATAACCGTTTCTTGCCATGGACAAACAAACACAAATTGAACTATTACAGTTGACCACGACGATTTTACCCAATTCTGATTTTTTAAATAGAATGTTTCTCTAAAAAACAAACAGATGGCATTAAAAAGTAAGTTTCACAAAAAAGGTGACATTAATTGTTTTTCCCGTGTGGTCTTCATTTTCACTGAACGAAATACAATATTTTCCGTTTGGCAGTTTACCGCTCACGCTGAAGATTGATTTGCCTCGTTGCAGATACCTCAGGCAGACCAAAGCTGAAGCTGGAGCCGCGAACGGTGAAGGAGCCGGTGAACTCGCTGGCGTCGACCAGCCAGGCGTCGTCGATATTCGGCGGCGCGCGGCCGCGGGAAGAGCGGCTAAAGGAGCTGGCGGGCGAGTAAGCGCCGCGTCCCCGCGCCCGACGATGATCCCTTATGTGTGCCCCGTTATTTAATGTGCAGACTAAAATTGTATATGAACTCGAAGGATTTTTGTTAGGTTATGAGGTTGTAAATCATTTTTATCGTATATTTTGTTAGCATTATTATGTGTCGATGAGCTTACCGTTTCGCCGCGGCCGCAGCCCGCGCTGCGCCCGCGCGCGACGCTTCGTTACTCTCAGTGTAAATTGCTAGCGGACGTTTACCGTTAAACTCTCTGAGCTTGTGTGTTAGATATCGGCTTGCATAATATTTATGTCTCAGAAAATATTTTTTCGTTTGTGATCATATTTGCTGATACGTCTTAGTACAGCGAAGCGATTAATTTTATTTTTACCGTCTGTGGCGATTTAGAGCTTCGTAACTGATTCTCTGTTGTAATTGTTTATCATTTTATCGATTGTTTAGTTTTATAGGTCGCGAAAATTAATCATTGATTGAGTAATTATGATACATAATTTAAGAGTTGATAATATGGTGATGTAATAATTACGGTGTCATTAATAAAATTAACTTCCACGTACTTGGATTTCTACTTTATTAGATATTGTGTAATGTAATGAGTTACGTGGCAAAGAAATTGAAAAAAAAAATCGCAAAATTGTAACAGAACATAGCAAAAAAATAAATAAAAAGTGAACACTTTATAATTGAGGGTTTGTTTGATACACCTTGACTCTCAAGTCATCCATTCCTAAACCACTTACTAAATAGTTCATCTTGATACGAAATATGGTAAATAGGTACCTACTTATTATCCTAATAGGAAGATAAAAAAAAACTCAATTATGTGTTGGGAAAACAATAAGCACTTACATTACATATTCAAAGGTCTTTTTACATAGTCACTTGACCATATTAGCTGAAAATTGATTTTCATTAGAAATATTCCCTGATGAATCAAGATGATAGCTGCACAAAATTTTACATAGGTGTACTTTCACTTTACAAAATAATTAAATGGTTTCACTTTCTTGAATGACACCCAGGAAGTTCAAGTTACTTTCTATAGAAAAAGAGTTTAAAAGGTACAATTTACATATTACAATAACAAAAACTATTCTGAAATTGGGTAGCTAGGTATTTTAAGTAATAATGGGGTTCAAACAGTAAGGTGTCATAAAATAAATTATTTAAATAGTTGGAATAAGTATTTTATTCATATATCTAGATCTTCATCTGGATCTTCCTCATCCCAGTCATCTACTGCATCAGGCTCATAGAAGATCTTGCCTTGCCCTTCATTTATCTTGCTCATGTAAGGCAACTGTAACTTGTACTTTTCTAGTTTTTCAGTTTGGTCTACTTCTATTTTGAATGTAGTCAGGTTCACTGGTGAAGGTTTCTCTGGTTCGTCTTCTGCTTTTATATTCTTTACTATCGGGATTGATTTCAAGGTGGATGTCCTCACATCATAGGACAATGTCTCAGAACTTTTAACTACTTTGCCACTCTTTTTCAAAAGAATGTGGACATTATTATTTGATCCATCATCATATGACACAATAGCACTAGCTATATGATTCAATTGTATTCTTAACTTGGACCCAAATGACGAACAATCTGTATGGTGAACTAGAATGAGTTTGTTGACGTTGGGACTTGCCCTTAGTTTGTTTATTACTTTCAAACACTCATTCCAACCTAAGCAAAGAGACATTTGATTCACCGAATCGATTATCACAGAACACTTTTCGCTTACATATTTATTGAGTGAATCTTTATCTAATTCTTCATGGTATACAACATTTCGTACTCCTTTGAATACATTTTTCCAGTGAAATATTGGTTGTTCGTAGCAGAAGAATTGTGTTGAGCAAGCGTCCGTCGGAGTTATTTCTAGTAATAATGGGACAATATTTTTATTAAGATTATCTTCTATCAATATAAATGGAGCAGATTTTAACCTCAACAAAGACATTATATTAAATTGAGAAGGGTTTAAATTGAAATGAATTATACCTAGAACTTTGAGGTTATGTGATGAATGTGTCATTGACACTGNTTAAATCCTTCCTGGCCTGGAAATTTGTACCATTGGCCGAATACTTGTAAGTTGTCAATATATTCTTTCATGTCGTTAAAATAAAATGTTTGCTTCCAGTTTGCTTCTTCTTTACACAGTTTTGAACTTTAAACTTGTCCTTTTTATAAATGACCAACTGTAGTGATTACATATTTATATAAATATTCATAAGTAATAGGTTTTGATAATATTTCCTGGATGTGGCGGGGTATTACATTAACATCTGTATCTGCTTCTGATAAGTGATTCAAATCGGCTACTAGTGTAAGTCTTTCAAGGCCAAATCTTGGGCATTTCATAATCAGATGTTCCAGGTCGGCATCAGCCTCATCACAAAAATTGCATGAACTGCTATTCACTATTTTCATTCGCTGTAGATGGGAGGGAGATCTGAGGTGTCCAAATCGCAGACGATTAATTGTTGTTACAAATCTACGGCTTATATACTCTTTGTAATAATACCAGGGTTTCGTTGGTATTTCCTTTTGTATCCCAGCATACCATCTGCCTTTGGTTTCTGAGCATATTTTCCAATAATTTTTCCATATCTCTTTACAGTTTTCTTTCATAATGGTGTGAAAGTCCGTGAAGGGGACCTTAAAATGCTCCGAGTGGTCTTCATGAGGTTCAGAGTTGGCAACTTGATCCACAATTTCGTTCCCTGGTATGCCTCGATGAGACGGAATCCACTTGAGTGAAATTGGTTTTTTAATTTCATTAATAATGTTTCTTATATTATAAATTAAATAATTTGTTTTAAAGTGCATATTATTATTGTCTAAGCTCATCAAAACACTTTTCGAATCAGATAATATCATAAACTCATTATAACTACAATAGCTTAAAGACTTAATGTAAATTAATGCTTGTAATATAGCATATGCCTCAGCAGTAAATATGCTACACTCTGAATTAATTTTAAAACATTTACTATATTTACATTGTGGATCATAAAGGGCAGATTTGACTGCATTTAAACTTTATATTGTTATAAGTACACTATCCTTAAAATATTACACAATTAGGAATTTTTGCTTTCCAGTCATTCCAGTGGCAACACTTCTAGAAATTTAGTTTTTTGCAAATTTAGTGTATTAATTAATGTGAAATAAATAAAATAATATTTACCGATGGAATGTAATGTTGTCCTTTTCAAGATTTGATGTTTCAGATCTCTTCTTACAATTAAAAACACTGCAATTCACCATTTTTATCGCAGCACGTTACTCTTCAATAGTGACATTTGGAATATATCATTGGTGGCGCTGCAACTAGTTTTTATAAACTGAGTGGACCACTGGTCTACTTACATTGCTAGAGGGGATTGCCTGTCAGTTCCACTCCTGTTATTTCTGCTCTCTGCAAATGATAGTGACAACAAAACTACAAAAATGTTGCCACATGTAAATACTGGTTGATCTATTTTTTTTTAGAAACATTTAGGCAAAGGAGATTTTTTTGGTAACAGGTTTGGAATGTCCTCCACAGATTACTTCACGATAAACGGAGGTGACGTCACGCATTCTCTCGCTGCGAATAATTTAAAATGCCAAAGTTCCAACTGATTAAAGTTGCGTCTGCGTGCGAGTTTTTATTTTTTTTATTACAATAACAATCCCGCACATTTAGAATGTTATTATAGTTTTTTGTGCTTGAATTAGATTATTTTTGTATCCAACGTTTCTTCATTAACTTGATGAAAACTCCCTTGATCTTTAACTTGAATTTGCTTAGGTAATATGAAATAAAAGTCAGTATTATTCCGCCTAATTTATTATAATAATTTACTACCTACTTAGACTTATTTCTATTTTTCTTTAAGATATACTCCTTGATGTAGAAGTCTGAGAACAGGAAGAGAATGAAGATGTTGTGCGGCAGGAACATGAAGGAGATCCACTTGGGGTACTCGCACGACGGCTCGAATAGCACGTGGCCGAAGTGAAGGATCAGCAACAGGAACTGCAGCTGGAAACACATTTACAATTTGAATTTAATTGATTTATTTCTAGAGTAAAAATAAATCAATTCCACCTCTGACTATAACAAGATGGGAAGAACGTTAGCGAAAATATAATGGTGAACTTTAGATCTCTGCCTGTCCACAGCTCATACGGTAAAAATCCATTGCTTAGCCAGTCTTTTATTTTTCATATGGCTATAAAATATGGAATAAATGTGACAATAACTTAAACATGTTTCTTTTTTTAAATACCAGCCAGAGTGACTTCATATTTTTGGTTTGTTTTAAAAGTTATGTTTATAACTTTTTTAACATTGTAATTTTTTTTTCATCCACAACGAGGGAGCTCTTGGCCTGTATCTCACCTGATGGTAAGTGATGATCAGGCCGAAGGTGGAAGCGAGCTTCACCCAGAATCCTCAACCACAGAGGAACTGGCTATCTTACCTCTAACTGCCGGAACACAACAATTTATGTTGACAATGTATGTTAATGTTATGGCGACAGACTTAGATAAGATGGTGGTAGCTAGCCAGGCGGACTTAAAACAAGCCCTACCACCAACCAAAAAATCAAAATTAAAATTATCTTTATTCGTATAGACTAATTAAATTAGTACTTACAAATCAAATGCTCTTAAGGAGCCTATACATGTCTCATATTCTTTTTTTGACCTACCAGCGCTTCGAGACAAACATTTGGCAAGTGCTGAGAAGAAGCGCCGCAACAAACTCAGTCACCACTGTCTGCCGGTTTAAAATGGTGTAAAAAGACCAATTGACTTACAATCTGCAGCTGTGTGATGTACTTCTTCCACCAGTGGCGCACCCAGTGCGCGCGCACGATCGAAATCAGGTAGTAACTGTACATGACCGCGTGCACCATGGAGTTGATGAAGCCCAGCATGATGCCGTGACCACCTGTGGGATGGAAATGTTAAGTGAAACTCGATACTGGCATTCGATACTTTGGCGACACTAGACGTTGCTGAAAACAATCGAATGAGGCCCGTTTACAAAACGACACTCACTTAAAAAAATTATGCGCGAGAACCAGAACAGAGAATCAGAAATTCAAGCCTGTAGTAACCATGGTTTGAGTTTGAATCGAACTATGGGTGTCTTTTCTTAAGGGTATTTGTCAGGATTATGCTTTCAGAAAAGCCTTGGATTTTCCTTTTGGATGTTGGATGCTGTCTAATATAATAGGAATTTTCGAAATCTGTTCAGAGGGTTAGGCGAGGTGCGAGAGCATTATACAGAGTAGAGTTGCCTTCGCATTAGTATGTATTTAATGATAGGATCATACCGACTAGTAAGTACTATGACATTTCATTTCACTGTTGTTAAGTAGTCAATGACGGTCAGCGGTGTTAACTCGTGTTGCTTAAAGGTATACCGGTTCTTTCATAAGAACGAAGCAATACGATAAATAGCGTAGTCTTTTACTAAATACATGATACAAGCATTTAAGTTGGTTGCCATAATACCAAACCATTAAAGGCGGTAATCTTCATAATATATCTATTTAACTGAGACCCCGTCCAGTGGTTTCGCTTACAACTCGAGCTTTCTCCATCGGCAAAGTTAATTGTAGAAATGCAACCACCATGATTATTGGATTTTACTAGGCCTAGTTCTGACATAGATTTATTTCGACCCAGAAATGAGGCGCGTGAGTGAAAGAGTTGTGCAACTATGTAGGTAATAAGTTTGTAGTCTAGTCAAAGCATTGAAAGTTTTTCTTTAGGAAAGTATACAATTACCTACTTTGCAACTTAACTTTTTACATACCTGGTACATATTTAGTTCCAATGAATCCTAGCATACACATGCCTAAGTGATGGTACACATGAAGGAATGATATTTGTGAGTATTTCTTCCGTAATACGAAAAATACCTGGAACAGAAAATAAAACGGTGATTTAATTGAACTGAATCAATGCAAAAAATAATTGTATAATGAGGATGAAGCGAATCAATCTCTATTCTCTTGATATGATTCCTGTCGACAGTCTCGGCTTCAGAGCGAGAGGTCTTCCCACGATATAATATTCCGTGACCTCATAACTAAATAGATAAATAAACACTTGCATCAAGTGCAGCGCGCTGCAACTTGCAAGCGATGACCTAGACAGGATTGATGCCCGAACCACTGGAGCGGGACCGATGGCATGCGTGCCCTGGTTTTTATTATAAAATATGTAGGCTATTCTACGAATAGATCTACGTTTTCCCTCAAGAAATTGTCGTAATAACATGATAATTATTTTTATACTCATATTCTCTTAACATACGTGTACAACACAACTTACGGGTTCTGTAATTAGGTAATCCTTTTAAAACACTACAATCTATGAGCTATTGAAGTGGTTGATTAATTCAATTAATAACATCGTTCCTTGGGCATAGGTACATACAGTGGCGGGGCAAGACCTAAATTTGATGTGGGCAAGACAGATTTCGCGAGGCCTTGTTCTGTGGCGACCTGAAGACGGAATTTATGAAATAATAAAAAAAACGGGTCAATGGTCTATTCATCGACAGTTTCTGATTTCTTGATTCAGTGATTATTTTTAAAGGAATTTTGCGCCAACGAATAATGTTTGTCACTTAAAACCGTGTTGTTGCTTAATTTTGTGTCTGATTATGGCTGAATTTGTTAGGAAAAAAAAATTTTTTATCTACATTGTTTAGCTATCAATAATTTATATTTAATAGTCAATGTTTCAAAATTTTTGATACGCGAGGCCCCTTGTTCCGCGAGGCCGTAGGCGGTGGCCCACGTCGCCTACGCCTTACGCCGCCACTGGGTACATACGATACTTCTACCTCTAATTAAGGGAAATCTACGAAATATGTCTTTGGCAACACCATCTAAAATGTGCGTTCTAAACAAAAAGTGAATTAACATTTCCCGACGGACGGCACTGCGTACAATTTTTCCGATCGGACGTCCGCCGCGATTTCCCGCGGTCACGTTTTGAAACAGGCTTGTTGGCACATTATTAATGTAGGTAATTAGGACTTATTAGGACCTTTTGCATTTTACAAAACAGAGTTTTAAGTAGTTCGTGATCGCTCCTTGATATTTATTGATGAAATTAATTCGATTTTTATTAATTTTTTTTTTTATGTGATAGGAGGCAAACGAGCAGACGGATCACCTGATGGTAAGTGATTACCGTCGCCCATTAATTAATTACTTGAAATGCTTTAGAAAATATGTTTTTAGGTGTTTCGGAAATCATAATGCCGCTATTTATCATCCAATGCGCTGAGTATACTTCTTACCGGACGCAATCCTTCTTATAAAGATAATTTATTTTTTTCGAGTTCCAAGTGGCATTACATTTATAAGAAACACTATCACAGCCCTCGATCGCTATGTTTACTTTTGTGAAATTCCCAGACATAATAAATAAGAGTAGTAAGACCAATTACAATACACCTGACCAGAGTAGTAATTAATACAAAGTTAGAATTTCACAGGACCGAGAGCACTTATCCACTGGCTTTCAACTATCATCTACTCGTACATGTACATTCACTTCAGTACAGACCTATTTCTTCTCAGCACCAGCCCATTTGTCCCAAAGTGGTTAGGGCAACCCATTTCCTAAGACTGACTATAAGCTTAAACTGTGACCGTTAAAATGCTTGCCAATTTGTCCCTGTAATAATTTGTATCATCAATGATACCCACCGTGTCTAGTAGATCGATGATCTTGATGATGTAGTAGAGCCAGACTCGGCTGACGACCACGCGCTCCAGGGGCGTGTCCTCGTAGATGATCTTCTGGCACCACAGGCTGTAGTAGCCGGGCATGTACAGCCTGGTCAGACACTGGAACCAAGGAAACCACGCTCGGAACAAATCAAATCTAAACTCTTTAGCAGTAGGTATAGTCATGAGAGTGCACCATATTGAAGCAGAATTCCGTGGAAACATGGACTAAATTAAGTCAATTAATTTAGTCCATGTCTCCACGGATGCTGTTATGAAAAATCGTTTGAGGAAGTAAGACATTTAGGTATTTTAAAACATACAAACACAAAAGAGAAATAAAGTTTTTTTGTAGTCGAAAGTCGATAGTGTCAGCTGCTGCAGTTCTACAAATCAGTGTGCAATAGGCTAGTTGCCTAAAAAAATTTTTTTAGTCCGTAATGTTTAGTATCAAAAAATATTGGACACATATATTTTTATTTGTCAATCTAACAAATAATTACATAGTTACGGTGCGTTGAAGTTGCGCACGACGTCACAACGTGCGGCATTTTTAAGCAAGCGTTGACGTCACGGGCCTCTTCTTATGAACTTTGGGGCGCTTTATCTCTTTAAATTTTCATTAGTTTGAAAAAGTGAAAAATACGTGTAGAGTATTTTTTGATAAGTTAACTGACGGACTAATTAAAACTCTTGCTTTTTGACCCAGGCAACATCCCCATTGGTGGCGAAAAATACATCTAAAAGTAGACATGCGTATTGAAAGGGATTCGTATCTTTCATGGGGTTTCAGGATAGGTTGGAAGGTGTACCTACCGACGCAAATGCTATTTGTACCTAAAAATAAATTCGCTTTAGTGATTGTAGGTAGATACCTGTTTAAAAATAAAATAAGTCTACTACTGTGGTCTACTTTAATATTGAACTTCACGACCTTAACACCTCGATAGTTTAAATTATAATTTTTAATGAGTAAGTGTAAACAACTGATTTACAACTATGTTCCACGACTTTTGGACGTGATAGTAAGTGGGTTAATAATTTTATTTTGCACACTTTCATAATTCTAAAACCTCTCGTATTTTTTTCGTACAGAGATATACCTTGGATAAAGTAACAATTTTGGCAGTTTAATGGTAGTTTTTCGTTAACTTTTGTCTAATAGTGATGGTCCAAATTCACAGGACACCCTGTATGACATATACCAGTAACTGAAGTGCTAATCGGTTTGATTTCAAGACCTTTGTGTTAATCGCCGGTAGAGCGCGCGTTCAGTTGTAACATCGAACTTACGTAAAGGAAGCCGTTTTCAGCCACCCCGCAAACTGGTTACTGTTGTAATTCCATGCGGTCTTGAAACAGTTTTCATGAATATCAGTTCCGTCGTATAATTATTATCACTTCATAAGTAGTTAGTGCACTGTTAGTGCCAAAAATACCTACAAAATGTAAAATTTAATCATAAAGGACACTCATTAATAATCGTGATGTGAAAACACACAAAATGACGTATTGTCCAATCTCCTTTTTATTTAACTTTACCAAGATGAGATGAAATTGCTACAGGTTGTCGTTATGAGAGACAACAAGAGTTTAAAAAAAATAGAAACTAGGAGTGAAAAAGAGGAAAATGTTTGCTGCAATTACCCCCTGTATGATAGCTATTTGTAAAATAATTTCCCACAAACGCTTACCTGCATAGCTAAGTATATCGACAGGAATATCTGTATGACGTTGTAGGCGATGATGACCTTCTTCAGGTTGTAGGGCGGGCGGTTGGCCATGAAGGCGGGCCCCCACGAGCGCACGAAGCGGTGGTACACGTACATGATGGTCATGATGGGCAGCGGGCTGGAGACCAGCGGGAAGTTGTTCGTTCGGGGGTCTAACAACAATACATCATCACAGTCATTTAAAGGTCTCCACTGCAGGAGCGCGACACTCTCTAATTTACCATTACCAGAGGCAAGAAAATTTTACCTACACTCCCCACGCTGGTCAGACGGGTTGGGGAGGCAACAATACACAAATTTTTAAACTAACTATAAGGCTGAGTTGCACCATCTAACTTTACTACTATGACGATAACCGGTGTTTTTTGGATGGAGTTTGACAGATTTTTGACGTTTGTTAAAGTTATAGTAAGATGGTGCAACCCACCCTAAGATGGCGTAATAACCTAAACTGACCCAAAGTGAGTCTTGGTCTTTGACAATAAGAATATCCACTTCTGTTCTGCGCCATCTCTCGCCATTTTATCAACATGGAGATAGCATTTTTTTTAGTATAGTCATGTAACTTAACTACTTTAGTCATTGTATTTACACGTGTTTACAAATTACAAAGTCCCATTAACCCCACGTGGCAAACTGAATTTATGCATTTAAAAAGTGATACGAGTGGGATCGCCATAATAGGCTGGCACGGGGTACGAACCCGCGTTCCTCAGATTCGATTCGGCCAGTCCAACACCAATGGTGTTTGTCGCTTCCTATAAGCAAACAGATTTTTGTCACTAGTACGGGCTAATTTTTCTGACAATGCTTATTATTAGGGGTGTAAGATAGCTTTGTGTAAATTTTTCATTTCAGTTTTAAAATTCAGTGTTTTTAACTCACCCGCCAGGTCATCGTTGACGTAGTGATAGTACTGAGTGATGTTTTCCACAAACGTCCCCATTTCGGTCGTGGTTCTGCAAAAACAAATAAGATTAATAACATGAAAACGTACACCTACCTACATACTTATATGGCTCGTTGATGGGACTTCGGAAAAATGGGATTCTAAAATGGGAGTGGTTCTGGCATGTTTTATGGATCAGAGGAATCAAACCTGGATGGAAATTAGGTGAACTCAGAAAAGCTTTATGACAATTTGGATAAACATTCTCAGATTTACCAGATTTTATTGGGTTCATAGATGTTTAGAGAGAAATTTTACTCATCATAACTAGTGTAGTTAATAATTCCAAGTGTAAACTAGTTAAATCAATGACTGTGTGTTTGTCAGTGTTCTTATCACGCCAAAACCACTACCACATTTGATAAGTTAGATACATTGAAATTTGGAAATCCTCCGCGATAATGTCTAAAAAACTAGGGTTAGTAGTAGTTTCGCACGATTTTCCTTCGCACGAATGTGCGAAACATCCCCTTTCAATATTTTTTTTTTCAGTAGGCGTTTCGCCGGGATGTACTACCTATCAAAAGTATTAAAAAAGGGGACGTTTCGCACATTCGTGCGAAACTACTACTAACCCAAAAACGGGTTTTTGTTTTTATAACCATTTATAATTGTTGTTTTTTTTACAATAGTGGACCAAGTAAGAGTGGAGTTGGATATAATGTTTTACTTTCTTCCTGCCATATCGGGACACTTAAAATTTGTCCTATTTACTTCGGAATGATTCTGTACTTAAGCAGTATGATGACAAAGCGATTTCATGAAAATTACAGGACAGAATATTGAACATTAACGGAAGGCCGATCCATATTCATGTTGTTACTCCGTAATTAATTCTGGGGCAATGACTTGACTAATGTCATCAAGGGAATGGGTTAAATTGCTTTGTTATTTACAATAAAAGTGCCATCAAATTCTAATTCTTGCTTAGTTTTTATGTAGGCCGATAAACACGTCCCAAATAACTTGCTCTATCACCACAAACTTCGGGAAAACATATCGGCTGGTGCTGACAAGAAGTGGCAGAAAATCTCACTTGGTGATCAGATGAATTTGACAACTAACACCTGTGAGGTCTGGCAGTTAAGCTGGACATGGACTGTAGGTATTGACCTTTGACCCGGAAGTGCGTTCAAATGGATTTGTGTCACGCACGGACCACGGAATATACAGAACTGAAGGGAAAGTTACTCTTACTCGTAAGACTGAAAAAAATTTAGTAAAAAAAAGAAAGATAAACTGAATTAAACTGCATTCAAAGATTTCCACAAATTCGCTTGCCACACCCGGGAATCGAACCGACTAAAATTTGTTAAAATTACTCGATCTTTAAGGTCTTAGGGTTAATTACATATAAGGAGGAAAGATATTATGTCTCTAACAAACTTGATAAATTAAATAAAAGGACCATGAAATCTTAAATTATTCCAAAAATTTATAAACTACCTGGCTAATTAAGTCTATTCCACCTTGATCAGCCGGATTTGATCACCCAGGTGATCAAAGTGGACTCCAGGTGTCCTTTGTTCACCCATGGATAAGTAAGATCATAGGATTCAAAGTGGACTTCTATCCATGGGTGATCAAAGGACTTACCAAAATGCCGCAAAGTGGAATAGACTAATTAGTTGCCCGAAAATGGACTCCATTTTCAAAGACGAATGGGCTTTTAAGAATTTCTTTGATTTGGTACTTATTTAACAAACATACTTGTACTTACATAATATTATTATTATATCTGTGACTGAGGTTAGTAAAACCATCAAAGGAGGTACTAGGAGCCTAACCACAAAAACTGATGGAATACTAATTGCAAACCAAAACTATTCTGTTGTCCTTGTCCAAATTACCCACGAAGCGAAAGGTCTTGGGTTTAATTCCCACTTGAAGCAATTTTTTGAAGTTTAAAAATTGTTAACATCAAAAGTTTTTAGTTTATTCGTGGCGTATCAACAGACATTGCATTGCCAGGGTCGCGGGTTCGATTCCCGCTCTGTAAAAACATTTTTGTGCATGGACTGGACATCATTTAATTGTTTGTATTGGTTTAGGTGTTTTCCATCTTTATTAAGTACTAGCGGCCGCCCGCGATTTCGTACGCGTGGATCCCGTTTTACCCCCTTCCTTAGGGGTGGAGTTTCGTAAAATCCTTTCTTAACGGATGCCTACGTCGCATAACATCTACCTGCATGCCAAATTTCAGCCCGAACCGTCAGTGGTTTGGGCTGTGCGTTGATAGATCACTATGTCAGTCAGTCAGTTATTATTTAGATGTTAACCAAGTATTTCAAAAGAAAAGTATCATTTGTCTAGTCTAGTACCCATAGTACAAGCTTGGGACTAGAGGCGCAGTGTAAAATGTTCAAGGACATTTTTTTATTTATTTATCAACCTCTTACCGCACACACAAGTCACACAACTAATTGCAGTACATTAATGTTCGGTGATTAAAGTAAAAATATTTTTCAGAGGTAAATTATAAACGTATTCAACCAAAATATTAAGGGAAAAAGGCGAGTGTTTATAAAATTAATTTATTATTATGATTAAATTAAAAATAGCTCTCATTTGATAAGTAAATATGAATTAAAAGCTCTACCGGCTACTGTCATACGCATATTAGTTTTAAGTTTAATTATCTGTGTGTTTATGTAAGCACCTAGATCTAAAAGATCTAAAATCCATCTTTCCGCCATTTTATTTTTATCCTACCACATTTACTTAATTCACATGTTTTTAATTAGGTTCTTCTCCCATTGAGTTATTGTTACGTGTTATTGTTCTTATTTGCAAGTCAAAACACAGTATTTAAATGAACGAAAACAATAAAAACGAAATTGCAAATATTTAAGTTTGACGTCATGATGGATCAGTGCATGGCTACCTATTAGTGTGGTTATTTCAAGGTTCGAACTCCCGGATAGGCGGTGTGTGCTCCAGACTTTATTTATTCAGTTAGTTACCGACTTATATGTTAATGTAATATTACATTATCATACAGAAGGAAGATCATTTTTGACATGACCAATTTGGACTTTTTAAACACTGAAAAGAAACCTTTGTCGGTTGAAACAGTTCTAGCTACCTAAGTATTTCCGTTTTTTATCTTGCTCTCATAAAATTGTGATTCTTTGCGATAAATCAAGACGACATCATGACCGAAAATGGGTAGCTGGAACTCTGGCCCACAATACCTACTTACTCACTTATTGTATGTAAAGTTTCATCAAGTTATACAATTTGCTCATCGAGGTTATGTTCCTTGGAAATCAAAGTTGTCATTGTATTTTAATCAAACAACGCGTTTAGTTTAATTTCACGAAAAACTAATATATTAAATACACTTTACTTATATCTTACGAAGTAGGTAGAGGTATTATGTTACTTACGTTCAAAGTTGTGTCTGATTTTTAATTTAATATTATTATTAATGTGTCTACTTTATTAATTAATCACAATTTAGTACTTATCAATATTAATCATTCAATTAACTTCACTATAGGGCGACCGATATTTTGAAATCACACTGCACGCGCACGGTCGCGGTAGCCGCTTCACTTGTAAGTTCAACATCGGAACGCGATTAATTTATTAACAATGATATTTATTATTTATGAAGTCACTTGAACTGGCTTCTTTATGTTCACAAAGTATTAAATAAATAAATAAAATGTGTACCTTTCGAACGTGCTCGCAGCGCCGCGCTAACCGCAAGATTGAAGCGGGTTGCTTCACCTGACAAACACAAAATCCTTTGGCCAACAATCGTGAATGGTTTAATGAATTCAATTAGTTGTTAAACCGCTTTACCTGGACGCTGTACCCGTTGAAATAGCAAGTAATTATACAAAAATTAGGACTTTGTATTCAAATATTGGTGTTAACGCGCATGAATATAAAGTTCTACTTAAAAGTTTCTTCCTTGAATAGGACTCTACAATACTTAAAGCTAAATAACCATAAGAAAGAACCATCGTTATGGCTTAGTGGTACAGTTGCTTTTAATCGTGGTCCTGGGTTTGTTTCACAGATATTATGAAGCTGTACCTCTACAAGCCGTGTGGTGACGGCAGAGTAGAATACATTTGTCACCAACCCCTACTCTTCCCACGGGTGTCGTAAGAGGCGACTTAGGGACTACACATGGCTATAAACAGAGAACGGGCAGCAGCGCTCTCTGAAAAACATCAATCTTTTAAACTGCGATCTCCAACCCGCCTGCCAAGCGTGGGGATTGTGGCAAAACCCTCCACTACAGTGGAGAAGGCTCATAGTCCAGCCGTGGACTGTAAAGGGCTGTTGATGATGATGATGATGACCTGAAATTTTTCCAAACTATTTACGTACTGAAGTCATAGAGCTTTTTTTCCCGATATATTTAATTTATTATTTCTGTAGTGAATGTTTTTTCTATTAATAGTAATTTACACATTGATCGGCGGACCTTGTTCTATGTTTCGTAATTACATTGAGTTAGTTGGTGCAATATTTAATAATAGTCCAAAATTACGTTCTGTTGACCTTAGGATCTTGGATGCACTTTAGTTGCGACACAATTCAATGCAAATCTATATTATAAAAGAAAGTCGTGTTAGTTACTCTACTTATAACTCAAGAACGGCTGAACCGATTTAGCTGAAAATTGTCAGGGAGGTAGTTTAGAGCCAGGAGAAGGACATAGGATACTTTTTATCCCGTTATTTATTGCCATTAAGGCGGAACAAAGTTCGCCGGGTCAGCTAGTATGGAATAAAGATTCATTTGCAAAGTGTCTCTTTTTATTTCTAATATTGTTAAGTTTTGTCTCCAAAGTCTTTATTTTTGATAAGAAGTTAAGTTAGTTTTCTCGTAAAATAAGTAGACATCATTTTACTTTTTCAAACTTACTTAGATTTCACATTTGTTGCAGGTGGTTTTTGGAAAGCCAACGACTGGTATTAAAAACCGATTATTTATTTTATGGAAATAGATGAAACCTTAAACATTGAATTAANCGCCTTAAGGTTCGAATCAAAGTGTCTCGAAGTAATTATTCTAAGAACACGAAGTTGGGAGCACGAGGGCACCCACTGGCTTGAATTTGTAATACAATGTAAGCGCGTCATTTTGTGCCATCATCGTGAGTGCGTAGTATCAAAAGTAACATGCGTACGATACGTAAGAACGTACGTAAATGTAGAGCAAAAAAAACTTCAATCAATGTAGTAGATATTATTAAGGAATCAGGAACATACAATAATGCAAGTTTTTCATAAACTTAAAACCAGTCAGATCTTACACAGACCAGTGGCGGCGTAGCATTGCTTGGCACCCGGGGCGATCCACTATAGTTTCTTATTCAGTTGTAATATGGTTGATTTCGCAACAAAAATACAATTTCCTAATCTTCTGTCGACTGTATAGAAAAACAAACGGAGCCTACAAAAACTCAGTTCAAACAGTNCTGTATCAATGCGCCAGTGAGTACTAATCTGCGCGACTTGTGTCACCCCCTGATGCTTGGCACCCGGGGCGGACCGCCCCCACCGCCCCCCCCTTACGCCGCAACTGACGCAGACCTCGTACCATAGCTAGCATCTACCTACTTTCGTAAAAGAACATTGAGATAAGAAAGAAGAGACGTCTTTCTCAGCGAACACAGCAAAAGTACAAACTATTTACTGAGAACTTATTTTTATGTAGAAATCACAATGAAGTGTGCGCGCGGCGCGAGAAGCGAAGTCAAGTCATGAATTTGCTATGTTGTCAGTGTGGTTGTCAGTCAGTATGTGACATCCTGTGACACCCATCATATTTAGAAAATCAAAATTCGTAGCGAAATGGTCTTCCAATATGAATAGAATTAATAAACGGACATGGAATGGAGACTGTCGAGAGCACTGCTCGTTCCGTGTGCCTCACTCCTGAAACACCTGCCCGCGTTCCTGACAGTCTCCCGCCCTGCCGTCACCTTGTCTTACAAAATAATTGGGGATAGTGAAATGGACGTTGATGATGAGGCGCCTCCTTTCTTTTTGCTTCACGGCTTGTTGGGGTGTAAGAGACACTGGGAGGGCTTGGGGAAGACGCTGCTGAATATGACGAAGCGGTCGGTGGTGGTGGTGGACCAGCGGAACCACGGAGACAGTCCTCATAGCAGCTCGCACAGGTACGAGGAGATGGCGGAAGATGTGGTGAAATTGCTGGACAAGCTGGCGGTGGACCGCGCCTGCTTCGTGGGGCACAGTATGGGCGGCAGGACGTGCATGTGCATGTCTCTGATAGCTGTGAGTTCATATTCAATTTAGTTTTTAATTTAAAATTAAATAAATTTAATTGTAATTCATCATTGTTGACCGGAAAAATATTAACCGAACCTCAACAGCAATTTAATTTTACATTTTATGCCAATGACTGGATATGACCGAATTAAATATTTTATTTATATGTGATTTAAATTCAACATTTTCCTTGCGGGATAATAACAAATCAATTAATGCACATTGCTAAATGACTTCATTTAATAAACTTACGATTGCAGCCTGAAAAAGTAGCCGCTCTCCTGGTAGTGGACATATCACCCATATCGTCTCCCCCACACCTCACGGAATACTTGCCGAAAGTGCTAAATGCGATGAAGGCCGTGGAATTCAAGCGGCCAAAGACCGTCAACAAAGCGAGGAAGATGGCCAAAAGACAGCTGAAGAAGGTCATCACTGACGACATGATCATGAGGGCTGTTTTATCAAACATTAATATCAAGTCAGACAGCACGATAGGCTGGACTTGTAATTTGGACGCGTTGATCGAAAATTTTGAACACATCGCATCTTTTCCAGCACAGATGAAAGGGAAAAAGTACCGCGGCCCGACGCTGTTCGTCGGAGGGCAGCTATCGGATTTCATTCCGTAAGTACGTAAAGTCGACTTGTCTTTTCACTTTACGGTAGGAACTTAATAAGCAAGTTAGATTCTAATATTTCGATATTTCCTTAGCTAAAGACGTAGTAATTTAAAGCAATCACGAAATTGAATCTGTCCGGTCACCAATATTACAATGTACCCGACTTTCTTGTAGGCCTAAATTTCAGCTTGCAATTTCCTACAAAGGAACTTTACCTCGAGCTCGACCCTCAATTATCAAGCAATAACCGCCAGGTCGAGGAATTCAATTCACCAACCATTATAAACCACGATAATAATCAAAGCCTACTTAGCCATTGATTGGTAATGCATTTTCCAGTCCGGATGACCTCACGAAGATCCGGGGCTTCTTCCCGCAATCAGTGGTCCACTACGTGCCCAAGACCGGCCACAATGTGCACGTGGAGGACTCCCGCGCGTTCCTGGAGTTCGTTCTGGCCTTCTTCAAGAATATTAAGTGATGTTTTGTTTAGTAAATTATTTATTGCAGTTTACTGTTTTATTTCATAAACTTTAAAGCTTACTGTTCTTATAAACATAATACGATGTTGGTACATATACCGATCTATGAAATGTATTTTCTTGTGTAAAGGCTGGTTTTAGTAGTTACTGATGACTATATGAATGGGATAGGGATAGCTCATCAAACTATAGCCATTTTAAAGTATAGGATGATGGAAGAGTGAGAAACAGGTGAATTTATTTAAGTTATGGAGACGTTATTTGGTTGATTGTACGCTATGATCGTGTGGCATCTTAGAATCGGGCCCCACTTGTTTCTTTGAGCACAGCTTTGAGTTCTATTTTTACTTTCACACATGACATTAAAAACGTCACTTGATTTTTCGCGGCAAAATCAATGGAACATAGGTGTCACTCAAAGGGACAACATGGGGACAACACAAGTCACAAAATAATTTCAATTAATTTCAAAATTAGGCATGGAATGGAGATAACACTTCGAACTTTGCGTTACACAGGTTTCTTGCTCAATCATGTGAAAGGGGTCTATTTTAACAGAAGGTCCGCAGTCAATTTGGCTTACAAACTGCACGGGAAATGCTCTGACAGTGCCACCCCAGTGATTGTTTTGCATGGTTTGCTGGGCTCAAAGAGGAACTGGGACAGCATGTCCAAGAGCATAGCGTCGAAGATGAATACGTGTGTGATTGCCGCGGATCTGCGGAACCACGGCGAGAGTCCGCATGACAGCTCGCACGCGTACGTAGACTTAGCCGAGGACGTTGGCCAACTGATAGAAACCATTCCTGTGAATAAGGCCACTATAATAGGCCACAGCATGGGCGGGAGAACTGGCATGGTGTTTGCTTTAACTAAGGTACACATGAAAGAAAATAATTGTAGTTGTGCTTATCGTTGCGATGGTTGTTGCTGTAGCTTAACTGACATAAATGTAGTTATACTTAGCTATAGTTAATTATTATCCATTAAAACCCGCGGGCACAATAACTCGTTTAAATCATGTTATTGCATCTTATTCATACCTAATCAGTAGTAATAATATTTACCTACATGTTCTACAAAGACCCATGTAGTCTCGATGCACTGTCTTGAGATGTTAAATTGCACAGATATTATTAGCGTAGATAACATTACGTTCAACGTTGCACACTATTTGCTGGTACTAATCTCTTAGAAACCTCGAATTATCTCGTATTTTTGCGGTTTGCTTTGTAATTCAATCCAATCGTTAGCATCATCATCATCTTAAAATTATATGGCGTGCCTACGGTGTGTTTCAGCCGGATAAAGTAGCAAGTTTAGTAGTTGTCGATATATCGCCCGTGTCCACCGCTGGGATCCTCAACAACTTCTTCCCTCGACTCATTGACGCCATGAAGTCGGTCAGTTTCGAGGGCTTGAACAACGTGACCGCGGCCCGAAATGCGGCCAAAGAGAAAATCTTAGCCTCTGGCGTCGTCAGCAACATGGAAGGCATGCATTTCATCCTCATGAACATAACTACAAGGCCAGACAAAACTGTGGGCTGGGCGTGTAATTTAGACGCCTTGAAAAATTCATTTAATTCAATAGCGTCATTTCCCAATAACGAAATGGAAAACAAAACGTATAATGGACCGACTTTATTCATTGGCGGAAAGAATTCAAATTATATCCCGTAAGTTTTACATTTTACCTAACTGCGCAAATTAGTTATTTCCTTTTATACACACAATATTAAGCAAATATTCGTCGAGTTGAAATGTATTGCAGACTTACGAATCTCTCGTGCTCGGGAAAATAGGTAAAAGATGTCCAAAACGAAATCAAACCCGGAACCTACGAGTGTTTCGACTAGTGCGCTTCTGGCCCGCTATCACAGAGTACTTCTTACTATATTACCCGCTGTGATGAATAAATTAACGTCGAATTCTCATCTTTAAAATAATTACATTTTCATTTACTAAATTCGATAATGTTTTTCAGGCCAAATGATATTACAGGTATCAAGCAATATTTTCCTAAAGCAGATCTTAAATACATCCCTGGAGTTGGACATAATGTGCATGCTGAAGATCCATCTAGTTTCCTTAGAATGGTCACAGAATTTCTAGCTAAAAAATAAAGCATCGTTTTACCTACTAAGATTCCATTACTTTCCTAAGCCGTCTCCTTCAAAACTAAGTACTCAAAACTAACAGGTACCTATGGCTAAAGCATTGTGAAACCGTAAAATTTGGTAAAAAAGTAAAACGTCATTTGGACAGATGGCAGAAATGTCAAATGTCAAACAAAATAAAAAATATGCGGTGTCAAACAACCTTCTAAATTTTATTTGTTAAAAAATCTAAAACACGATGTTACTCACAAGACTAGGCCCCAGAAATGTGTTCAATTCATTTAAGATCTGTTTAGGTACCTATCCAAGATATTTGACATCAAATATAGAGCCTTCTGATACAGTAGAACTGGCATACGCATCGTACGAGAGCACAGCTGATTCTGTGGGTTCCTCACGGCCTCCTTTAGTAATTTTGCATGGTCTTCTGGGGTCTAAGAATAACTGGAACAGTATGAGCAAGGCTATCCACAGGACAACAGGAAGAAAAGTAATCAGTATAGATGCCAGAAACCATGGTGACAGTAGGCACTCTTCGCAACACACATACGTTCACATGGCGCACGATATAATGAAATTACTCAAAAAGCTAGACCTGTCCAAGGTGTCGCTGCTCGGGCACAGTATGGGCGGCCGCACCGCCATGGTGCTGTCTCTGCTCTGTGTAAGTTGTACGTAGTTTTACTTATTTATCATACAGTAGACACAATCTATCCTAGAGATGAATGATAACTAATAAAATTTTCTTATTTTCCAGTCTGATCTAGTGTCAAGCCTAATAGTTGTTGATATCTCACCAGTTAAAACGAGCCCACAGATATTTTCGATGGCAAATTTGTTTGATGCTATGTCCTCTGTGACTATCAGGCCGGGCATTGCCATGTCGAAGGCTAGGAAGCTGGCCGACGAGCAGTTGAAAGGCATCACTCCTGATGTGAACCTGAGGAACTTCCTAATTACGAACTTGGTGCAGACCAACACTGGATCGTACACCTGGAGAGTGAACATACCTGCTCTGAAGGACAACTTCCAGTCACACATTTCATGTTTTCCATCCAACTTGCGAGGCTTGCAGTATTGTGGTCCTACTCTATTTGTAGGTGGTTCTCTATCTGATTACATTGGGTGAGTTCAATTCTAAAAATTAAGAAAAAATACATTAGCAAAATATTAAGTAACTAAAAATATACTTTTAATTATGTCCATTATTTGTTTTTTTTTTCTATGAGCAAGTGGTGTTAGATATTATTTGAACTCAATTTTGTTTTCTTATTACAGAAAGAATGACCTCCGAGAGATACAGGAATACTTCCCACTTGCTGATTTAGTGTTCATCGAAGGTGCCGGCCACTGGGTTCATAGTCAGAAACCTGAAAAGTTTCTAGAGACAGTGTGCAAATTTCTGTCTGAAAAATAGCTTAGATTTATAATAAATAAGTAGTACAATTGCATGTGATCCTCAAATATCAATTAGTTTCTGTGATTTGAATTTTATTTTAGTGTTGAGTTATTTACCTATTGTTAACAGTGTTACTGAATAAATTTTATGAGATAAGATAACATTGTTTTTTCACACCACTGATAGTTTTATCTGTAATGTGGTTAGGAGCGTGAGACCAGCTGTACCTACATTGTCAATGACTTGATGGAAAAGATGGTTTGATTAGAAATTAACTTTATTAAAACACATTAAAAGCTCACAATAGTGAGCTTACATTAACTACAGCACACCTAATATAGTTTAGGTAAACAATAAACATTAATAATTTCCAACAATACTAGCAAAACGAATATGTAAATAGAGACGCATCTTACAAGTACAACGATTTGGCGCCTTGTCGGTCTTACTTCATTAGCTATAAGTAGATTTTCTATTAAATTTAGCCTAGGCGCAAACCAATTTGTATGAAGAATCGGCCGATATCTAATTGGTGTAATGTGCGCACTTACATACCATGTCCATCCCCCATAATTCATACTCATTAACAGCTCGACCCAACTATCAGTCAACTGAAAGTCGGTGTTCTGCGCCTAGGCTAAATACATACTTTATCATATTCTCAATCAAAAGGCTAGTTCGAAATGTAAATTGATTAAGTAGGTACCATCAGTACCATTAGCATACGACAATAGGCGATTATAATTAAGTTAGATTGTTTTAACTGTTAAATAAAATTAACTATCTTTAAAAATAAAGTTCGAATCGGTTCAATGCCCCTCCCGGTTTAATATTCAAGTATACCACTAGCACATCGTAGACACGGCCACTCTACTTTCTGGGTGAACAGCTTAGAAATAAATGAAATAATCATTCGATAAATAATGAATTCCAGTAGGTAGTCTACCTACTTACGCGCCTAAACTTCTGACTTTCATTGTCTACTTAATTTGTAGTTGAAGGACTTATCCATTCTCCAGCTGCCGAGTCCTACAGCTTTTAAAGATCTTACCAACGCATGGTAAAACTGGTGATAAGAATACAATGTGATAACGCATCATTACATTGTGGACAAGATAATGATTGTGGTTTTTTGCGCTCCGCACTGCTCTTCCAACTGGGAGCCAGTATAAAAGATCCCCCTCAGCATACAATAAGCACATTCCCTCTTCACAGTTTCTGTGAAGGGAACAAAACTAGAATACTTTTTTAGTTAGTAAAGTTTTTCCAAAATGGCGGACGTTGTGAAAAGCTTCGAGCTTCTGTTTGATCGGCCCAACGAGCCGCTGATCACTCCGAAGGGCGACAACAACGCTCTGTTCCAGCTTACTGAACAACTCCTGGTAAGTCATCTTATTCTGTTTGCCGATTTATTTATTGGTTTTACTGTACTTTATTTCACCTTTAGTCCGTTTCACGAGTCGCGAACGACATCCAAAGCTCTGGGGACTCTGGGTTCGATTCTTGGTGAACTTAGTACCATAAGCAATCCATACCTGTGTGATCTATAGGATGGAGGACCAATGCTGTATGATGCGTTAAATCTCATTTTAACTTAGCGAGCGTCAGGTTTGATTCCTGCTCGGGTCAATTTAAAAACCATATTTTAATAAGTTGATTTACGCTTACGTATCGCGATACCCTAGATAAAATCCGTTACCAAATAAAGATGAAAGTAACCACTACTCTACGAAGGTGAATGAAGTCGAAAATTGACAGAGTTTAGATCCATTAATAACTGTAAAACTACTACCTACTTGGCTAGAGCGACTGGGAACAACCGGCTCCGATCAGGCATGTTCGTCACCACAGATTTCTCGCACTTTCAGCCAGAAGATTACAAGAACAATGGCATCGAATTAAACGACCGTTTCGGTGACGATGCCGGCGAGAGAATCCCGCTGCAGAACTTGAGCCAGGTGCCGCAGTTCAGGGTTGCGTCACAGCTGCCAACTGACGCTGACTTCTCCTTATTCCTGCCGCGACACCAGGAGATGGCCACTGAAGTCATCGACGTCCTCATGAGTAAAGAATTTTGTTTATTATACAGTGTTTGCCTCTTACGTGAATTTCGGAATAACTTTAGCTTAACGGAAATGCGTTAACGTACGAAAACTCGATTTTCGATCACGGGTGTTATCTTAATATTGTAGAATTTCAAAGCCTATATTAGTTAATATAATAAGTTTATTAGATAATATGAACATGAAATAATTTTGTAATTTTTTTTTTCTGCACAGGGTTTAATAAAAGCCTTTAAAATTATTTAAAATATTATAATTATATTAATATTCCAAATTAAATTAATCCAAAGCCTTGTAAGTAGCATTACAGGTACATAATATTCCATAGTTATTGCAACTTTAAGTAAATGTTCAAAGTAGTTTAATGAGATGTGTGTTTCCAGGTGTTCCTGAGAACCAACTGCAAGAGCTGCTGTCCACTTGTGTGTTTGCAAGGACCAACCTTAATCCCCAGCTTTTCAACTACTGTTATTCTGTTGCCATAATGCACAGGTAAACATTGTACTTGCATATTATTTCAGTAGAATAATTTGCCTAGATTAAATTCTAAGATAAATATGGTTCCATTTTGTTTGTATTAAAATATGTGTTAAATACCTAATTTATTATTTCATTTATAGGCGTGACACAAGAAATGTCAAGATACCGAGTTTCGCGGAGACATTCCCTTCCAAGTTTTTAGACTCTCAAGTGTTCTCTCAGGCCAGGGAGATGGCTGCTGTGGTGCCACAAAACATCCCAGTAAGTATCGCTTTACTTGCCTTTCCCATTACAACAATTATCACACTTTTTATCTGTCCCAGAACATAACACAGGCTTGTAATTAGGTGTCCAGGGCCCCAAACTGTCATTAGAATAGAAATCCATTGGGTATGTGCCTTCTTCAGTCAACCACTTACTGTTTCCTAGAGACACAGAGAATTCATAAGGTGTAAGCAAAGGCCGTGGAAACGCTGTCCCCCAGTCTATAGATAATCTTGGACAAGCCACTTGCACAAATGCATCTAAATGAAATAATGCTAATTTTCTAGGAAATATTTCAGATAAAAGTATTTTTACATACTTTTTATCAGAATTTCTAATTTGTTTCTCTAAATTGGACAAAACTTTTGGACTTCCTTGCCTTCCTAAGGTCCCAAGTATCAGCCCAAAATTGCCTGCCTCCTCAGCAGTTTTAATTTGATTTTTTCTATTGGCCTGCATGACTTGGTGTTCATACTGTTCTGATGTAAATTTTTTGTCATAAGGATCATATTTGTAAGCTGGAATACTTGGGTTGGCAATCATAATGGATTCTAAGTGAAACCTGCCATCACCAAGGTATACTATGACATCAGCAGTCAGCTTAGGAGCCGTGCACCCGAGTATCTCACCAGGAGATAGGGGCTTACATTGGGGCACGGTCACAACATACTCGTCAGTACGGAGATTCTTTGCAACAGAATGTAAAGTTGTAACAAATTGTATTGTGCTAACTAATGCTAGATGTGTGCCTTTCGGGAAGTTGTGTTTGATAGTGTCTACGAAGTGTGATGGGTCTATTTTGATGTCAACAAATATGTAGAGTACTTTGACGTCGGTGGTCTGGTCGATGGGGATGAGGCAGGAGTGGCCGTAGTGCACGAGCAGGTCGACGCCGAGCGCCAGGGCAGTGAAGTCGTCGATGCAGCATGCTCCGTAGGTCACGTCACCCATTATCACTGTATCAGCTTCCGTAAACGTCTCGATAATGTCGCATAGGGTCGTGGCGAACATCGTCAATCCTGGCGACAAAGAGATGCGACGCAATATTAACATCAGTCACAATAATTAGTGATCAATTTAGATCTATGTGACTATTTAGAACTTACCTTCTGGTAACTGTAATGCAACTCTTTTGGCGTGAAGAGATCGTATTCTCCATATCGTCTTGTGAACCTCAAAGTTATAGTTCTGTGGCAAGGACTCGCATGCTCTGTTCAGAAGAGGATCATTCAACAATTCGTCTGGTATTTTATTCAACGAACGCACATTAGGTTTAAAAGTTTTCCTCTGTCCTTCAGGTTTTGCTCGGACGACAACCACACCCGGAGTTTGAATAATGTCTTCCATTTGTAATCACTAAATAACCATTACTAATCAATTGTAAAATAATTATTAATTTAAAGTTTGCGCTAGGTTATTCAACAACACAAAACAATAACACGCGCGAATATTTTGTACGACAGGCAGTGTTGCCAGTCGGGTCTTGTCAGAAATTACCAGAAATATAAAAAAATGTAACCTTTTTGAATAAAAAGTAACCTTCATGGGGGGGGGAGGGGGGTGCGGAGCGAAAATGAAAACAATTGATCATCAATCTATCTATCTAACTATCTTTTACCTAATTCGAAATTTTGACCATTCCATGAAGACCGAAAAGACACCGGTCGTATAAAAACGTTTCCTGGATTCGCGTTTTATTATCGAAAAACATTCGCTAAAACTCATTTTTTTTTAACAAACAATAAATCAAATTCATGTTTAAATGCAGTTTATGACATAATTTTTAAATTGTTACTTAATATTTTTTACTGAATAACCTGTAAAAGTTAATTCTACAATTTCTGAAAAATCACCTAAAAGTAACCTTTTCATTAGTGTAACCTAAAAGTAACCAATGCAGTTCAAAAGTAACCTAAAAGGTTACAAAAGTAACCTTCTGGCAACACTGACGACAGGGCCTACGTGACTTTTGCAAGATTTTGCGTTTCGTATTACGAAACATCATTTTCAACAAACGCATAATGTATAAACCTATGATGACGTAGCTATTCTAATTAAATTCCGTTAACATTTATTTTGCTTGTCTCATAATAAATTTGAAAATACAAATATATTAAAAATATAAAAACAAAGATATTTGTTAATTTTAAAAGTAATTAATATTTTACATACATTAACTTTTGCGTAATGGAACGTTATTAATGTGTCAATGTCACATCGTTTAAGTAACGTTCCGTTGTACACATAGAACAATTTATGTTTATTGAAAAAATAAACTTAACACGTGAATCGCGTGAATAGGAATACATCGACTGTACGGATTTTGATGAAAATTGAAAACTGATTAACGTTAAAATAAATGATTTTCTTACAAGCAATACGTATTATGAACATAAAATTATTATTTTCAGCGTATTCCTATCATTATCCCGAGAGACTTCACTGCCTCCGATTTAGAGTCTGAACATCGTTTGGCGTACTTTAGAGAAGATGTTGGAGTCAACCTTCACCACTGGCATTGGCATCTCGTCTATCCGTTTACCGCTACTGATAGATCCATTGTCGCCAAGGATCGTCGCGGTGAACTGTTCTTCTACATGCACCAGCAGATTATTGCCCGGTAAAGTACCTATATGAGTTAAACCTATAGTTTTAAGTCAGTCTTTCCCAAAGTGGGCGATAACGCCCCCTTGTGGGCCTCTGCAGGCTTAAAGGGGGGCGGTAAGAGACCCAGAAATAAAAATCGGGACGTTGTGTAGAGGCTTGTGAGGCGTCATCTACTAAGAGGACTCTTAGACACCGACTGAGCTCGACTCTTGACTAGAAAAATGGGGGGCGCTAAAAAATAATTTATTCTCAAAGTGGGCAGTAGACTAAATAAGTTTGGGAACCGCTGTTTTAAGTGATCTAATATTTACAACGACATTTTGTTTGCTATATCCTAATACTCATCTCTCCTTAGATACAACTGTGAGCGTCTTAACAACAACTTGAAGAGAGTTGAGAAGTTCAGCAACTGGAGGGAACCAATCCCAGAAGCGTACTTCCCCAAGTTGGACAGCTTGACGTCGTCCCGTGGCTGGCCACCACGGCAGTCCAACATGACGTGGCGGGACTTGGATCGTCCTGTCGACGGCCTCAAGATCGGAGTTAGAGATATGGAGCAATGGAGGACTAACATTGAGGAGGCAATCGCTACCGGCATGGCCAGGCTTGTGAGTGCTCACTATCTTTATGTTAAAAAAATATATAAAAATAACAATCGTTATGTAAGCTCGGAAACTCCTTACGTTAATATCATAGCCACTTTTTACATAACACTGGTTTTTCGCTTTTTGCGGATTTTTGCTGACGAACAAAATCAACTACATAAATTAAAGAACTTTCTCTAAAGAAAAAAGAAACAACGAAAATATTTTAAGAACCATCTAACAATAAACTATCACAATGTTGACAAAGCAACTCATGTACGAACCATTGTAAATGTCTCAGCCCAACGGCAGCACCGTGGACCTGAACATCGACCTCCTCGGCAACATGATGGAGGCCAGCATCCTGTCGCCCAACCGCGACCTGTACGGCAGCCTGCACAACAACGGGCACAGCTTCACCGCCTACATGCACGACCCCAACCACCGCTACCTTGTAAGTTAACGTATTAGACTCATACTCCTCGACAAATATGCGTGTAATGGTCTGTGGTGCCCTCCCCAGGATGTTGGGCTACCGATTTGAAGATAATAGTTGATAGTAATAACTCATGAGCTATGACGGTACTAATCGCACCCTGTAACAAGACATGTCAGGGGTCAGCCCCCCCTGGAAAAGAGCCCTTCAATTCAATGGACCCTCGCACCTTGACCAGCAAAGTTAAAAAATCTCCCACTTTCGATAATAAACGACTCGCTTGAGTTGGTGTACCTACTGGGACATCAGAAAACGTATTTTTTCTTCTAAGTACCGTTCTTTATTTAATGATGTGAGCTTGTTCTCATATGATAAAATGGTATGGCTCAATTTCTACAGGAATCTTTCGGCGTGATGGCCGACGAAGCGACGACCATGCGCGACCCGTTCTTCTACCGCTGGCACGCGTTCATCGACGATATCTTCCAGAAGCACAAGGAATCTACCTTCGTCCGTCCTTACAGCAATTCGGAGGTACACTTATTCAATTCTTTGTCTAAAAAATTACCATCTAACTAAACTATCAAGTCTTAATTTCATTTCCATCAGGTAATATTTGATCAGAAATTGTCGTCATATTTACGCAATTTCACCTGACTGAAGCTACGAGCCTACCTACGAGTATTTTGACTTAGATTTACTAAACCCAATTTGAAGAAAAATACTTAATTCCATCAGCAAACAGCTTTGCTGACTCTCATCAAGGAAAATATACCTACTCTAATGTAGGATTTATTGTCTCAAAAAAGTAGCAATTTGTATCAACAGTGCTGCTTATAACAAAATTTTCAACGATTAAGTACTTACCATTCGACTAACATCGATGTATCGAATCACAGTTGGGCAACCCTGGCGTGCGAGTGATGTCGGCCTCCATCGAGACGCAGGGCGGCAACCAGAACGAGCTCAGCACCTTCTGGATGAGCAGCGACGTCGACCTTTCGCGGGGGCTGGACTTCTCCAACCGGGGGCCGGTCTACGCGCGCTTCACGCATCTGAACCACAGACCCTTCCAATACGTGTGAGTTTCTGGTCAAGGCTGGGAAGATTTATTTTAGCAAAGTTACAGTCGACAGCACATGATCACTAGACTTATAAATTTAAAATTTATAAGTCTAGTGATCATGTATCATCAAATTTAAATTTTTTATTGCAAAATCGCCCCTATAGCAAATACGTAAGATGCCCGAGTGTTTACTTTGATGTGCTGTTGTCCATACCAAGGGTTGTACGAACTCAACCACATGTCGTTCTCATTTAAACTAAAAGACGTCTACTGTTGGACAAAGGTCTTCTCAAGGATTTAAAATCACACTTCATGCAAGTACCTATCCAGTTTACTTGTATGGGATGTCGCAGGAAGACTGTCGCGATTTGATTCGAGTTTTCTGGAAGTTCTTCTTCTTACGGTTTAAATGACACTTTGTATAAATAATTATGTACCTACATTCCATACCGAATAGCAAGATACAGCACATGGCAGTGTAAAATTGTATTGAATATTTCCAGAATCAATGTGAACAACACTGGCAACGCGAGGCGCACCACCGTCCGCATCTTCATCAGCCCGAAGGTCGACGAGCGCAACCAGCCCTGGATACTGTCCGACCAGCGCAAGATGTTTATCGAAATGGACAGATTTGTCACACCATGTAAGTAATCAATTAAATTCAAAATTTTATAAAACGTTCGAGACAGCGGGGCTAGGTATTCCTGAAAGTTATATCAGTATCTTTTGTAACGTTCGTAATCTGTTCATAATGAATCAAAGTTACAAATACTTAGATTAAGATACGTTAGGACTGACGGTAAATTACGCGGTGAATCGTCTACGTCCAGATAGAAGCCCGCAGACAGTAATCGGCTCGATTCAATAAATTTAAATTTTATGCCATACCGAAACATAAGGAAAACTTATTAGCATAAGGTATGATTGTTATTATTTGCCAGTTAATTAGACTTCATTGTATTTGTTTATGTGTCCCTTACACCCTAAGCATAATAAACCACGCAGATAATAAAATCTGTCCTTCCACAGTGAACGCGGGCCAGAACCGAATCGTCCGTCAGTCCACCGAGTCTACCTTCACGATCCCGTTCGAGCAGACGTTCCGCGACCTGTCAGTACAGGGCGAGGACCCGCGGCAGGTGGACTTGGCCGCCTTCAACTTCTGCGGCTGCGGCTGGCCACAGCACATGCTCGTACCCAAGGGATCGGAGGCCGGCTCGCCTTACGTGCTCTTCGTCATGCTGTCCAACTACGAGTTCGATGCGGTTAGTATTGTCACAGAATAAGTAATAGTACCAAGGGTATTGTACAGACGACGTCATACGCTAGTAGGTATCTACTGTTAGTTCTGTTTCTCCAGCATCGTATTCACTTGTAAAAGCTGCTATTTACATTTTAGTCTGATGTGTTATGATATGACTGTACTTGTCTTGCCTATTTCTAACTGGTAGACCAATTCTACTACTACTAATATTACGACAACAAGATTACGACGGCCACGTAATATAAGTATTTCTTAGTCATACTATTTTTTAGATCAGTATCTGACTGATCACTATGACATATTGTATCTTCTAATCTTACTAAACTTTATCTCTTCACGTATATCAAGTTAGCTACTATAATTATTATCGTGAACTAAAGAGATAAGAGACCTTGATAAACTTCAGACATTTAATTTTGACCACTATATTTTTCCCAGGTTGAAAGGACCGACGGCAGGCAAGCCACGTGCAAGGAGGC